TTATATATCTCTTCCTTTACGTCCTACTTTTTATAGGGGACGAGCTCTTTTATTATTAGCGGGATCTTAAGCTTATAAAGGATATTATTATTAAGGATATAATATTTCTTTATAGTCTTAGAGATATAAGAAGCTTATAAGAGCTATATCTTCTTAAGATCTCTATCCTTAATAATCTTAATGCTAAGGAACTAGCGTAGCTCTCTTATATATATAACGGTATATTTCTTTATAATAGCCTTATATAGCTCTTCTTAATCTTATTTTTGCCCTTTAAGATATATTATAATAATATTATCTATAAAGATAAAGATAATAACGCCCTTATAGACTAGTATATAGGCGTCTTTTACTAGCTACTAGGCTCTTAGTTTAGTAAAGAAACTAGATATCTCTTTAAACTATAGCTTTAAGGAGATATAAAGCCTATATAGTGCTTTTAATAGCTTTAGGCATAGCCTAAGCATTAAGAATCCTAGTAGAGGCTAGTAATAGACCTCTTAGCGTAGGATTATATATAGAAATACTATTTTTACGTTATATTATTCCGTCTTAAAGTCTTTAAGGTAGTAGAAGGCTATTAATAGTTAAAATATTCGTGCTCGTAGTATAGCTATATATATCCTCTTTACCTTTAGGTTATAAGTCTCTATAAACTATAATATATACTTTAAAGCGTATAATATACCTTTATTTATCGGTCTTATATATAAAGACCTAACGTAAGGGGATTAAGAAGTAACCTTTCTATTTAATAATAGCTTTTAAGATAGTCTTTTATATACCCCTTACTAGGTTTTCCATTATTTCGCGGTCTATAGCTTCCTTCTACTTATATACTAATTTTAAAGCTATTACCGCGTTAAAAGAAGTAGGGGGAGGCAGTATATCTTTAATATAAAGCTTATACTTACTTACCTTTATAATAATATTATTAATAAGGGATTTCTTAGGCCTATAAGCTCGTTTTCCTTTAATAACGTTACTTAGGTTAATCCCTTATAACGTATCCTTTTATCTACGTTATTCTTATATTTATAATATCCTTAAGCTAGCCCTACTAACCGCTAGGTTAAAGGTATAGGGTTTAGACTAAGGGTTATCTTCTTAAACTTATACTATAATCGTTCCTTTACCCCTTAGGTTAAGAGGTATATTATTACGTTTATCTTAAGGAGATAAGTCGATTAATATAGGTATTATATCTTTAAGTTATCTCCTTAATAAGATATAGGAGGGGTTGCTAGCTATAGTATCTATTATAGGCGTAGGAGGTATAGAGCTTAATAACTCTGTATTAAATATAGTATTAAGTAGAAGGGGTAATATTAAAATCTCTATCCCTAGGCCTACTATTTCCGGAGGGGAAAGATATATATATCTATATAATCCCTATAAAGGCGTCTTTAATCCCTAATCTTCTAAAGTATATAGGGGTAATAGGTCCTATAGGAGGGTAATTACTTCTTCTAGTATCTAACCGTTATCTATATTATCGTTAGATAAACTTAGTACCTTAAAGGTTTTAGGTTCCCTACTATTTATAATATCGGTTATAGCTATATCTCTAAGGATATTATAGCTATATATTTAGACTAGCTAGGCTTACTCTTCTCTCTTTATATCGTAGCTTATAGACTTATTAAACTATATATTAGCTAATACTATTAGTTTATTCTATTTAATTAACGGTATTTATATAATATATTATTAAGTAGACCTATAGCTTACTAGGTAGCCGATATAAGCTCTCTACTTAAGGGGTAATTACGTCTTATATAACTTAATATATTCTAATACTATAATTATTATTAGGAACGCTATATAACTAAAGACCCTTAAATATATAATATCTAGTTTAATATCTTTAATATAGTAATATAGTAGATTATTTTCTTTTATTTAGGTCTACTAACGCTTATATAGGCTCTACTAGCTATAATTATATAATTCGAAGGGTATTATATTAAGTAAGTATACCGCTATACGGTATATTTCTAGCTATAGCTCTTTTAGAAGTTTTAAGTTAAGCCTTATAACTCTTACTTTTTCCTTTACTATTACCTTTAATCTCTCTATATAACTATTTTATATAGGCGTTAAAGGGGCTAACTATATAACTTATATCCCTTTATTAGTTATATAATCTATTTATTCTATTATTAAAAGAGCCCTTTCCCTATTAGTAACTAATATAGTTATTTTAACTTTATACTAAGTCTTAAGTAACGCTATAAAGTTATTAAAGATATCCTTAATACCTATTTTTCTTTCTATTAAGTAATAGAACCTTATAGATATATTTATATAGGTAAATAAAGCGAAGTTCTTTTCCCTATTATATACTATTATAGGGCTAAGGTAAAGGTTAAAGCTAACTTATACCCTTAGACCTTTAGGCCTTAAAGATAGTATTTTTCTAAAGACTTCCCTCTTAGCTTTCCTTATTACGTATACTTAATAGCTATATATTATAGGGCCTTAAAGCTTAGTACCTAGGTAGGCTTTTAATAGCTTCTTTAGTAATCTTAGACTAGGATACCTAAGGCAGCGATACTATAGGTTACCTACCCCCTTAGTTAGTAGCTTAGGCGCTTATATAACTACGAATACCTACTTATACTATAGGAGTATTCCTATTATAAATTAACCTTTAAAGTCGGTTAGTTTAATATAAACCTCCTTTATAGGTTTTAAATAGAGGTATCCTAGGAGCTAGTTCTAGAATATCCCTACTATTATCCCTAGCCTAGCTAAGAAGATACTTATCGGTATTTCTAGGATAAAGTAAGCATTTAATAAGGTTATCTTTTTACTATTAATTATAGGGATAACTACTATTCCTATTCCTTATACCTTAAAGGCTTAGTCTTTAACCTAGACTTTGTCGTTAGAACCCTATTTAAAGGTTCTTTCCTAAAACTAACCTAGGTTATTAAAGAGGTTAATATCGGCCCTTAAGTTATATTTTAATTTATCGGTAAGTAATAGCGTTCCCTTAATAGCCGTGTTTACCTTAGATAGAGTAACTATATTAATAGTCTTTCCTAGCCCGTTATTACTAATAATAGTATCTACTAGTTCTCTTCCTTTAAGGTAGGAACTAAGGGTCTAGGCCATATATTTTACTTTCTCGTTTAGATAGTCTTTTAGCTGTTTTTCTATATTCTATTTAGCTAGATTACTATATTTCTAGCTTAATAGGGGCTTCTTATTATATATTACCTATAGTAAGTAGTAATTTTCCTACTAGCTTATTAAGCTATTAACGTGCTACTTATAGCTAGCGTATTTAGCTTAGGTGTCTAATTTCCTAGAGATTTAATTAGCGCTTCCCCTTTTTACGGGTAGTTATAACTTCTTCCTATAGGTATATTCTTATTTAAAGTTAGCGATTAGGTTCCTTAAGGGAAGTTAATCTTTACTATATCTTTCGTTATAGAGGTCGAGAGCCCTTATTATTATAGACTAATATAGGTCCTACTCGTCTACCGCTATAAGAAAATCCTATCTAATTCTTATATTATTAAGTATATTAACCTTAAGGTCTCGTAAATCTATAATAATTTAGTCGAGCTATTCTACCTATACTTTCTAGTCTCGCGTGCCTCTTTTATTAATAGAGGTCGTATATCTCTTATAAATTAGCTTTTTCTCCTTTACCCTTAAAGGTTAGGCTTACTTCTTTAATTCCTTAATTTTCTCTCTTAAGCTATTATATATTAAGGTTATCCCTTAAAGCCCTTTACTAATCGTTTTCTTAATTAATTCTTTAAGTGCGATTAGGGCTTTCTACTAGACCTTATAGCGATCGAATTATAGCTAGAACCTTTTCTCGAGGTTATAAAAGGAGTCCTTTATATCCTAGTATCGTTTATTATAGCCTATTCGCCTCGCTAGGAACGTAGCCTCGGTTTTATCTTCTTATTAAGATAGTCTCCCTTTAAGGTTAATAATAAATTACTCCTAGTCTAGCTATTAGGGCTATTTAAGCTCTTTTATACCGTCTAGGTTAGTATATTTCTAAATCTCGTAAGTCTAGGCCTACGATTTAATCCCCTTAATCTATAGGGTCTAATCGAGGCTTTCCTTTAGTTTTACGATATAATTATCCCCTCTTACTTCCTTTAACGTTATCTTAGGAAAATTAAGGGTTCTAGCTTAATAAGTAATATCCTTCTTTAAGGGATATATAATTTATATAATTCGTGTATTTCTAGTAGTGCCCCTTAGTATAGCTAGGTTCCTTGCCTTAATACCACGATTTAAGCGTTATAACGGCGTTAATAGCTAGTAAATAGCTTTAAAGTTAATATCGGCGGGCAAAAGATAATCTAGCCGTGTAGGCCGGGCTTATAACTCTTAAGCAGGGGCTTAAGAGCATAGTAAAAGAAATAGGGGCATAGAAAGGTGAATTTAGTGATATATATCTTAGTCTATCTATTAGGATAAGGGAGGGGCTTATATAGGTACAGTGACTACACATAGCTAGCCAAAGAGGGCATTAGGATATTCCTATACCTAAGTTAGGCCTATATAATGTCCTTGGGCTAGGGGAGTCATGTTGGTCAGGCAGGCTTCCTTGTGCATAACTATTGGGTCCACTGGGCATGACTGTGGCCTCTTATGCCCACTCTCCTCAACAGATACGTATAAGTGCGATTACTTCTACTCTTGCACATATGCGCAGTTTCCGGAAGTTATAGGTCAGGCTAGCGCCTTCCCTCCCGGGCTCATAACTATCACATTGAATACCACTTGGCCAAAATAAGGGCACCCCTAAGTGGGAGTGATATTAGTGCTTGTTATATCTCCTGCCAGTCTCGTGACAGCTACACCTTTCCCCCTGAGAGCGACCTGGCCTAGAATACCGAAGAAACTAAAAGCTCATGCAAAGCCACACCTTTGAATATAAGCAATGTCGCCCGCATGGTATCAGAGACAAGAGGTGCTGCAAACACAAACCCCTGCGCACGGCATTCCCGCCATATCGCACACCCTCACCCCTCGACAACGCCCTCCATGGGCTGCGTTCCCTCTGTCAGATACTGTCGCGACGGCCCCCCTACTGCAGCAAGCCCCATGGCAAACACCCGCTCAACTGTGGCTGCGTCAGTCGCGATTGCTCAGGACAAGCCTCCCCCGCAAGGCTCGCCACTCACTCTTGCTGTCGGAGAAGACGAGGTGCGTAAATCCGTGGCGGCAACGCTTGACGATTCTCTTGCCCGAAGCGTCCATGTACACCTCGTACGACAACGTCCCGTAGTCTGGGCGGTTGCGAGTTGCCAGCGTCTGGAAAAAGTCTCTGGTCACTGGCCCGGGTGTCAGTCAGAATGCCCCCCCCCATCCAACTTTCTTTGGAGAACAGAAAAGGGGGGTGCGTGGGAGAAGCTTTTTCGTACACTCTTGGCTGAGGACCGAGAACCCATTCTTGCTTCGCACCACAAGCCGGAGCCGCTGCGTGGTCGTGTTTTGCAGAATGTGTATATCAGCATCGCAGATGTGCATTCTCTCCGTGTGCACATCCTGCGCCTGTCTGCCCCCACGAGATATTGATCGGCGCCAACACTCCTGCCAAGTCTGCTCCCCGTCCGCCCACTACTCACAGCTTGATCAGAGTTTTCTCGTCGTCTCGCGGGTGCTCGAGGTGAATCACAAAGAGGCCCATCCGAATATCCTCCATTTCTTGGTGGAACTGCGCGGCGCCTGCGAGATTGAGCCCGTCGGAGCACGGCTTAACGGCTTCTTCTCCAAGGGAAGACACCTACCTTCTGCTGACCCGAATTCGAGCGCAGCCGTGGCCGAGGCCGTCGGGCGCCCTCTCGCCCGCATCGTACGCTGTGCAGCCCACGTTTTTGATAAAGACGACGTCTTCCCCGGCTTTGTACAGCGTTTCCGAGTTCCAGCGTACTTTTGAGCCCATTAGTATCGGTGCCTACCATTGCAAGTTATCAAGGGGCGTAGACTGACGGTCCAGTATGGTCCGGACGATGCCGTCCGCCGAGGCCTTGGCCTCCTGCTTGCCGTAAGTGATGACAATCTCGACTTTCCGCTCCTCTTCAAAGGCGCTCTGCGGTAGCACAGCTTCGTCGAGGATACGGTCCAGGTCGATGGATTTGTAGTGGAGCTTCTGGACAAACTCGACGCTGTCGCGGCTGTAGGTGACGCTGCCCGATGTGAACCTGGCGGTATTGACAGACCGGTGTAGAGTAGTCGCGTTGCTGCTCACACGCCCAGCCCCGAATAATTCAGTGATTCGCCCAGACGAGGCATTGGAGGGCGGGTTTACCTGACAAGGTCCAATATGTTCGCCCTCGGGGGTCCCTTGTCGTTGTTGGAGGCGTGCGCGAGCATCGTGCTCATGCTTCGACGCAGCATCTGCCTTGTCTGGATGACACTGAGGCCGTGCACCAGCAGCTCTTCAAAGTCGTGCATGACTGAAAACAGGCGTGAGCCGACGAGTACAGCGAACCTTGACCAGGGGCAGACAAACCTTCTGGTGGCACGCCCCTGACGACAAGCGTTGTGAGCTGGTCTGTGACTCTGTTTGCCACCTTGTACAAGAGCCAGGCCCTCTCGCTGCCGGCGATTCTAGCGGCGAAGCTGAGCGGTGATACTGGCCCACCATTGTTAGCTTCGGCGTTGCAATACCTCGTGCAGACCCGAGGTTTTGGGAGGGCTCTTACGGCCGTACGCCTCGACTGCCGACCGGTGCGAGTCCTCGCCAGAAGCACAGTTACAGCCGAACAGCTGGTTGCTCTTCAGGGACGAGCTGTAGTAGGCGCCCGTGATCTTCTGGCTGAGCGACGCCCGAGGACAGACAAGCGTCGATTTGGGCCCGGACTGCTGATGAAGCTCGAAGAATAGGGCCGCAAACGGGCTTGCTTGAGCCTCGGCCTCTGGGACGGTCACTGACCCGGCCATGGTCCCAAACGCCGGAGCATTGGCCACACCAAGCGTTGCCGTTGCTGGCTTCCCCTTCAAGTTCTCCATATACCACTCGTGTATGTCGCCCAGCATGGCGGAGATGTGGTCCATGTCGCTCTGCAAACGCTCGGCCTGGGAGCTGCGCGCCATCAGTATGAATATCCAGGACCATCACAAGAGAGGGGGGGGCCGCTACTTGATGACGACGCCGAGGATGAGATTCAAGCTGTTGGTCTGGATGGTGAGGTTGCTTCTGAGAGCCGCCAGATCGCCGCCCTCGGTCGTCCACGCCACCTTTTTCCAATCCGACTTCAACTCGCGGCTCCAGCGTTTCAGCCGCGGCTCGCTCGAGTCGGAGCTCGTGGCGATGATGCTATACTTTTGAACGATGCAGTCGAGATGGCTTAGCGTTTCCTTGCAGCTCCGCAGCATGCCGAGGATGATGTCCTGGTTCTCGGCAAAGTGCGACGGGACGTTCTTGGGCAGCTTGGACTCGTCGACGATCAGCGGCGCGCTGCTGGCCGACTCGCGGGCCGTCGAAAAGGCATTCAGGGCGGCGCTGAGCGAGTACAGCTGGCTTTCCACCTCCCGAAACTCGGCCGGGGCAGACTTCTTGCCCTTTGTGAAAGCCTGGCCGATCTTGAAGGCCAGCTTGCCCATCAGATAGGCGTCGCCAAAGGAATTGGAAAAAGACATGGTGAATCTGGGCAACTATGTCGTGGCATCAAGCTGGTCATTGGCCAAGGCGGAGGGTTGACCCGAGGCAGAAGCGACGAGACGGGGTGATTCTCCTCGGGTCTCTCTTCTCAAGGGCTATGCTACAACTAATACCCAGCTGTTCTTGTCAGCAAAAACGGCTGCGCAAGGCAAACCGCACGTATTTGAGACAGTGGCTCTCGAACGGCTGAGCCCCCCGACTGGCCACCGACGAGGCGTCTTCTCCCATGCCACTCACTCTTCGTCAGTCCGCGCTCCGTGTTTCACTTGGTATGCGTCTCAAGCACGGCAGCCAATCGACGGCGGTGTGAGCCCTACGAATTCATGAGGCTTACCATCCAGAACCTTGGTCGGCTCTCACCATCAGCCGGGCTCACCTCGCGGCTTTCTCACACACCCGCGCCACGCGACGACGATCCATTGGCTGATGTCGATCTAGGGCTCACGGGGCCCATGGTCGAGGCAAGTCCAGGTTGCTCGAATGAAGGGGGCTGAGGGGGCTGAGGGGCCTGGCACTTGAGTCTTCCTCCGTCGCTGACATGAAGCTGAGAGCATTAGCAGCACAAGAAGATTTGCCGCGCAGCCCTGACACCTCAGCAGCTGAAATCTCAGGGCCTGGACCAGGATGTCGGCTGCAATGGGGAGACGCATACGCCTGGTATATAAAGACCGCTCGTGAAGCAGCCCAACCCCCATGGGCGCCAACGCCCATAATCGCCGTCTCCGACCACTGCGAAAGACTTGCCTGATTCAACCCCGACGGCGTCGCATCTCGTCGCCGCCTTGACGACTTCGACGTCGGCAGCGACCCGTATATAAGATGGCGCTTGCGCTGTTTCCAGGAATTCGCTTCGACCCACGAGAGCCGGTGCCGCCTCGCTTCGCCCATCTGGCTGTTCACCCTGGGCAGCAGCCCGGCGTCCTCGACGATCCCCAGCCTTGGCGCCGGAATGTCCCTCCCTGTGGGAACAACGGCCCGCGTCCTCCAGCGCCGAATCCTCCTCGATACAACCCGTATCGCCCCTACGCTGTGCCCGAAGTAGAGCGAGATGTCCCCGACGAGCCTCCGCCCCAGGAGGGCTTCCTGCCTCCCCTGTCGTCGTCGGTCAAGGTCCAGATTGTCCACGATACGGCAAAGTTCACCGTGACCCATCTCTTCTGGAACCGTTCGGGCCACATCAAGCAGGGCGTGTATCAGTTCCCGCTGCCCCTTGACGCCAGTGTCACCGACTTCAGCTGCCGCATCGGCCAGAACAGGATTGTGCGCGGCAAAGTCAAAGCCAAGGAGGACGCCCACCGCGAGTTCGACGATGCTGTCCGTGGCGGACGTGCGGGTGGCCTGGTGGAGCAGCAGACGGCTGAAATCTTCACCATCAGTCTGGCCAACATCCCGGCCGACACCAAGATGCGGGCCGAGATGTCCTTCATGTGCCTGCTCAAGCACAGAGTCTCCAGCAATCGCGAGGTCTTCACCCTGACTGTGCCGACGTATATTGCCCCCCGATACGGCCAAGTCCCTCCCGGAGTTCAGATGGACTTACCCAACAACCACTATTTGAATCTCGAAGTAGACGTGTTGACGGCCGAGGACCTGCTGTCGGTCAACAGCGACACGCACAACATCATCGTCGAAAGAGGCGGTGGGCAAAGGGCCTGCCAGACCTGGGACGACTTCGTCGTTCGCCGCGACAACGACACATCCAACCTGCGGACGGCCTCGGTGCAGCTCGAGCAAGGGCGCACAAGCCTTGACAAGGACATGGTCATCACCATCATGACTGCCCTGTCAGACAATAGGGCGCATCCCCAGGCTTGCCTGGAGACGCACCCGACCCAGGACAACCACAAGGCCTTGATGTTGACCCTTCCGTCAGACTACCTCTTGACCACGGAGAGGTGCGCCCACGATGGCGAGATTGTCTTTGTCGCGGACCGATCGGGCTCCATGTGGGACAACATCGGGAGCTTGAAGTCGGCTCTCATGTTCTTCATCAACGGCATCCCTGAAAATCGGCCCTTCAACATCTGGTGCTTCGGAAGTGATTGTGTGAGCCTGTGGCCGCGATCCAAACTCTTGAATGAGAACACGAAGCAAGAGGCCATAAACTACGTACGCCAAGAGTTCGCTGCAGACATGGGCAGCACTGATATTCTGCCCGCTCTGAGGAAAATCTATGAGGCGCGTGGCGGCTGCTTGACCATGGACGTCGTGGTATTGACCGACGGCGGAGTGTGGGAGCCGCAGCAAACAATCGACTTTGTCAGGCAGAGGCGGCTGGTGAGCGAGGGCATGTTTCGATGCTTTGCGCTGGGCATCGGCCATGCCGTCTCCCATGAACTCGTCGAAGGCATGGCCAAGGCAGGCAATGGCTATGCCGAGGTGATAGCTTCTGCTGCCGGTGGCGGCTGGGAAGACAGAGTGGTGGCCGTGTTGAAGGCTGCGACAACGGGCCACATCAACTCTGTGCAGATGGGACTCGAGTGGCAGACGGGCGACGATCAGGGCACTGTGCGGCCGTCCAAGCTCAAGCAGTCGCCTGCCGATGTGTCCAAAATCAGCCCCTTCATCCGCAACCGCGTCTTCATCCTGTTTGACTCGGGGGCGCCGTGCCCAGAGCTGGAGGCAGTCGTTCTCAAAGTCAGGGGCCCGGATGGAGACTATGCCACAAAGAGAGTGTTGCCGAAGCGTCTTCTCCTGCCAGACGACACCATCCACAAGCTGGCAGCCCGAGCACTGCTGGGCGATCTGGAGAGGGGGGAAAGCTGGCTCCACAGGGGCCAGCAACAAGACAGAGGCGCTGCGCCGCCGGTTCGCGAGGAGGCGATCAACTTGGGCTGTCAATGGTCCCTCGTGTCCAAGTGGACAAGCTTGTACGCGGTTGAGGAGCACGCACTGGAGGCGATGGAGGACTTGCACATCGATATTGTGCTTCCCGACGACGCTGATGAGGTCGAAGACGCCCTTCTGCAGCCCCGGGGCGATCCCAACCGGAACGCGGGACTGCTCGGCCGCGGCGGCGGCGCCATACAGGGACCAGACAGCGTTGCGGAGAGCGAAGTCTCCGACTTGGAATCCGTTACGGAAGATGATATGCAACACGAGTGCATGAGCGACAGAGATGAGGCCTTGGGGGAGGATGGCAACAATCCGGGGCCTGGCGGGCAAGGCGGAGCTGCAGGTGGTCATGAAGAGACCGGTAGAAAAGAAGAAGGGGGCCGAGATGGGGATCACGACGACAAGGGAGGGCCCGAGGGGCAAGGAGGAGATGGGGATGGTGGCCATGGGGAAGGGAGCTACTTGGAGGACTGGGCAGACATGGATGGCGGATATGCGCGCTACGAAGATTGTGATACAGGCTGGGATAACAGCTGGGATGCCATTGTCCCAGCAGAAAGGGGTCCATCGCCCTCTTCGCTGACTGTCGCCTTGTCAGACTGCGCGTCTGCGTCTGGCCTTTGCGCGGCCCAGGAGACGGCGGACTCGGTCATCGTCGAGCGGGCGGAAGCTAACACCTCAGTTGTCGTCGAGCCGGCAAAGGGCTGGGAGTCGACAGCGAACCGGGAAGGCGCTGGGCCTTCTGACCCGTCTCCGTATCCTTGGCCTTCGGCCTCTCGACTGCAGAGAAAGGGTGGAAGCGATAGATTGTGGTTCATTAATTCTCCATCAGGCGCCTCGACTGGTACGTCTCAAAGGCCTCCCGGCAAGGACGATAGTGATGATGGGGTTTGCTGACCTCTGCGTGTAGCGACCTGGGCAGCTTCACGAACGAAACGCGCCAGGCAGGGCGGTACGATTGCGTCTTCGGGAAGCTCCAGAGCGGACGCGTCCATCTATTCCACGGCCGAGGGGGCTGCCCCAATTTTGCCACAGGCTGTGTCGATGGCGCCGGCGCCGCTCGTGGTACCGCCCAGGTCCTCGTTCGAGGAAATGGCTGAGGACAGGCTGCAATCAGACTGGTATTACTATCATGGCTGTGCGTTCCACGTGCAGAGAGTATCACGGCCCTCGTCTGCAGCCTCGATGGAGGACTTAATACCGGTGCTTCGCGCAGAGGAGACCCAGAGCTCTCAGTCCGCATACCAGGAGCCGGTGCCAATCTCGGCGGACGTGCCCATGACGGCACCACGACAGAGTTCTTCGTCCAGATACCAGGGTTCGGGGCTGGTCTCTCAGGCGGCGTTGTATGCACGAGCGCCGCCGAGCCATCAGTCCCAGCATCATGCATCGGCGCCAGTCTATAACCCTCCAGCGTCAACCTTCATCGTTGAAAACGAGAGCACCGAGTCGAAGACTGCGGGCGAGCTCGCAGCCGAGAGGTTGGTTAGCAGCCTGCTCGTCTTCCAAAAGTCAGACGGCAGCTTCGTCTTCAACAGCAACGAGAAGATCAAGACCATGTTGGGGCCCTCTTTCTTCCAGATCGCGGCCGGACTCAAGACCAAGCTCGCCTTCGGGGACTCTGCAACGGCCAGGGCGACGGTGCCTGACGCGATTTTGACGGTGGCAATTGTGGCCCTGCTGGAGGAGCAGTTCCAGGCTTGCCAGGCGCTGTGGGTGCTGATGGTGCGCAAGGCAAAGGACTACATCTCGGGGTGCACCTTGAACGGGACGGCGGAGGAACTGGTCTGGGAGGCCAAGCAAGACATGAGGACCATGGGGTCCGTCATGGATGAGCTGAAGGACGCGAGCGCCGCGGCGGGGGGCGTGGACGAGCTGCGGACTGCTCCAATGTTGTGACCGGGGGAGGGCGGGCTGCTTGTCTGTCTCCTTTTCATTTGGAGCTTTCGGGGCTTCCAGTCTTCCACCATGTCTGTTGTTCTTGTTGGAGTGGCGAGCGGGTGTCGATTTCGAGGATGGCGCCAGACAGGCATGCCGCTGTACTCGAGGATTTATCGAAGCGAGTCGCCAGATTGCTTGGAGGACTGGGTTGACATGGTTTCGGATTCTTCATCGCAATATGGAGTCGGCGAGTGAGCTTGACGTCGGCATCACGGGAATACTTGTCCGGGCCGGTACCTGCGGCTCTTGTACAGAGTACCTCGGGAGGAGGGTCCACCCATTGGATCGCAGGCCCAGGTGGAGTCACGCGTGCCTGTCGGTACAACGCCCGCTGTAGCTGGCCCGTGGCGACCGAATCCCTGCCCAGAGAATACCCACTACCCGTGCCACGCCCCACTTTATTTGGAATTCGCAAGCTCCCACCTCCTAAAGTTGGTGCTCACCACCAGTATCCCCACACCACCGGAATACCCAGAATTTCGACTCCCCGACTTCAGCATCCCTATATCTTAACCAATTCACGATCTCGTCGATAGCCGAAATGGAAGCACGTGTACAAAACGCTCTTCGATATATTGAAAATTTTCCCGGTGCTAAAGTCGCAACCGTAGCGCGAGAATTCGGTGTAACACGTGATCGATTGCGATACCGTCTTCAAGGCCGACCTCCTAAAACTGGCCAGCGAGCTAGAAATACGAGGCTTTCCGAACCAGAAGAGAAGGCCCTATGTCGCTATATCGATCGTTTGGATAATATAAACCTTGCGGTACGCGTCGAGTTCGTTACTGACGCGGCAAACTGTATCTTGCGCGAGCGGTCTAGCCAGCGCGACGCTCCTACCGTGGGGCCAAACTGGACTTCTCGCTTCTTAAAGCGTCACGGCTACTTCAAAAAGCGCCAAAAAAGGCTTCAAGCAGAGCGCCAAGTCTCCGAGAATCTTACACGAGTTAACCAGTATTTCCAGCATCTTCGGCAGGTTATCCAAGACAATGGTATACCTCCTGAGGATATCTGGAATATGGACGAGACTGGTTTTCGCATCGGGGTTGGAAAAGACCAGCTGATTGTGACAAAACGGAGGAGAGCTCATTATTTTGGCATTCCTGAGAATAGGGAATCCGCTACTGCGATCGAAGCTATCTCGGCGAATGGGGAGGTTGTTCCGGCTTTTTTGATACTCGCTGGCCAGATGCACATGGCTTCATGGTATCAAATACCTGAGCTAGATCCTGACACAGTTATTCGACCCACGCCTACTGGTTACTCAAACGACGTGATTAGTCTGGAGTGGCTCCAGCATTTTGACAAGCACTCGGAAAAAAGCTCAAGAAGCTCGAAGCGACTTCTAATTCTTGATGGTCATGGCTCTCACCATACCAGGCAGTTCATTGAATACTGCGACAACCACAATATTATTCCCTTCGGCATGCCGCCTAATCTCACGCATGCACTTCAGCCTTTGGACGTTGTCGTTTTCCAGCCCCTAAAGCACTATCACGCCAAGGCTTTAGATGTCATGGTTCGAGATGGCCTCGTCAACATAACCAAGCTTGAGTTTCTCTCCTGCATTCAACAAGTACGATTGCATGCTTTCAAGGAGAGTACTATACGCTCCGCATTTCGCAAGACAGGAATCTTCCCATTCAATCCACAAGTAGTACTTCAATGTTTGGAAGCTCGTCAAGCCACGACACCCACACCTCCTCCCAATTCAGGACCACACTCCTCACCTTTCGAGACACCATTGACTCTACGACAAATAAACAAGGTAGCGGACAAATTAGATCTCGTCCTTGAAGACGATAAAAGCCTGGATCCCGACTTTTCTCACGATCTCAGTCGATTTATTCGAGGATCGCTATCTCTGGCGACTGAGCTCGTGCAGACTAAAGGGACTTGGGACGAACCAAAATGGCGGAGCGGATCCAAAAACAACGTAAGGCTATGAAGAATATACAGTTACAATCAGGAGGAGTATTGTCAGTGGCCCAAGGACGGGAAATGGTGCAACAAAGGGAGATGATCAGATTGCTAAAGCAAGGAAGGTAGTAGAAGACGCGGAGAAAAGGCGCATAACGCACGCAAGCGATGGTTTGAGGAAGCAGCAAAAAGGCACGCCAATGGAGGTTCAGGAAGGTTAGAACGAGTGGAAGTACGCGATTCTGAGCGTGGTACGCGGTGGTTGAAGCGATTCTAGGTCGGGGAGTCGAAATTCTGGGTATTCCGGTGGTGTGGGGATACTGGTGGTGAGCACCAACTTTAGGAGGTGGGAGCTTGCGAATTCCAAATAAAGTGGGGCGTGGCACGGGTATAATAAACACATCTTCGTGAGTGATGCCTGCATGATCAAGCACCCGGATGTACAGAGTACCTGCCCATGTAGTAGTTCTTTAGTTCGATGCATCGCAGTCGCCGCCATCCTCTCATCACCTTGCCACTGTAATCTCCATCCTCAACCTCTTCTTCTGCCTAACACCCAACACCCCCCCCCTGTTTCCGCGCAGGACGGCACTAAGCTCATGAGTCACAGTGCAGCTCATCGGTCCTTGTTCACGCATATTAACAAGCCGAGTACCCTGGAACCAGTAGCTCGCCCCTCCCTACGAACCTTGTGCCATCTCTCGTCCCGTCCCGTCCAAGCTGTCGGTGAGATAGACCCTCGAGGCACCGCAGGCCTCCCGCTTGACCCCGGTCCCTCGACCCAAAGATCCGGCGAAGCCAGCAGCGGATATAAGAGGGTGACATTAAGCGAGGCGCCACCCGCAAGCCAGCTAAACGACCCTCTGCTCTGCCCTCATCGTCCCTCCCCTTGCCCTCGAGAAAGAGGCAGTCAGTCACGTTCTCCGCAGACACGTCGCTCGACGACGCAGTGGCGCGCGCAGCCATGTCTCGCCGCCTGCGCCGCTCCCCCGACCAGCAGCCGGGCGAGGGCTCGCTACCCGTCGACAGCTCGTGGCGCATGGTCGACGGCGAGCACGACAGCTTCGACACCACCATCCTCCCCTCGCTGGGGCCCGAAGACGACTTTGACGACGACGTCCTCGTCCCTCTCTCCAGCGGCCATCCCGCCTCGTCGGCCGGCCTTCCGTCACAGCTCTCCCGGCTTTCGTCCCAGGGCAACAACGCGTGCGGCGGATCGCAGGACAGCATCCGCGACTTTGCCAAGCATCAGGACGACGACCAGGTCATCCTGCGCGAGCCCTTTCGCCCGAGCATGCTGATTACGCCGAGCCACAGCCACGCGCAACGCTCGAACCTCCGCACGCCCGATCCGCAGTTTAGGATGCCCTTGGTCGACACCGGTCGCGATGGGACGAGTAGCGGGGCCAGCTCGAGAACGGCGAGACCGTTTGGCATGGGGACCGGCTACGAAGGCGGGGATGGGGACACGGCGCGCAGACGGGGCTTGGCGTCCCTGGGAAGTCCCGCCAAGAAGCAGCGCCGCCGAGCAATGTCGTCATCCTTGGACGACGACGACGGCTTCGACGCGCGCCGGCGCAAACCGGCTAGGGGCCGCGACGCAAAGAGCAACACTATCCTCGCGGCCCTGCCGTCGACCGTGTACAAGCTCTGCGCCTGGATGGGCGAGGTCGTCTTCATCGCCATGACATACGCCAAATACCCCCTCGGCGCCCTCCTCGCCGTCTACCTCGTCTTCGGCAGCCTCATCGTGGCGCAAAACATGGCGACGCGCTCCATCTATGCGGCCGTCTCGCCCCTCTGCCGCATCCCCGGCGCGTCCCTGCTCAGCCTCCCCTTTTGCCCGCCCGGGGACGGCGCAGCCTCCAACGGCTCGGCCGGCGCCGGCCACCCGGTCGAGTTCAACGACCTCATGGGCGTGCAGTCGCAGTTTGAGCAGGTGCTGGAGCGCAGCGCCGACGGCGTGTCGCTGCCCTTTGAGATGAAGCGCTCCGAGGCGGCGGTGCGCGATCTGCGCAGCCTCGTGCGGCACAGCGACATCCAGGCCAGGCACGAGCTCGTCCTCGAGTTTGACGGATACATCGAGGCGACGCGGCGCGCGGCGTCGGACCTGCAAAAGTTCAGCACGCACGTCGGCTCGGCCGTCGACTCCGTCATCAGCATCAACCGCTGGACCTCGCGCTACATTGACTCGCTCGCCCCCTCGGCCGTTGACGGCGGCCCCTCGGCGCTGGCCGAGTGGTCCTCTTGGCTGTTTGCGCCCTTTCAGCCCGCCGTGCCCGAGCCCTTCAGCGAGCGCGCCATCCTCGACAAGTACATTGAACACACGGCCCTCGTGTCGGACCGCATCGCGACGCTCATCCTCGAGGCCCAGGCCATCCTGCGCCTGCTCACCAAGGCAGAGGCCCACCTCGCCCTCATCTACGACATCTCGTCGCGCTCCGAGGCCAGCGTCGCCTCGCGCCGCGACGAGATCCTCTGGACCATCTGGACCCTCGTCGGCGCAAACTCGGCCCGCCTGCACGGCCTGGCCCGCCAGCTCGCCCTCCTGCGCCAGGTCGACGCCCAGCGCTCCTCGGCCGTCGCCCAGGTCAGCGCCCTCGTCCTCGAGCTCGAGGCCATCCAGGCCGGCCTCGGCGACCTGCGCGACCGCGTCGCCGAGCCCCAGCTCGTCGCCGCCTCCCCGCGCGCCGCCCACATACCCCTCGCCGTCCACATCGAGACGATTGACCGCGGCGTCGAGCGCCTCCAGGCCGCGCGCGCGAGGATCCGCGCCGCAGAGGACGAGCGCGTCAGGGACGCCGTGGCCCGCATCGGCGGCTCCAAGATGAACGACGATCGCCTCATCGACTCGCGGGGCGGCCGATGAGGGGACCAGGACAGTACCATGGGCGCGACTATGACATGGGCCGGTGCCCTCTTCCCCCCTCCTGTTCGTATGTATCTATTCCCTTTTTGATAGTTCCCCCCTGGCCGGCGATCGTTTCTTGGCTTGCCCCCTCTCCCCCCCCCCTGGCTTTCGGCCTTGTACATATACTGCACGCATTCACTTGGGCGGACAACCGAGTTTCATTACGGGGATTGCGGGCGGTGCTCGGGATAGCACATGCCGAGCGTGTCCTGTGTCTCCACGAAAGCTAGCTATACATTACCAAGGAGGCCCTTCCATCTAGTCTCAGGCCCGTGCTCTTACCCCGTTCTCTCGCTCTAGCGTCCCGTTCGTCCGTCACGCTGCTGCCGCCGGCAGATCAACGAGGTACATAGTGGTCATAGTGAAGCTGTATATATCTCAACAACTCTGAAGCTTTATAGCTGCGGGGGTATATGATCCCGCAAAGCGCTCCCAGCGCCCGATTCCATGATATTCGTCTCTTTTTGTCCATTAACGCATGTCCCAAGCATAAAAAATCCTGTCCTGCCCTATGCCAACCCTGTGCCCGGTCGCCTGGTGGACGAGAAAGGTGCACCCAGTCGTCGGCTCGGAGCCGTCAGCCACGGCATGCCCAGGTTGCAAGTTTCCCGCTGGGGCTCACGGCCCGCGGCGTAAATCGCCAACCACAGCTGCATATTGAATAAGAGAAGCATCAACGGCGACGAGTGCTCACGGCAGAGCGGCGCCCATTGCCCCCATGTCGCGAAAGCTGATCGGATCCATTCAAACGCCGTTTCCAAAAGTCCCAGTGGTATTCGTTGCCCAAGATCACCAGTCCGTTGCACGCCTCTGCCATAGAAAAAAAGTGCCCACAAACCGAAAACGCCAATGCCATGATTCGTGTCGGAGAACGAGGAACGCTGCTGGAAAGTCAAAGCTATGTAAAGCCGGGGAACGCTTTCGACAACGCTCGTCGCCCTGTATATGTCGCCATGTCAGCAGCGATGGTCTCTGGAAGAGGTAGGGTATGCGCTGGGGCCACTCACACTTGGGACGCTGGTGGTCCGGATCGTCAAATGGCGCGTTCTTTGCCGCGATTTGCCGCATTCGTTCCCGGGCAAAAGATGAAGGGCTCGACCGTCCCACAGTGGCCGTTTCCTTCGGTTCTGTCTCTTCGTGGTGGGTGGGCAGCAGCCTCAACGCCCGAGGACGGGACTTGCGAGGTCTCGCCTTCTTGGCTCCGGTAGGGGCTTGGAACGCTTCCGACGTGTCTGGACTCGAGGCAGCACCGTCGGCTTCGGCGGCTGCTGCTTTCGGCTCAGAGGTCTGCGCACCTGGCCGAGAAGCCATGTGCACCTCGGACGAGGCCGGCGGCGACGCATGACCTGAGGTACTGAAGAGCCGCTTGCCCCATTCTTTAAACTTCGTGTCCCCGGAGTTGATTGACGAGTCTTCGAGGTCAACCCGTTCCCTCAGCCGCCGCACGGCCTGCTCGCGTCGAACCATGCCATTGGTGATCTTTGGGCTGTAGCCTCGAGGCAGCATACAGTGCTTGCACATGGGACAGAGCGAGCTGTTTTGCGTCAAGAACTCGTCGATGCAAGCCGGATGGAAAATGTGGCCGCAGGGCAGTTCTCGAATAATGGTTTTGCAGTGTTCGAAGCTGGCAAGGCATATGTGGCAGTTGGGCTGGAAATTCGTCGCCGTCGTATCCGCGGTGCCCGTGATGCTGGATCGCTTGCTGCGGATGCTTCGAACGCTGCGCGAGCTTCGCATGCTGCCAAGAGGCATGGCGTCGGATGTTCCGTTTCGCTGATCCGCGCGTCGGCTTCTGCGCGAAGACCTTATCGGGTGCGTGGCGGGGTTGGCGGCGGGCGAGTTCGGAGCCGGTGTGGCGTCAACCAGGTCTGGATCCGCATTGTAGGTAAACAGTGCGAAGCTCTCGACATGAGACGGCGGCACCGTCAGCCGTTTGATGCCCATGGCCTCGAGATCAACATCGCCAGACTGGACGCGGCGCCTCAACGACGTGCGGTTCCGCCGCTGAATAAAATGCATGACAAGCGAAACAGCGGTGATGACGAAGAGCAAGGCTCCAATGACAATGAGGACAAAGGCCCAGACAGCAGGGACGTTGGACGAGTTTTGCATGGTGAGATCGGTCCATATGCGCACGTAGTCATCGGGGCTCGGCCCGTAAAGCTGGTTGATTTCCTCTCCGTGAGGGACCCGATCGGTGGTGCCCGAGTAGAGGCTCAGCTGCGTCATCATCCTCTGGCCCTCGAGACCCGAGACGGCGAATATGGGGAAGTGATGCTTCTTCTTCCATTCCTCATCGTCGTCCAGGTTCCAGACCGGGGAGTCGACCTCTTGGGGCTTGTTGGTCGAGTTATTGGGTTTGTAGAAAATGAATGCGCGGACGGGGCCGCGAGCAGCCGAGGCCAGGTATGCCAGCGTGCATTCCATGCTGAACCAAGGGGCGATGGCGACGACATTGAAGTTGCTCGGGGGCAGCTGCTCGCGGCGTGTGACATTGCGGGGGATGAAGTTGTACTGCTGGGCATCGCACGAGGGGACGGTCGTGACCTGGGGGACAAACAAGAGACCGCCAAAGGTGCCGTCGAGCTTGGGGGCGTTTGTGGTGGTGAGGGTGGTGAGATTGGTGGAGATGCGATCCTCGTATCCTATCTGGCTCTGCCGGAGGGGGGGCGTCAGCGTCAGCGTCAGCGTCAGCGTCAGCGCTCGTAAGCGGGGCCTGTTGTCAAGACATACCGACAGCGCGGAAATGTTCCTGACGAGGGTCGATGGGACCGTTTTGGCACCCTCCCACACCGGGTTGCTGAACAAGAGACTGCGCACAGGTTAGCAGGGAATGGTTATGTCGTCGAGATGGGGAGCGCAGCATCGGGGCGTGGGCGGTCGAGGGTCGGCGGGGCAGGCGCAAAGGCAGCGGCAGGCAGGCTGGAGAAGGGGAAAACGTACACGCCATTTCGAATCTCGGTGAGCGCTGGGAGAACTGTGATTAGCGCCGAGGCTCGGGTCGTGGCATATTCTTGGAGACAGGAGGCCAAGAGAACGGGGACGGACTCACACATTATCGTCAGGCATGATCCGTCATCGGGGACGCGAGAAGGACATTTCAGGCAGCGTTTGCGCGACGGCGAAGGGGAGCGAGGAGGAGGAGGAGGAGGGGCGGGCGGACGATGATGAACGAGGCGGTGGGCAAGCCGGTCGACGAGACGGTTGACGAGGCTGTTGGGAGAGAAAAGGAAGGCAGTCGAGTGCGGCAGACGTTGCAGGCGGGGGGGCGGCTCGCTCGGCGGAAGGGGGAGGTGGAGGCTTGTCGCAGATTGGCAGTGCGAGCGCGCCAGAGCCCCCTGCTGACTACTAGTGCAGCATGTACCTACGAGAGGGCGAGGGACTAGAAAAGCCTGGGGAGAATGGGGAGAAAGGGGGGGAATGGAGAGAAAGGAGAGGACAAGAGAACAGAATAGAACAGAGAGGAGGGGAGGATGCTGGAGGAAGAAGGGGAAGAGCTTGTTGCAGGTCGGCTGGTAACCAAAAATGCAACTGTCTCGAAGCAGCAGCGCACCAACGGCGGGCGGCAGGGGAAAACGGTCGCGGGCTTGCAGACGGTCAAGGCCTACAGTAAGAAGGGGGGGGGGGAGACGAATTCCAGGCCCGAATGAGCAAGCAAGAGGCTATAATTAGTAGCTGGTACAGTAGAGAGCCCGTGGCCTCGAGGCAGGTAGGTACCTAATCTGCGCAGTACATGGCGACTGCTCGGCGTAATCCGTAGCCCGAGGGCACCCCGCAAGGTCCAAGGTGAAAGTACCTACTGGTAATCCGTACTCGGGCTAGTACGGTAACTTTCCATTATGCCAAAACAAGTGACAACCACCAAAGCGCGTCAGCAGAAAAACAACACAAGACAAGAAAGACCATGGCAAATCGACACTGTCATGCAAAGGGGAGACGGGAGGTCCGCGCGAGGCCAATCAATGACTGCTCAGAGCATGGAAGATGGACACTCTGTCTGTCTGCCTCTCTGTCTCTAACCTACCCAAGTAGGTAGGTCCCCACTGTCTTCGAGTCTCGACAAAAATACCTACCTCGAGAGGCTCTCAACGCGGTACCTACCGGTACCTACTACCTGCCTACCTACCTGCCTACCTACCTACCTACCTACCTACCTTACTGTACCGTCGCACCCGCTACGCTACCGAGCACCCACACTGGGGTAGCCGGCCTTCGAAACCCTGACATTCCTCTTGCTCGCCGACGTCTCCTTTTTTCCATTAACCTTGACGGCAATGCCCAAATACCGACAGCTCGATGCTCTACGTGCAGCTCGGCACCGATACCGCCGCCATCCATGATCCATCCATCCAGGCCCGCTCCCGAACCACTCGCGCAGACATCCTACAGTATGTATAAGCACAGTATCTTGCCTGGCCTGCCTACTGTAAGCCGGCATGCAGGTCGTGCTGCCCCGTTGGCTCATCCGTCCGTGCCATCTGTTCCTTGCTGACGAGCACCCTAATCCAAGATGGGCCCATCTTGCCTCGAATCCCATCATCCACGGCTGCCAAGCTCCGTCGTCGAGGAAAAAAGCTTGTCTCGAGCAACGTCCGTCTTGCCAAGCCCAACTGTCCCAGACACGCAACGCCGTGCACAGTTTCCACCTTTACCCTTCCTTCCGTGAATTCCTCCCTGCCGATTGATTCGGGCGGGGCCTCATGAGCTTATTCCTTGCCTCGGGTCTGATGTACGTACTGGGCCCGAGGATACAACTTGGCATCTTGGCCCGAGGTTTCATATACCCTGCCCGTACCGAGTATTTATAGAAGCTCCAGTCTTGACACATAAATAAAGGCTCGCTGCATGCAAGGACGAGGTGACTTCATCCTTTGCCAAGCACAATGCGTCGAGAGACGTCTACCGGTAAACATGTTATTTCAGACGACGAGTGACATTTGACAGACCTGAACCTCCCTCCCTGCAACAAGCAGAGGCATCCCTATCCATGGCTGGCCTCGGCATCCCCACCGGTTGTCTACCTACAGTATGTACATGAACGACTCTGGACGAATCAGCCCTCGGGCCATGATGCTGAAAGAATATTATCCGCAAAATTTCACAGAGTTGCGGCGCCTCCGTCCGCTTTTGGTGATCCGTCGCTTCATCGCTGCCTGCGTCCACGACCGGACAATGCCCGTTCCATCTTCAGCCACCATCACGTAGACACGGACAATCATGTCATGCTCGACCGTGGACAGGCCATGTGAGCGGCTGCCTGCTGCACTCGAGCACTGATAGGTCCAGGTCCTTGTCCCCCCTGTCGACGTACAGTTGCTTGGGCCTGGATGCCTGACGTGCCGCCCTCGGGACATGCTCCACCGACCGCCGGCCGTGGACAAGTTTGCCGGACACTTTTGCACGCATCCATGTCCCCTCCCGTCTGTCCGTCCGAGCGGCACGTGGCTTGCCGTTACTGGCGAAGCCGCCTTCAGGTGGTGATTGCTCACATGGCCCCTTTCGACGCCCTACAGCCTGTAGCACGTACTGTAAATACATACTGTACATACATACTGTACATACACCACGGCAGTTCTGCTGGCAGTGCGGTGCGGTGCAATGCAATGCAAGGCCAGTCCACGAACAATGATACGTGTTTGCCTTGGTCGCCATGCCCATGCTCGTCCAAATCCGCCATCTTTGTAATCTAGAGTCCCTTCTCGCATCCCCGCACCCCTTTGTCTCGGCAACGCCCTTCCGAACCAGCGCCTCATCGTGATTCGCCACCACTACCACCACACCGCTGACTGCCTGATACCCCCAAAACATCACCGCCATGGCCAGCCCGTCAAAGATAATCAACCAAACTTTTCTTTTCATTGGGCTCAGTCTTACCAACATCCTTTGCTTCCGTCTTTCCTCACTCCACGCTGCTCATCGACCCTTCAATAGCCCCCGCCGCCGTAACCGCCCTGCCCGTGGCCCGGGCGCCGCTCGCTACGTCCGTACTCGTCATCATCATCATCGCTATCATCACGACGGCGGCCACTGGTGCCATGTCCTCCCCGACGCCCGTTGTCGCTGTTGCCGCCGCTGCTCCCGTAGCTATTGTCCCGACGGCTGTTGCTGCTGCCGTAGCTCTCCTCACGACGGCTGTTGCTTCCGCTGCTCTCATAGCTCTCCTCACGCCCGCCGTGGCCGCCGCCGCCGCCGTAGTTGTCTTCGTCACGGCGATTGGACCGACCGCCGCCGCCATAGCTATCCTCTTCACGGCGGTTAGAGCTACCGCCGTGGCCGCCATAGCTATTCTCATTGCGACGATTCGAGCTGCCGCCGTAGCCGCCCCCTTGCTGCCGGCCTTCGTAGCTGCCCTCATTGGAGCCTCTGTACTCGTGGCGTTCAGTTCGCTGCTCGTACCCGCCGCCGTAGGTGGGGCGCGTCTCCGTCCTCTCCTCATAGCCGTAGCCGGCCGTCTGCCTTCCGCTATGCGACTCTTGCTGTTCATACCGGCTGTATTGGGAGGTGCTGCCGCCGTCGGGACGCTGGGTCTGGCTGTACTCGGCTTGGGCGTATCGGCCCTCATGTCGACCAAACTCCGTCTGGGTCTGAGTGTAGGAGCCATCGTCTTCGCGGCGGTGGCTGCTGTGCTTCTCTTTTTCGTCCTTGCCAAAAGCGCTTCCCAAGATGGAGCCGGCGGCGCTGAGGAATCCGCTCAGGCCGCCCTCTTCCTCTCGCTTCTCTTCCTGCTGCGAGCCATGGGCAGAGGGCATCTTGTACCCGGTGTTTTGTTCCACCATGCCCGAAAAGGCGCCAGTAGCGCCCTGGACAATGGCGTCTGCGGCCGCGCCGGCAATCTTGGTCTCGAGGGTCTCGGGCTCGCCGTAAAGCTTTCGCATCTTGAGCTTGCCAGAGCACCCGTGGCCATGGCCAGTGTCGTTTACGCCCTCCTTGTGGTTCTCGCCCCTCCTGACGCCCTCGCGAGACAGCTTGCGGCGGTAGTCTTCTCTCTGGTCGTCGCCCATTTCTCTCCACCACTCCTCGACGGACCCGAAGATGAGTCGGCGGGCCTCCACAACGCCATCCCGTCCCATTTCTCGCTGGACCGGGTGGTGCAAGACGCCGTGGACAATGCGGTCCAAGAGACGGTTCACGTCGGTGTCGTCATCGTCAATGGCTTCCATGATCTGAGGGACGACCCAGTGCAGCATCTTGGCAGCCGTTCGGCCAGCGACCTCGTTCAATATCTGCACCAATCAGTATGCGAGACCAGGCAGCGGCACGTTTGCGCCAAAGGAAAGCAAGTCGACCTACGTTGGAAAAGTGGTCCTTGGACAGCATCGAGTGCGTGGGGTCGCTTGAGCCGTCATCTTCAAAGACAATGTGCTGCTCCTGTTCGCTGCTGTGGACAATCTCGCCGGAGCCCGTTCGAAGCTCGTTCCGGATCTGGTGGATCAGGGGGACCACCATGGGAGCAATGACCGAGAAGACGAACTTGGAGAGCTGCTCCTCCAGCTGCTCAATGATCTTGGGCAGGACCGGAATCTTCTCGACGGCGCTGGTGATGGACTTCATGATGTCATCGTGGAACTGGATGGCGGGCATCACCTGCCGGAAGACTTGGCCAACGTAGACGGTGAACTCCTCGGGATCCTTGGGGGAGACGGACATGCCCTGGAGTTGAGCCGTGTTGGCTTCGGACTGGATCTCGTCGATTCTGTTGCTCTGCTTCTTGCCCCCAAAGAGGCCATCGGGGATCTTGTCGAGGAGGTCGCGGAGCACGCTGGTGTCGGCATTCTTGCTCTCCTGCAGGGTCCCTTCAAGCTCGTCAATCTCGTTCTGTGTCAACTTATCCGACACTGCGAAGCTGGTCAGCTCAGGGTCACGGGCCAGTGTGGGATGACCGACCTTCGCCCACGACCGAGTGCAGGAAATCGACGCCGCCAAAAGTGCCCGTGACGATGGGGTAGACTTCTTGGCGAGCACCTTGGAGTTGGATGAGCGTGTTTCGTCCGCAATGAGGGAATACATTGCCCTCGCCCATTTCGATCAGGGCGAGCTCCGTGTAGTTGCTGTGGGCGAAGAAGTCTGGCAGGTCGGGTTAGCTTAGCTCGCCTCCGCCGTCAAAGTCAGATGAGCTGGTTGCGGGGGAGTTGGCGGACGGGTGGGAGGACGGGGGCGGCGGCGAACCTTCCAAGCAGTGAAGGCCAGTGCCCATCAGGCGAAGCGCTTCGTATAGATCGTCCTTGTTACCGCCCTGTTTGTATCGACGACCGAGCTCGATACAGCCGCTGAACAGTCTCCTCACGTGCTGAGCCGAAGTCATGATACCGGCACGCTCGTTTGCGATGTAGTTCTTCATGCCCGATTCGGGGTCGACGGATAGCTCTGTCCTCTCGTCGATGGGGCCTCGCAAGCGACGGTCGTACTGCCGGGCGTCCTGGTTGTCGGCATAGTTCTTGGGGTTGTCGATGTGGTCCTCGGGACGGTAGCATCCGAGACGATCGGCCGTGACCTCGAACTCGCCGGAGCCGTAGCCAAAGGTCAAGAAGCCGAGGATGCAGAGGAGAAGGCGGATGGCCTCGGCTGAGACGGATTTGACGGTGCCGACGTCGATGGCTTGCGAGTAGTCGCGCAACCAGTTGCCAAAATAGACGCGAGAAACCATGATTTTTGTGAATTTCTTGCCCTTGAAAGCGTGGGCCATGGCGAGGGTGAGAAGGGCGTCCTCGATGTCGCCATGTCGCCCTGTCGAGGTACGTGGTCAGCGAAGCCTGCAATGTGGTCCTCGGGTGGATACAGACAGTTCTGGCCCTCGACCTTGGAGATGGAGGCAATGTTTCCAGCACCAAAGGCGGCGGCAGGGCTGGCCAAGGCGACAAGGACGATGAGGCCCAAGAGTAGGCCTGGGTTCCTGAGGTCGGGCATGGCGGGGTGCTCCGAGCTTGAGGACGGCTATCTATATTGCTGTATGCGGATGGTGTTGTGTCGATTGGGGCGGTAGCAGATGTCAAGTGCGAGTTGTTGGAAAGATTCGATGAAGAATGAAGGGAGAGGAGGGAGAAGAGGGATTGTCCGAGGGGGGGATTTGCGACGTTAGAATAGAGGGGGGGGTTTAGCCAAGGAGGGGTCCCTTGTGGAGGGGCAGGGCAGTGCCTCGCCGTTTGCGCATGATCCAAGCTCGATCGGCCAGGCTCTTGAGCCCCGTCATTTCGGCACCACTACGCACTAGTACCAGGGTACTAGAGTACCTTCAGAGCCAGAGGGGAGTGATGTCACGGATCCGTTTTACTTGCTCTGGCGGGAGATGTCCATTCCTTTGCCACTGCCCCTGATTGGTCTGCAAGTATTCCGAAGTGAACACTGTACTTGTTCCAAGGTCAACCTCAATCCCGCCTCAAGTGGCACCATTCACGAGAGCGGGTGACAACAAGGGCAAGATGACGGCGAGGCAGCCTTTTCAGTGACAAGAGGAGCTCCAGGAGGCCGGCCGTCTGGAGCTGAAGAGAGCCCGCCAGCGAGCCCCTCTTCCCCACTGTTTCAGAGCCTGGATTCACGATTCAAGACACGGGTACATGCAGCGACGCCGGCGGCTTACCTAAGTCATTCTCCTGCGCTGGATTGCCGGGCGATTGGAGCCAGCCCTCAGGTACCTCGGCGTAGCTCTTCAGCGAGCGAGGAGAGCATCAGCACCGGCAGGTCTCATGTGGGCGGGCAGGGGTCCCCTTCTCCCAGGAGCTCGAGGTTGGAGCCTTGGAGAGCCATACAGACAGTGGTTGACTCCTGTCGACGCGAACCACGAGCAGCAAGCCAACAACAGGTGAACTGGCCACAGGCGGATTTGCCCAGAGCGGATGAGGATGCGACAAGAGTGCACCTGCATTGGTCGCACCAAGTATATATGGCGTCTTCACTCTTATTGCGTCTCGTCCAACTTCAGCTGCACCGTGTGCTATATCTTGCCGTTGGCCAAGCCGTATGGCCGCGCTGCGTGTTGGCGCCGTCGACAATTGTTGGAAGAGGGGTGCGGGCTCTCCAGCGCCACGTCCTGGCGCTGTCTTCACCCACGGTGACCTTGGCCCAGCAGTCTTGGTGTTACTTGACAACATGTGTGATGGTACCTTGGCTTGGGAGACCTGGCCGAGCAAGGTTGGGTGAAACAGTGAACACCGACGGCGATTCGCATTGGATAGTAAACATCAAGTTGGACAAACTTTACTTGAGCGAGGTGAGGTGGCTGGAGACGAGAGCGAGCAGAGGATAGGCAGTGTCGTGGACGAGATGAGCAGCGGGCACATCAAGAAATCGACTGCCAGCACACCGGGCGTCGTACCCTGACTATATCCTTCCAAAATGTACAACACCCGAATATTCACTCGGGAACCAGCAAGAAAAGCCATCCTACAAAGTGCGCAAGGTGATCCAACTGGGACCACAACTGCAGGTCCCGGGTAAGTGCCGAGGCAGCAATGCACGAGCAAAGCTACAGTATGCACAAGGACTTCTTCGCGAGCGCACTGGATCAAGGTGCCGGGCAATGGACGGGACTTCAACGGCACCTGATTGGGACCTGTCACGAGCGGGTGGGAAATGGGCGGCGATGCTCTGCCCTACCTACCGTGGGCTGGATGGACGACGGACACGCCGACGTTTGGGGCTCTGCGAGGTGCCACGAGAGGTCGGTCGTGCTGAGATGTACACCCCCCGCACCGAAGCCGCTGGAACGATAGCGAGCCCCAGGCGGGCACCAATACGGGCCACCAATGGGTGCAGGGGGGGGAGCTCCTCAGCCAGTGCGCGCAGCGGTGCCAACGCTCGCTAAGAAAGCGACCCGGCGCACCGTTATTTGGCGAGCGTGAAGCCCGTAGTGGCGCACACTCGACGGTGCCTCGGCCAACGGCTCGACGTGCACGCATCGTTGAATAGCGCGAGCGGCCGCAAGGCAACCAGATTATCTGGAGAGCCGACTATGCGCCAGGCTCGTCTCTGCCAGTCAAGTGGGAAGCAGCCGATGGAAGCTTGGGCGGTGAGGAAGCGGGCAAGGGGACTCTCGCTTGGGAACATGGACGGGAGCTCCCATGCGCCGAATGCTTCTACAGTTTGAGACTGGTTCTGCGGCGGACGGGTCCATGTCCCGATTGCCAGGCCAGTCGTCGCAGAGCGTCATGATGGTCCATGACAGCTGGCAGGGCGGCGCATGACACGAGGAAGCGGGCCGTGGCTTTGGGCCGGTCGCACAAGGCGCCGCCTGAAGCCAGTTTGATTAGGCGTCCTCTCAGGCTCTCTAGGCGACCGCGGCCATCTCCCACTACAGGCCTCGAGGCGGAGCTGGCCATTTGCCTTGCAAGCAAGCACGCCTCTTGACGAATACGCGTAGCAAAGCAAGCATGAGTCTCTCGCATGCCTCCATAACTAGAGTTGTCCAGCACTCTACACAGCAGACAGATTGTGACTGGCCGGCATGCCGCGATCAACATCAAGAGTGTAAAGCTGGCTGGTATCTAATAACTAATAGCAGCAGGGCCAAGGAGAGCCAAGGAGGGCAGGTAGGTGGCCTGACCACTGGCTGAGCGGGGCCTTCCAGCAGGTCTGTCATGGGCGTCGGGTGGTTTCCGCGCACCTCAGTCAGTGGTGCCGGGGGGGGGGGGACGCACCGGCGCAAATTTTTCTTCTGCGAGTCCCAACCGGAGCCTGCAAAGGTACCTAGCAGGTACAGTTGCAGTGGTCGTAGGGGGCGATGGTACCTGCTCCCTACGGCCAGTGCCTAGCGGGGAGACGAGGGACGAGGGGGCCCTGCAGCCTGGGGGGAGAAGAGGGGGGACGGAGCCCACTGGCTGCTGTTGCTGCTGTTGCTGCTGCTGCTGCTGCTGCCGCTGCTGCCCTGGCCTGCCTGGCCTGGCTCTGGCCGCTGTGCTGATTGCGCATCGCCTCGCATCCTCCCACGCAGGTACATATTCCGGGCGCCACCCACCAGCCCCCTCCCCCCAAAATTTCCCTCCAACATCCCCATCCCCCCCCCAACTTTGGAGCACTTTTCCACTTCCCTCAAGCCTCCCCGCCCAAGCTCCCTCTGAAAATCCACCATCACCACCGCTGTTCACCCCCCCGGAGAACGCGCAATACCGCCTCTGTCGCTGGAAAGCAACTGCGCCAAACTGAAACACCAGCGCTCAACCACACAAGCTTCAGCTAGCAGCAGCCCATTGTCGCCTGCCTACCGCGCAGCAGCCACGGCCCCCGCAAAAGTCGCACAGCGCTTTGTGCCCAAAAAAAAGAGAGCTGCTGCCAGGCTCCCTGACAGCTCTTCCCCGCCCCAAAAGAGCTCGCCATTAACATGCCTCGCCCGGCCAAGAAGGCCGACGACAGGGCCAAGGTCCCCGTCGTCGCCGCTCCTGTGCCCACGATGGTGCCGCCGCCTCCCGCGGGCGCGATTCCGCCTCCCCCAGTGCCCGGCGGCCCTCACATGGCCATGCCGACGCGTGTTGTCGATACCGACAACTTCCTGCGCGTCCGCGACTCGGTGAGTTTTTATTCTTCGTCACTCGTCTACGTCGGACGCCTTGCTCTACGCACCTGTTTTCCTCCGCAACCGACAGCTTCATGCGCCGCGTCTTTTCAAGCCTGTGCAACTCGAGAGCGGCCACTGTTGTTCCCCGCCTGCATTGCGTGCATCTTTTCCACTCACTCACGGGTTGCCTATGCGCTGCCTGTATCTCGCCTTGAGCAAGTGCCCTGGCTCCGAGGCCCGTTTGTTTACATTGACTGGACCCCGCTCTTCACCCCCCCCCTGCACCACCAACCCGCCCCGGACCTCTCTTCAGCGGAGCCAAGGCAGTCAAACGCGCCGCTCCGCGCCCGGCCACCAGTCACCCGCCCCGAGGCTACTGCGTGCTGCTCCCTGGACACTACACTGGCCCGCCTAGACTGGAGCTCCCCTTTCCTCACCACCCCAATGTCAACTCCTGCTCATTCATCGTCGTCAACACCCCGAATTCATAAACAGATGGATGCTAACCCTTCTCTCCTTGCAGGCCGTTGGTCGCCTTGGTACCATCATGGAGCTCCTGCGCTCCTTCACCGCCGACTATGTGCGCCAGACCAACCTGCTCATGGGCGAGCCCACGGCCGAGTCTGGCCACGGCGACCTGCTCAACTCGTTTGAAAACGCCGCCGCTCAGCTCATAATGCCCGTCCCGGAGCTGGCGCCGCCTGTCGAGGAGAAGAAGGAACGCAAGAAACGCACTCACGACCCCAACGCCCCCAAGCGACCCCTGACGCCCTACTTCCTCTACATGCAGCATGCCCGGTCCATCATCGCCAACGACCTTGGAGCCGAGGCCCCTAAGGGCGCTGTCCAGGAAGAGGGTCAGCGGCGCTGGGCCCACATGAGCCCCAATGAGAAGCGGGTGAGTCGACTGTTCCCACCGCGGCGGTCCTGAACCTGCAGCAGCTGACTTTTTCTACTCCGTCGACAGGGCTGGAACGGTGCCTACCAGTACAACCTGCGCCTGTATAATGCGCGCGTTCACTCGTACAAGGCTGGCAACCCCATCGCCAAGGACATGAGTGACGAGGAGGCGCTCAAGTACGCAGATGACTTTAGCATTGCCATGGCCGAGAATGAATCCAAGGACGCCCCGGTCGAGACCCCGCCCAATGACCACGACGCCATCGCTGAGCAGTTGCAGCAGCAGCAGCAGGTCGAGGGCGAGGCCAAGACGCCCAAGAAGACGGGTGGCGGCCGCAAGCGTAAGACGGCGACCCCGGCCGCCGAGCCGGTCCCCGTCGAGCCCGCAAAGGGGACGCCGGCCAGTCCCGACAAGAAGCGGAGACGCACCTCTACCAAGGCCGCCGAAGAGCGGCTGGAAGAGCCCAAGAAGTCGGGCCGTAAGAAGACTAAGAGCTCTTAGACGCCCCTGGCTTTTGGTTCGCTGCATCTGTTGATGCCGTCTTTGGCGCGTGTCCAGCCCGCTGCCGGCTCTCTGACCTGCATCCAACGGGCATGGCGTTCGTCCGGGGGGCCGCGGATGGAGATGGGCGTCTTTGATTCTTGAGAGCACTGTCCTTGCGACACCGAGGAGCTGGTGTCGGCGCCTCCCAGCAATATGGGGGCATATCTTGTACGTATGGTGGGACTCGCCGAATCATCTGGATGAGATGGTACATTGCGGACGGGGCGAGAAGCCGCCCTCGATCCCGCCTTTACTCTGGCCTGGCTGGTGGAATGGAGACCTGGTCCGAGAGGGCGATGGAGAGAAGCAGCGGTCTGCGTTGCGCAGCTCGGGGTTTCGGAAAGGTAGAGAGGACAGAGGAGTGGCCGGGTCGGAGAGAGCCTTTGTACTTAGTCGTATTGGGAGGTATGCCATGCCATAATGAGGTCAACGATTTCATCGCCGCATCCGCAGTTTTAGCTATTCGCTTTTGTTATTGCACAGCCATAGAGCTGTCTCGAGCTGTCGTCTAGTGTCGGGGCTTCTCACCGCGGGTCGGCTGAAGCATAGGAAAATGTTCTTTATATTCGAGGAGGCTTGTGTTGTATTAGGTGACGGGTATAAAGATGGCCAACGACTCCGCGCCCTGGTACGGCCGAAAAATGGGTGCTCAATACGTTGCAACTCTAGAGATTAATGTTGAAGCCCTGTTCCTTCACCCCTGATATGTGACACACAGCCCGCATATCCCTTCATTGGAAAAAAAACACTCTCGCTCGCCGCGGCAATAGAAACAAAGATAGCCAGTCCACGGCGTCTACACAACCCGCAAACCACCGCTCAATAGACGTAGTAGGCCTGGGAGAGGGGCAGCGTCTCGGCGGGCGCGGCGGTGCAGAGCTCGCCGTCGGCGCGGACCGAGTAGGACTCCGGGTCAACCTTGATGGCGGGCATGGCGTCGTTGAGGCGCATGTCGCGCTTGGAGACGGCGCGGCAGCCGCGGACGGGCTCGACGCGGCTGCGCAGGGCGTAGGCGGCGGGGATGCCCGCGGCGACGGCGGCCTGGCTGACGAAGAGGACCTTGGACGAGGGCACGTGGGCGGCGAACATGGGGCGCCCGATGATGGGCTCGACGGTGGGGATGGAGGCGTTGGGGTCGCCCTGAAGGGATCCCGTTAGCCGGGAGCTTGGTGGTGGCGGCGAGGAGGAATAGGGGGCTGACTGGAAATGAGACAGAAAAGGGGAGGGGGTAGAGGAGGGGAGAGAAACATCAACGAGACACAGAGAGAGACGCACCATTTGCGCCCAGGCAATGAAGCCGCCCTTGAGGACCAGCGAGGGCTTGGTGCCGAACCACGCCGGATCCCACACCACCAGGTCCGCCAGCTTGCCCACCTCGACACTGCCGACCACATGGGCAAAGCCCTGAGCCAGGGCCGGGTTGATGGTGTACTTGCTGACGTAGCGCCGGACGCGGAAGTTGTCGGAGCCCGAGGTGTCGTCGTCGCCCTCGAGCGGCCCGCGCTGGATCTTGTTCTTGTGCGCCGTGTTCCACGTGCGCAGGATGACCTCGCCGCAGCGGCCCATGGCTTGCGAGTCGGAGCTCATGATGCTGATGGCGCCCAGGTCCTGCAGCACGTCCTCGGCGGCAATCGTCTCGGCGCGGATGCGGCTCTCGGCAAAGGCCACGTCCTCGGGGATGTTGCGCGACAGGTGGTGGCACACCATGAGCATGTCGAGGTGCTCGTCGAGCGTGTTGCGCGTGTAGGGCCGCGTCGGGTTCGTCGACGCCGGCAGCACGTTGGCGTGCGCCACGACGGAGATGATGTCGGGCGCGTGCCCGCCGCCCGCGCCCTCGGTGTGGTACGTGTGCACCGTCCGCCCGCCAATGGCCGCCAGCGTGCTCTCGACGAAGCCACTCTCGTTGAGCGTGTCGGTGTGCAGGCAGCACTGCACGTCGAGCTCGTCGCACACGCTCAGGCACGCGTCAATGGCCGCCGGCGTCGCGCCCCAATCCTCGTGCACCTTGAGCCCGCACGCACCCGCCTCGATCTGCTCCCGCAGCGCCAGGGGCGACGAGTCGCAGCCCTTACCCGTGATGCCCACGTTGACGGGCAGCGTGTCGGCCGCCTGCAGCATGGAGCGGATGAAGTGCTTGCCGGGGGTGCACGTTGTCGCGTTTGAGCCGGCGCTGTGTGTGAATCAGTCCAGGCCCTTTTCTCTCTCACTCTATCACTACAACGAGCAAAGGGAAGCGTGAGGCGACGGGAGTGAAAAGAAGTCAAGGTGTTCCAAACGAGAACCCCCTGAACACACACGACGACGAACTGACCTTGGCCCCGTTCCGCCCCCCAGCATGGTGGTGATGCCCGAGGCCAGCGATTCGAGCGCCTGCTGCGGACAGATGCAGTGAATGTGCGTGTCGATGCCGCCGGCCGTGACGATCTTGCCCTCGCCGGCGACGACGTCGGTGCAGCTGCCGACGACCATGCCGGGGGTGACGCCGTCCATGACGTCCGGGCTGCCGGCCTTGCCGATGCCGACAATGAGGCCGTCCCTGACGCCAATGTCGGCCTTGTAGATGCCCGTCCAGTCGACAATGAGGGCGTTTGTGACGACGAGGTCGAGCGAGTCGGCGTCGGCGCGGCCCGTCGCCTGGCCCATGCCCTCGCGCAGCGTCTTGCCGCCGCCAAACTTGCACTCGTCGCCGTAGGTCGTCATGTCGCGCTCGACGCGGATCCAGAGGTCCGTGTTGGCCAGGCGCACCAGGTCGCCCGTCGTGGGGCCGAACATGGTTGCGTAAGCGGCACGGTCTATTAGGAAGACGTCGATGTGCGCGGCGTCGCCCCTGGGGTCCTCGGGCCGGTGGGCGAAGCCGGCGGCGACGAGGCGCGCGAGGATGTCGTCGAGGCGCGGGGGTTCAACGGGGCCCGAGGCAAGGCCGTTGCCGCCACGGATGACGCGGGCGCCGCCAATCTCGACGAGCGTCACCGTCTTTGTGTCGCCGGGCTCGAAGCGCACCGACGTGCCGGCGGCAATATCGAGGCGGAAGCCGTAGGCGCGGGCGCGGTCAAACTCGAGCTGCGGGTTCGTCTCGATGAAGTGATAGTGCGACCCGACCTGGACGGGACGATCTCCCTTGCTCGTCACGCGCAGACGGATGCGGCGCCGGCGCCGGCTGCGGTGGTGGTCCCCGTTGATGGGGATGCTGCCCCTGACGGCCACGACGGCGCCGGGTCGCTTGGCGGGGAGATAATCGGCGTCCGGGGGCAGGGGAAAGGCCTCGTTGTCCGGGATGGGGAGGAAGCTGCCGTAGAGGGCGCGGCGCAGGTCGCCGTCGTCGGTGCTGATGGGGTTGTGGACGGTGACGAGATAGGTGCCCATGGGAAAGGTTCCCTCGACCATGATCTCGCACAGGGTGGTGCAGACCGAGGGCAGGACGTGGCGGCGGCCGAGCATGGTGGCTCCGAGGGCCATGAGGTCGGCGACGGAGTGGTTGCCATCGCGGATGAGCTCTTGAAGGTTGCTGGCGATGAGGGCCTGTCGAGGAGGTGAGCTGGCCAGACGAACCGATGAGACACGCACCCGTAGAGAGAGAGAGAGAGAGAGAGAGAGAGAGAGAGAGAGAGAGAGAGAGAGCACAAGGCAGCGACCTACTGTTGCTTCCGAGTGGTTGAGCCTGACGCCTCTGGCGAGCCTCTTTTGGGCGAGGAAGCCCAGCTGCGAGATGACGAGCTTGTCGAGCTAAGGGGTCACACTTTGCGTTAAAGTTTGATTGAAGAAGTGGATGGCGAGGCAGTATATCTTGGAGAAGAGCGAGCAAGAGGCATCATGAAAAAGCTGGCGAGAAAAGGAATTCGGAGACGCAACATACCTCCTTGGGCACGAGGTGCATCTTGGGCCGCCCGCCTATATTACCGCTTCACGCGCCCAGGGCCACCACAAGCTTGTGAGGACCCAGGAGGGCGGACTGATCAAGATATCGTCTTCTCGGCTTGCTGACGTCGACGAGTAACGGCATGTCATGTAATGCGCGGCAGCAGTCGATGGACGGCATCGGTTGGCGCGAGACGTGGTGAGGATGAAGGCGTCCCTGCGCAAACACCATGGCTTGTGGCCATTGACATACTAGCTTAGCTCTAGCCGGGGGGATAGACAGAGGGCGAGAGAGGGAAGAGAGCGTGGGCCTGAGACAGTTCGGCGAGCCGCTGCCACGCCAGGCCCCCCCGCATCGCCGCCCCACGAGAGGCCGTATCGGAAGAGTTGGCGGCGATAAGGCCCGCGAGACTAGCGCTGCCTCGGGCCGCCTTATCAGACAGACGGAGCCCCATGATTGGGTCGAAGAGCCGAACAGCCAGCCACGCCGTCTCCTGCTTAGCCATGGGGGAGCCCTGCCAAAGTCATGACGAGTCTCGCGGGGGGCAAACCGAGAGCAACAAAAAACCAAAAAAACCTGCACACCCATCCCCGGGATAACATGACGTGCCTGCCATGTGCCCCCTGCGAACGGCAATCATCTTGGCGCGCCGCGTTGGCCAAGTGTCCAGACCAGAGATGCCGGCGCCAACGAGGTAATCATGCATATTGGTGGCTGCGTCGACGTCACATCTCCCGTCAGCTCTGCATCCGCGTCGCCAACACATGCATACTGGCAGGTTCCCGCGTGCAGTCGCTCACTCCTCCACCTCGTCGTCCCACAGCTCCTTTTCCTTCTTGACCAGCGCCGCCATGTCGTCCTTTCTGAATATCGAGCTGTCCGCATCCGCCACACGCGGCACCTTGTTCAGGCTCTCGTCGTCAAACACGGATCCTATAGTGTCGATCCACCGCCGCCGCCGCTCCATCAGCGTCCTGGTCAAGTCTCCAATCCCCGGTCTTGCCGTCCCCGCCGCGCCTCCGGCCATGTGGCTGCCTCCGCCCGCCCCTCCCGGCCGCTTCGTCTTCTTGCTCTTGCCCATGGTCCGCGTGCGCTTCAGGTACGCCGCCTGCACCTGCGAGTCGAGATCCTCCAGGATTGTCTGGTACTCCTGATGCGCCATCCGCTCTCGAACCAGCTCCATCAGCCGCGCCTTGCGCGCTCCGTTGATGAGAACCTGCTCTCGGAGCCGCGCTTGCAGCACCCGCATCCGGCCCGCAATCTCGTCGTCAAAGTGCCCATCGTAGTCGCCCTCGAATCCCTCCTGCGGGAGGAACCCGATGTGTCGGAGTTCCTGCTTAAGCCGCTCGTCCACTTGCGCATACTCGAGCTTGGGATGCGTTGCCTTTTTCCACGCCTCGCTGGACGACTCGGTCATGTATGTTGCTGGCGGAAGCCGATGGCCCTTGTCGTCGCCGTTGCCGTTGGGCTGCTCATCGCCGTTGGCGTCACCATTGACGCTGACGTCGCCGTTGGTGGTCCCGTTCGTCGCTGGCCTGTCCTCGGGCAGCTGCGCGCGGCTCTCGGGCCGTAGTATCTGCAGTAGCCGTGATGCCAAGGGCCCGATTGACAGCCCGTCCGTCTCGCCCACGCTGTCGTTCATGTTCTCGATGCTGCCCCGTGGCTGGTTCGGCGGAAGCTTCTCGCGTCCCTGCTGAGGCGAGTCGAGCGACATGGCACCATCCTCCTCAGCCCACACCTCGCTGTAATGCCTCTTACCACGCTTGGGCATCACAAACGGCGTCACGCGGTCGCCCCGCTCCCGCAGAAACGCCAGGTCTTCCTCGGAGAATGGTCTAAAATAGGGATCGATGTAGGACGAAAACGTGGTAAAGTTGATTTGGCTGGTCGGCTTGGCGCTGCTAAAGTCCTTGTCCGGCGGGTCTCCCGCTATCAGATCGGCGAGGTCGCTCCTGGGATAGCACGCCACCGAGTAAATCGTTTTCTTTTCCTCGTCCGACATGCCGGGTTGAATGTCTCTAATCTCGTAGACGGTGGGGTCGGGGAAGGTCGATGGATCCTCGCCAAACGTCTGCGACTGGGGCAACTCTCGTCTCGGCGGCGCGCCCTCGTCCTCGGAGCTCGACTCTTCTTTCTTTTCGGCCTTTTTGGGCTTCTTCTTGTCGACGTCCATGGCAGACGGAGAGGCTGCAGCGATTGGCGACAGTGAAGAGCTGGCGGAGCCGTCGCGCGAATGCTTGCGCTTGGCGTCCCGGAGCGGAGACGACTGGTCTGGCATTCGTTAGCTACCAATGGCCTGTATCTTCTCATCGAGAGAGGAAGGCGGGTTGCGCGTAGCGACAGTTCAGCTTTGGTGACATCACCTTGGCAACCGCCGTGGCATCTAATTTTGGGGTGTGCAGCCAAGGGCAGCAACAGTAGGAGACAGCTTACCAGCGTCGCCGGGCGCCAATGACTCGGAGCCCTTCTTCCTTTTGTGCTTTGTCCGTTTGCCCTCGGGCTCGACGTGGTCGTAGTCGTCGGGTCGCTTCTTCCTCTCATCCGCAAGGTGGCGCATGCCTCGATCGTAAAAAGTGGACCGCTTCTCCATGATGTTGACGAGGCTCTTGAGCTTGTCGAGCATGGCGTCGACGCTCTTGGAATCGGGAACGGTGGCATTGGAAGCGCCTTGATCGACTAGGTCATCGTATTTTAGATTCTGGAACAGAATGACCCTCGTATTGAGATAGTCCGGGTCGTAAAACTCTTGCGGCGGGAGGCTCGCAGGGGCGGGCGCTGGCGTCGAATTACGGCTTTGCTTGGGCAGGCCGGCATTCTTCTTGCCAGGCCCAGACTGGCCGGGACCTGAGGGCATGACGGCACGGTTTGGTGATGTCTGCTGGCAATGGACGAGTCTGATGCGGTCAGGCAGGCAGCTCGGATGGGTAGAATACTGGACGTTGGCGCTTCGGTCCTCGGGCTCGCAACTTGATGCCGCAGTGACGCCTGCGTAGCTGATACAGAGCGGACGTTGTGATTGGCGTAATGCGGACAAGGACGTTGAGATTGGACCCGTTGCGAGTCAACGACTGCGACGTCTCAGCCGGGCCTGGAGAAATAAAGCCCCGACCCCGCGTTCTGCTTTGCGCAGGTTGGCAGTCACCATTAATTACCTAACATTAGTAAGCAGCCCTGGGCCTGTCTTTTCGAAGGAGGACGCCACTCCTTCTCATCCAGATGACCTTTGCGCTGCGTTTCCACCTCTCGCTCACTCAAACGGGCACAACAGCCTCTGCTGGGACTTGGAGTGTCGGTAATGATTTTCACTGAGACATTTGGAGAGCAACAGCCCAAAGCGGCCCCACCTGCAACTTGGCGCAGACCTCGCCGTGCCACTCACACTCCAGAAAAAAAGTCAGACGGCGGACACCAGGCTCCAAGTGTTCCTGGTCAACACCCAGTCAGTCCCGAGCTGTTGCAGCGCGATCCTGCGGCTGCCTCGATGCAGTATGAACATCGCAGGCCCACAAGCGGGACCGCGGGCGTTGCCTTGTCTGCCTTGGCCCTTTTCGCTGATAGCGGCCCCGTACATCACGAATTGCATGCGCCAACCTCTCCGGGCAGGTTCAGCTTCTTGATGGTGCTGCCGCAGTTTATGTAACGCGCTCGAGACCTACCGTACTGCCTCGACGCAGAGTCATGTTTGCGCAAGCATTCGTGCCGACTATGTGAGTGAGATCCGTGAGAGTCTATAAGGCCGGAGCCGAGGCCTTCCATGTCCCCATCGACTAGAGGAGAAGAGCGGCGTACCGATTCGTTTCAAGGTGTGCGGGCCCTTGTCCGCAGCTCCAGCCCGCGGTCCTCAGTTGCAAGCCTGTCGCGAGTCTCAAGGACACTGCCGCCGTCCACATGCTCGGGCCTATGAAGGGAGCAATGCGAATGCCGACTATCAGACAGAGCCGGCATATACACACGGGCGCCGTCCATTGCAATGCTTCTGACGGAGCATGTTGCCCCAGGATGTGGCCCTAATAATAGTGATTGGTCCCCACGCAGCGAACCTTTGACCAGCACCCCCCATGTCCCGGGGCTAGCTGTCGTCACCCCTGCTCCGTCGAGGGCCCTCAATCTCCAGGGGACCAGGTTGTACACACGTTGCCGCCGTGCTCACACATAATGTCTTGCGCTTTCTCGCACGTGGGCCTACCTGTCTCCCCATGAGGTGGTAGTTTTCGGTAGGCGAGCTAACTAGTAGGCCTGCTGTTTAAGCTTCTGGATCTTCTGAGCGTGATGGGGGATAGAGCCGGGACAAGCAAAGAGGACTTGACTGATTCATACATATGCAAGTCCTTCCCGTTTAACTTCATTGTGGCCCGTGCTGGATACTTCTTATCCTCTCCTGGTCGACATATCGTTACATATTGAGAGTCTTCTTATTCCTGTCCGAGCCCTGGCACCTTTCTCCCAGCAATAAAAAGATAGAATATGACTTCTAGTGTACCTTAGCAACGAGGCTACGCCTTTCCCGTTGGATCCATCAATCGCCATGTTGTCCAATATATTGGTGACTTTCGCTGGCGGCAGGTGCCAGAGCATACGAATACGGCATGCAGAGTCGGTCTGCAAATCTGCCGCTCCCGTCCTCGCTTTACCAGAACCATCACTGGCGCATCCACTACGACGACCGGCTTCAGAAGGACACGCATTAAACGTCGAGTACGTGTATGCCTTTACATGGGAACAACTACTGAGTCTCGGCCTGAAAGACACGTTCGTTGCCATCGGCTCGGCTGGAGACAACATCCTCTCCTATCTCGCCGAGAGTCCCGCCCGTCGTCGATTTCAACCACATCCAGAACACCTGGAGCTCAAGGCTGCCTCGTATGCATCGCTCGACGATGGGGATCTCTGGAGGCTCTTCGGCGACGGGAAGCACTCGTGTTTCCGCAAGCTGCTCGTAGAAAGGCTCTCCCCCCACCTGTCTTCACGTGTTGCGGTCCTTGGCGCTGCGCCTCTAGAGCGTCAGAGTCTTTGCGAGGCATGGGTCCGCGGCCAAGTACCAGGGCGCGGGCTCGGCGGGGCGTGCATCGACAAGGTCAACATGTATGCCAGCTGCTTGGTCTGATTACGAGCATGGATACTCGTGAGACGCATGAATTTGATGACTGGTTGTGCGCTCACCGTGTCTTTATAAAGAAATGGTCACAGTTGAAAAATGAAATGCATGTCTGACCTGTTCAACAAGACACTTCTATACAGGCGCCGCCCCTCCGTAAGACGAGTAGCACATACCATCAGGCACGTAACCCAAGGTCAGTTCCATTTCATACCCCCATTGAACAGCCCTATGCCTTCCAAATCCTTTTGACAGCCTCGGTGACGCCAACGTCGTTTGTCTCGAATTCGTACAGTCCAATGCCGACAGTGATGGTGGCGGCGTTCAGCGCCCACCAAAAGAACTTGCGCAGGCCGGGGTATCTCTTGTTTGGAATGTAATCGATAATGACCTGCTGGAAGCCCATGTGGGAGTGGAGGAGCACGGTGGAGCAGAGAACGGCGTCCATGGCCGGGTTGAGAGAGCCGGCCGCGAAGGGGGCGATGGTGAGCGGGACGAGGCTGGCGGCGAGAAGGCGCTCAAAGGTCCAGTGGTAGGAGCCGTGCGCGGAATTGGGTTCGGGGATCGGGGCAGGGTCGTTGACTGCAGGTGGCAGTCAGTATTAGGAGCTGATTGGAGGGCATTGTATATCGCGAGAATGGAAATGTGTGCTGTCGGGTCATGTCGTACCTCCACCTTCGATCCGCTCTGCACGCAGTATCACATCAGCACAAGTTGCAGGCGCCGCAAGCGCATCGTTTTTGCGCGTTCAATGGGGCAATGGCAAGCGGGGAGAGACTGACGAGGCCCCGGGGGCAATATGGCAGAGCGCCTGCTGGAGCTGTGCAGGGCGGCGACTCGGAGCGCCGGCTGCTTGGCAAAGGCACCCCGGGTCGCGAATCGAGAGGCGAGGGCCGTTTGCCGCAGCAGCGAGGGTCGGACGATTGAGGCCATGGTTTCTGTAATGCACGAGAGTCCAAAGCACCCGGGAGAAGCGTGGAGATGGATCAGGGAGCAAGAGAGTGCGACACGATCATGAGCGCCATTGCCGAGGAAGTCGAAATGCGAGCTCGCTGATTGGCTGCGTGCATTCCAGTGGCTCGTCATACAGCCGATTTGCCCGGCGCGCAAAAACGTGGCTCCGCCGGCACTCGATGCTGTCTGATTGGTCGAAACAAGGCTGAAATGAAGCTCGAGCTTATCGGTATCGTACCTACACTACAGATGAAAATTCCCGTTGCGGAAAAAACGTATTAGAGCATCCGGCTCTGCGCAATGCGACAACCCCCCGACTCGGCTCTTGGGGCACTCAATCTTCCTGCATAAGGCTACAGCAGGCAACAGGAAGGGCCTCTGCGCTCCAGAAACGCCCCCCACCCTTCCCCAGGCCGGGGGCTCGACGTCCTCGACCATGGCTTCTCGAGCGTTGCCGCGCGGACTCGTCCGCACCAGACCAGGCACCAGCCCGCGATGCGCCTTGACAAGCTCGCTGTGGTCGCTCCCCGCGCTCCACCGAGGGCGAGGAATTGCCACGACCTATCTGAAAAAAGTGGCCGACGGAGAGGAGCGCTGGGCAGAGAGAGCGGCAAAGATCGAAAAGGGCGAGCTTCCGCATGTGTGGGACATTCTCGACGAGCGAGGCTACATGAAGGACATTGCTGGGTGCGTTTCGTCGTCTGCCCTTTTCCTGTGATACGAAGCAGATACGGACATTCTGACACTCGCGTCGTGTAAAGAACACCCAAAAATATCAAGGAGACGATGCGCGTCAAGCGAATAGGCGCCTACGTTGGCGTCGACCCGACCGCCGACTCGCTGCACCTTGGACACTTGCTCCCCATGATGGCCCTGTTCTGGCTGTGGTTCCATGGGCATCCGGCCGTGACGCTCATCGGCGGCGCCACGGCGCGAATCGGCGATCCCACCGGCCGTATGACGAGTCGCGCCATCGTGTCCAACGGCATCATTGCCAAGAACATCACTAAGATGCACTATCAAATCTCCAAGATCTGGGTAAACGTCATCGAGCTTAAGCGAAAGTATGGATACCCAGACGACTGGGCCGCCAAACGTCACCTCCTCAACAACAGCATGTGGCTGCAGGGCCTGTCCATGTACGACTTCACAAAGGCCATCGCCAGGCATACCAGGGTCGGGCCTATGCTTAGCCGAGACACGCAAGTACCGAGTGCCGTAACGAAGCTACGCATGCCTGCTAACGCTGCCGCAGGGTCAAGCAGAGGTTAGAAGGGGGCGAGGGCATATCCGTCGGCGAACTGCTCTACCCCCTGTTCCAGGGGTGGGACTTTTGGCACATGTACAAGAAGCTCGGCATCCAGATGCAGATCGGCGGCTCCGACCAGTTTGGAAACATTGTGTCTGGCATCGATGCCGTCAAGATCATCAGGGAACATGAAGAAACCGGTGCTGCTAGGATGCCCGACGAGTGGTGCGACCAGCCCATAGGGTTCACTGTTCCGCTGCTCACGGATTCATCCGGCGCTAAGCTTGGCAAGAGCGACGGCAACGCCTTATGGCTAGACGAGTTCAAGACTTCGGCCTTTGACCTGTACGGATACTTTGTGCGACGATCCGACGACGAAGTCGAGAGGCTGCTGAAGCTCTTCACCTTTCTGCCCATGGACAAGATTCAGGAGATCATGGTGGAGCACCGCGAGGACCCGACCAAGAGGCTGGCGCAGCATAACTTAGCGTTTGAAGTCTTGTCGCTGGTGCACGGCTCTCAAAGAGCGTTGGAAGAGGCGCAGCAGCATGAATTCCGTTTCGGTGGAAATCTACCCAAGATCGTCAAGGTGCCGACGCCAGAGAGCGGCATCGTTGTTCCCAACAACGCCCCTCGAAGCGACATTGAGCTTCCTCGGTCCGTCTTGAAACTATCACCCGCCAGGATCCTCTTTGCATGCGGCCTGGCCAGCAGCGCCAGCGACGGCCAGCGTCTCGTCTCGCAACAGGGCGCATACGTGGCCGCCCAGCCTGGCCAGAAGAGGGGGCTCGTTCCGGGCAGCCTCAACTGGACCCCCATCAAGATGTGGTTCCCCGATGAGACCCTCAGGTATGTCCTCGACGAACGCTTGCTCATTCTCCGCAAGGGCAAGCATAATGTTCGCATCGTGGAGCTCGTCTCGGACGAGGCCTGGGCAGACAGCAAAAGGGTCTATCCCGGCGAACCGTTCAAGGGGCTCGTGAGACGCACCAAGGAAGCGATGCGGGAGCAGGCCGAGGCTAGAGGAGAGGCGCCGATGCGGGCAAAAGATTTCAGGGTGCAACTATTGGAGCAGAAGAAGCTGTGGGTGGCCAACAACCCGGATATCGAGCTGCCGACCAAGCGAGAGCTCCGCGAGCAGGCACACTGGAAAAAGAGAGGCTCTTCTAGGTCGCGCTCTATCAGATTGGGCTCTCCAAAGGCCGTCTCCACCAGGACGGGCCCTCCCAGAAAAGGCTCTCCCAAGAGGGGCTATAGTAGGTCGGGCCGTATGACGAGCTTTGGCAGGTCGATCTCTGGCGGTTCAAACTCTGGTAGCTCGGACTCTGGCGGCTCGAACTCTGCTTGGTAAAGCTCTACGAGGTCAAAGACCAACTGACGGCGGTTCCTCCTCAGAGGGTACCTTGCCAGTCTCAAAGCAGACTTGACGCTCTGACACACTGTAATAACAGCCGCGGGGCCACCCTTGTATTGTACGATATAGAACCCAGAGGTCAGGTATCAGAGGGAGAGCCCAACTTTGATGAATGATGCCCACAGTAGCCGTGCCTACAGTGGACAGGACCCAAGCCCCTGCTTCCTACTCATCGTCCACGAAATTTGCTCGACAGAGCATGAGTTGTTCAGAGCAGCAAAATAGCCGAGTTGGCTAGCAAAGAGTACCAGGACGTGGTACGCGTGAAGCGAGGCGCGGAATTAACAAGGATTTTTGGCATTGTGCGCAAGCCCGTCAACGGTACATGACGGTGAGGTCCCCCTTGGGGACCGGCAGGGCCTTGAGCTTGTCCATGATCTCGCCGTCGGTGAGGTTCTTCTCGGTGATGATCTGATCAAAGTGGTGGTTGCCATCGGTATACTTTTGTAGCGAGTCGCCGCCGGGCTCGGGGCGGCTCTGGCCGGTGGCGAGGGCGGCGAGATACTGCTTGGACATGACATACTTGTGGATGCGATAGAGGCAACCCTTGATGACGCCGAACTGGACGAAGCGACGGACGTCGACATGGGTGAGGACGTCGAAGCCGTTGTCGTTGCTGGCCATGATCCACTCCTTGATGCTCTTGCCCTGGGAAAAGTTGGTCAGGAGCTTGATGAGGTGGTAGTTTGCGACGCGGACGCGGCCGTGCGAGACGTAGCCGGCGCACTCGTCGACCATGCCATCGACATTGCGGATGAAATCGTGGATACCCGGGCGGGGCGCGTAGCACGAGGCGAAGAAGAACATGTCGAGGAGGAGGATGGTGTCGTAGTAGAGGAGGTGGCGGAGGGCCGTCTTGGCCAGGTCGAGGGCGACGCCGGCCTCGTGGGCGATGCGGCGGACGTCGGAGACGCCGTCAATCTTGGCAATGACTTTTTGCAGCGTCAAGTCCCAGGTGGGATCGACAATGTCGGCGAACTTGGTCTTGGCCACGGGTACGTGCCAGCCCTGGACGACCGGAGGGATGGGGTGATTGGGGAACAGCTTCATGTTGATGGTGTTTGCGTCGTCTGGGAGGAGGCGCCGGTGAGCAGGTGCCGATGGGTAAACAGCGGGGCCGGGGCCGGGGCCGGGGCCGGAACCGAGGACGGCAACGGCGGTCACGACGGGAGGAGGGGGAAACTAACCGACGGGGATCATGCACTCGCCGTAGTTGTTGAGGTCCTCCTTGATGATCTCGAGGAGGCTCGCAATGGGCCGGCGTGCGTCGTCTTGGCCACGGGACTCGCCCCGGCTCAGGTACTCGTCCTGGCGCTCCATCTCGTTGAAGGTGGTGGCGAGACAACGCACGACCCGCTCATAGGGCGTATGGTCGACGTCGGCCTCGACAATCAGGCCAAAGTTGAAAATGAACTCATTGCGTCGGTACTTAACGTCGGCAATAACGACAGGATGGCCGAGAATGGTGTATTTTCCGTCGGGCGTGTTGATGGTGACGTAGCGGTTGCAAAAGGCCTGGCGCGGGATGATGTACTCTTGCAGCACGTCAAAGTCGAAGAGCGGCTGCCGGCTGCCGTCGGACTGTGTGACGCAGCCGGGGGGCGACTGGGCGACGATGTGAGGTCCTGCGGTGCGTCGTCACGACGGTTGAGCCATCTGCCTCGTGCTCTGCCGCGTTGGGGGCTCGGGAGGAGAGACAGGACGTGAGAGGGGGGAGGGGACGGAAGAAGGTATGTGAGCACACGGGTGGGCTCACCTTCTTTCGGGAAGAAGCGTGCGTAAAAGATGCCCTGGATCATGATGGCGGGCTCATGCCGCCGTGGCGGACGGGCACGATATGGGTCTTGGTGGTTGTTGGACTATGCTGCCGACGGGCGCTTGGGCGCGTGAAGCGGCCTAGGAAGAGAGGCCCCCAAGCAGAGAGAGTCTCGACGCGCGGTCAGGTTGTCGCGAGAGCGAGTCGGTGTTGGGGGAGTGAAAGTCTGCATGTTGTGAAGGAGTGGAAGCAGTGTTTGTTTGCTGCCAGTCGGCTGTCGAGTGGCGGCAGGTGGCAACTACGCCATCAGCAGAACAGAGTGCGTTTGGCAACTCAGGGCACGAAGTATATTGGCTAAGCTTACTTTGCACCTCCGGGAAGAATTCACAGATGGACCCGGAGAGTGGAGCGGGACGAGCCGAGTCTTTCCGTTGCCTTTTTTCTTTCAATTCTCAACACTCGCCAGGTGCAGGGCGTGTTCAATCCAACAAAAGACGATAGATGATGGCGGTGGGCTCATCCGGGTTGGAGTTCCTTATCGCGCCATGGGCATCTCGCTTATCAAGTACCTGCCCACCCACGATACGCCGCAGAGATACCTCGCTACCTGCTCGCAACCGGCGCTAAAGCCCAGGATTCTCTGGCTTGCTGTCGGTTTCTACCGCCCTTGGCCAACGCTGCCCACTCAGTGCCCCACCCACGTCTAGCAGGTACTGCACCGGCGCTGTACAGCGAGGTTTCACCTGTGCGGCACTATTTGCCTGCCTTGGGACCCGCGAGCGACGACTCCACTAGTTCGTTGGCTAACAGCGGCTGCGACTCTCTGGTTGCCGCCTTTGCCACAGTTGCTTCCATCTTCCTCCTCTCTTCCTGCTCCTCCTGCTCCTCCTCCTCCTCCTCCTCCTCCTCCTCCTCCACCACAATCTCTACCCAGACAAAGACGGCGCCCCCTGCAGCCTTGCACGCTCCTCTCTCTGCTTCTCCACCTCATCCGGTAGCTGGAAGCACTCTTCTTCTCGAATCTCATCTCTTTTGTCAACTCCCCGCCCGCCGCCTGCGCCCCGACGACGACCCTTCTTCTCCCGCACCGCCGCCGAGAGCCCCGGGACCAGACCGACCAGGCCGCATTCACGCCTGTCGACATGGCGGACAACGCCGAAGTGGGCGACTCGGCCCAGGTCACCTTTAAGGTCAAGACGTCGTCGGACAGCACCCACACCGTCACCATGGCCGAGTCGGCCACCATTTTCGAGCTCAAGACCAAGCTGTCCGGCGAGGACCTCGAGAACATACCCGTCGAGCGCCAGCGCCTCATCTACTCCGGTCGAGTCATGAAGAACGACGATACCCTCGCGTCGTATAAGATCAAGCCAAACAACACCATCCACATGGTCAAGAGTGCTGCCAGCAATCCCACCCGGCAGCCCGCCGCCTCCACCTCCACCCCGCCAGCTGTCCCGACCAACATGGCCTCGGGCACGGCCAACAACCCGCTCGCCGGCCTCACCGGTGCCCGCTACGCCGGCCACCAGGTTAACCTCCCGGGCATGGAAATGTTTGGGCCCGACGGTGGCGTAAGCCTCACCCTCTCACCCAGCCTACCCCCCTGCTGACATGCACACACAGATGGGCCCTCCCATGGACGAGGAGCGTCTACAGCACATGATGTCCGACCCCAATCTCCAGCAGGCCATGCGAGAGGCCCTCAACAATCCCGACTTTGTCAACATGCTCATCGAGTCAAACCCCATGCTGCGCAACATGCCTGGCGCCAGAGAACTCATCACCTCGCCCGGCGTCCAGCAAATGATGAGCAACACAAACATGCTGCGAGACGCCATGCGGTTACAACGCATGATGGGCGGCGGCGATGCGGCCTTTCCTGCTCCCGGCGCGACAGACACCACCCCCGACGGTAACGCCACGGGCGAGGGCAACGCCAACCGGGAAAACGGCAACACCAATCAACAAAATCCATTCATGAATCCCTTTATGATGCCTGGCATGATGGGCGGCGGTGGTGGCGGAGGAGGCGGCGGCGGCGACGGACGCATCAACATGGGTCAGATGCTTCAAGCCCTGGGCATGGGCGGCAGCCCCTTCGCGGCAGCCCCGCCTGTGCCGGGCGCGACCCAGGGGCAGGGATCGCGAGAGGGCCAGACAGTCGCGCCCGGTCAGGAAGCGGCACCGACCGAAGGCGCGGGAGCATCGCCACAGAACCAGAGTCAACAGCCGGCAAACCCCTTTGCAGCCCTGTTCCCACCCCAAGGGGGCTCGCAGAACAATCCTTTCGGCATGAACCCCGAGATGATGCAGCAGATGATGCAGATGATGGGCGGAGGGGCTCCAACGTCGCCGCCGGCAGACAATCGTCCGCCGGAAGAGCGTTACGCCGAGCAGCTGCGCCAGCTCAACGACATGGGCTTCTACGACTTTGAGCGGAACGTGGCCGCGCTGAGGCGGAGCGGCGGAAGCGTCCAGGGTGCGATTGAGCATTTGCTGAGCGCAACGGACTAATGGGGGCGAAGGGGGCTTGCGGAGAGGTCAGCGTCAAGGGAGACAAGGGCGCGAGAAGAATGGTTCGACGCTTCAGGATTTTGAGCGGAGCGTCAATTCTGGATGGCTGTCGAGGAAGCGGGCAGTCGCGTCGGGTAGTCTGACCGATACGCAGCATGGCGAGTGCCTAGCGGAGGTGCGCTGCGGGAGCTGAATAGCAATTACCTCTACATGTCAATAAGATGCCGTTATGTCGCAACACAACCTGGGATAGGGGAAGTTGGCGTCGCACCGCTTAGCAACATGGTATAGGCCGAGCATGGGAGACCGGGAGAGGCGGGCGCGCCCCTGTACTCGATTCGCATAGAAAGTCCTTTCTTGAAGGGGATCAGGAAGAAGCATCGGGAGACTCTTTTCCGTCCAGCCAGCTCAACGCTGAGGCAGGGTCGGAACATGCAACGGATCCAGCCGCCTCTTTGGTTTGCCCACGGCCAAGGCCCAGCATCAGGCACAAGGAGGCTCTCAGGAACCAAGCAGAGCTTTTTGCTGCCGCAGCTATGAGTCCGATGAAGGAAAGAAGCATGATGTCCTGAGCCGGTGAATTTAGCTGGCAAGCCAGAGTAAGTCTCTTTGGTGAGGAGTATTTTAACCAAGGCCCGCGGGCCGCTGTTCGTGGCTCTGCGCCGGAGACCTGGACAAGGTTTCCCAACGCTTCCAGTTCTGGTTCTGCTGACGACAGACAGACAGACAGTCTTCTTCTGTGGCGAGACGAACGACCGCGGACATCTAGTGGCTTGAGTCAATCATGATGCAACAGGGACGACGTGAGTGGCGCGACGCGACGGCAACCCGATCCTGGCCCTCTCTGGCCTTCTCTCGTCTACCAAGCTACAGTATATAATAAGTCTTCGTCGCAGCCTTTGACCGCAATCACAGGGCCGGCGGCATGGACGGACTCGCTTAGCACGCAGGACCGGCGGAAAGTCAAAACTAGAGGGCTTGACAGGCGGCACGACGTGGACGCGGAGCGGTGGTGATGGAATGGGCCAAAGGCTAAGTCGCTGGCGCTTTTCTAGAACCGGACGGACTGATTGATCCATGACGACCCTTTCCCATCAACCTCCACCCGTCTCTCTGCCGGGACGAGGCGCTAACTTTGGATTCGATGCTCTCCTAACCTGGGGAGCGGGAGGAACGGCATGGATGTATATCAACGGCGTGGCCCTGCCCTCCAAGGAAAAGGCGAGGAACAGTTTAAACCCCTTCAATTATTTCGCTACATGTTCGTCGGAATACTTGACAGACTCCGGCACCGAGTAAATCGCGCATCGTCTGTGAGAAAAGCCGAATCGTCCGTCTATAGTCCTCAGTCCGCCCTGCCCCCCCCCCTTTACCGATCCGCCTCATCCGAGTCGACCGCGAGCAAACGAGCCGGCATGAGGCTCAGCCTGGGCAACTGCCTCATCGCCGCCGCCGCCGTCTCGGCCGGGCTATGCCGGGGCCTTGATGACGGCGGCGGCCTCTCGACGAGGACGGGCAACGACAGCAATGCCATCTCCGAATTGTTGCCGAGTTATCCGTCTTGTTCTGTAAGGACTTGTTCCCTCCCCTGTCATCTCTGACGTTGGAGGAGAGAAGAGCATCATCACCTAGGTCGTACATATGTGCTGACACCTGCGTCCTCTCCTTTTCGCAGCATGATTGCTTCTCGACGGGCTTGGCGGGTCTGCGTTGCTCCGATACGGCATGTGTGTGTTCAGATAAAGGCTTTCACGACCACGTCCGACATTGCGTCGTGCATGCTTGCTACAGGGCCGATGCGATGAGTATGTTGATCCGTCTCGCGCGTCTTCACTGCACCAGCCTTTACCTGCGCCGTCCACCTTGACAGCTCGCGAAGCTCGCAACATTCTTGGATCGACCGTACTCGAGCCTAAGCTGACACAGAGGCGTGAATCAGAGGCCAAGAACCTGACCGATACGGCCTGCGACCGGCCGCGACGCGACAGGAGCGCAAAGTACACGGTCATGAGCATCGTGCTGGGCTCCGTCACCTGTGTCGTCGTCGGCATCCGCATGGTCTTCAAGTACAGCCGGGGCCGCATCGGCATCGACGACTGGATCATCCTGTCTTCGCTGGCGGTGGGCATCCCGTGCACGGCGCTCAACGTACAGGGCCTGTCGCGCCACGGCATCGGCAAGGACGTGTGGACGCTGCGGGCCGAGACGGTGACCGACTTTGTCCTCTTCTTCTACCTGCTGGAAATCTTCTACGTCAGCATGATTGCCATGATCAAGATTGCCATGTGCTTCTTCTACCTCTCCATCTTCCCCGGCACCCGCATCCGCCAGGTGCTGTGGGTCACAGCCGTCGTCAACGTCATCATCGGCATCGCGTCGGTCCTGACGGCCATCTTCCAGTGCTCGCCCGTCCGCTTCTACTGGAACATGTATGTCACGCCCGAGGCGGGGACGTGCATCGACATCCACGTGCTGGCCTGGGTGCACGGGGGGATCAACATCGCCATGAACTTTTGGCTCATTGCCATTCCGCTGAGCCAGGTGCGCGGGCTCGATCTTCACTGGAAGAAGAAGACTGGCGTCATCATCATGTTTTTGACGGGGGCCTTGTGAGTCTGCCCCGATGGCTTTGTTGGACGCGCTGACCGCCTTTTCCTGGTAGCGACACCATCGTGTCCATCCTGCGGCTTCAATCCCTCATCCACTTTGCCATCTCATGGAACCCGACCTGGGAGCAGTGGAGCGTGGCCTGGTGGTCGACGATTGAGATCGACATCGGCCTCATCTGCACCTGTCTGCCGACGCTGCGCCTGATCCTGATGCGCATCGCGCCGCGCGTCTTCGGCACCAGCCGGGGCCCCTCGCGCGGCACGCCCGCAGACACAAAGGTCAGCCGCGGTATCATCGTGCAGAAGCAGGTGCACATCTCGAGCGTCGACGGCTCCGTCGGCACCGAGGCCATGAGCCAGACCAGATGCGAGCCGTGGGAGGTGACGTCGGAGGGGGGCGGTCGACACCATAGCGAGGCTTGCTCGAGCCCGCATCCGCAGTGGTGAGCAGCTAGAATGAAGGATAGACATCATGACTTGGTAGAAATAATGCCGTGCTCGTCGATGGAGCTTGCACGTTTTAGTTGTAAACACTCTTTGTAGTTTATGTTCATGACTGATTCTCACTCATTGCATGTCCAGCAGCGCTAGAGGAATATCGTCAATCCCGTTATAGCGATCTTCCTCGAAAGTCTGGATTCATCCGGAAGTGCTAATCCATTGATGCTGAACTTGGACGAGCCATTGGTGGTGAGAGGGGAAGAAGCCAATGTCCTATCGACGACGATGGCATGAGCTACCAGATCTCCCCCGAGAAAAGGGCATACTGGTTAAATGCTGCTTCTTGTTGGAAAATTCCTTTTCGCCTCTTCCGTCTATTTCCTTCCTATACTAGCGGACGCTCACTAGGGAGTGTTGGTGCCTACAAGCCGTCCACTGCATCGGCATATACGCCCATGTTCCCCTTTCTGGACGAAGGATCAAACTATATTTCCTCCCGTCGATGGGCTTGCGTGGTTGGTGTCCAATGATGGTCACTTCCTTTGAACTGCTCGTTGCGTGAGGACGATTATTCCCTCCTAGTTTCAAGCTTGGAAGTGAGCTGAGGTATAGTAGACGCAGGCACGTTGAAGCCGACATGTCCGCTTAGACTCACTCGGTCTTGGCTAGTGATCTTCCTGCTTCTCTCTGTCTCGGATTCTTGCTCTCTCTCTCTGCCTTTCTTCCGGTCCCGAAGCCGTATTTATTCGGCGGGGAAGCGAGCCGTGGCTACTTCAAATCCAAAACAGTGGCCTGTAGTGGCAGCGGTGATAGATATAGGCGAGACCTCGGGGAAGACTTGTGCCCTGGGGTCGCAACCGGAGTTGGGCCTGCGTGTCTGATGGGACGTCGGGACTGCGGCTTGGAAAGGGCTAGTTGCCATTGGAAAACCCAGGACTGGAGTCTTGGGTCCTCGGCCATGCAGCTAAAAGCCTGCTGCGACCCTGAGCCTTTTTTGTGCTTTGAACAAGGGTTATAGCTGAGTTTATCGCGCCTTGAGTTTATCGTGCCTTCAGTTTATCGTACGTAAGCTTACCGTCAGCAATGATGACGATGTATTTCAAACCAAGTAATTCCTGATAACCGACTGAAGGCGACTCGGCGACTCGGCCTAGGCGCAAACCGTGTGGAAACGACTCCTTCAGGCAGGGGGGGGGGGTATGGATAGAAGCTGTGGGTCGCAGAGTCTTGGTCGGAGAACATTCGGAATATTACCTAGCGTCGTCTGCGGCCCCGGGTCCGACCGGGGTTGAGGCTTTAGGACCTCGACGTCTTGTAAGTTTCTGTATTCTACGGATAGAATCTGATGGCCAGAGATGAGGCAAAAGTCGGTTTGCATTCGTCCGTGTGCGTGTGTTTGCAGCAGAGCAAATGGAAAGCCATTTGATGGTGGGGTGATGGACCATCTGGGTGTATTGCTTGTTCGTATTGAAAGTCAAGGCGGAGGATATTTCACGGATAAGGACATCCGGAGAAGCAGGGGCTGAATGTCACGCCCGACATGGTGGACCCGGGTCCGGAGCGGCGTCTTCCGGCACCGGCCCCGCCCTAGCGGAGTCAGTTGCCCCGACAACATTCTGCGATTATACACTCGGTGATATGCAGTTCCTCCGGGACGAGGAATCACAATTGCAAGGCCCGCTGGAGAATCCCGTAGTACCCACGATCGACCATCGGCAAAGGGTCTGATTTGACGTGACCCTCTGCAGCCTCGTATTAGTGGAGCGTCGACACGACGGCGCCGTATGGAGCCTCTACCGTAGGCAGCTCTGATCACACCGGGTATTTTAGGCTATCGACAGGAGACAAGGCTCCTATCCCAAGCTTTGTGCTTTCTACCAGCCAGGTCTCACATTATCGAAAACGATGTGCACAGTTTGCGTCTTCCCGCGACGTCTTACAATAACATCAGGGTCTCGACTCATAGCCGGCAGTCCCAGCATAGTCTCTTTTCGCTTAGGTACGGTTCCTTGTGCGAGAGCATCGCCGGGTATGGGGGTGATGTCGAAGCTCAGGAGTGTCTTGGCCAAAACCGCAAGCGTCAGGGTCAGTCCGAGATATCGCCCGGGGCACTGGTGCATGCCAGGGAGGCCAAAGACGTTGAGGTGCTTCACCAGCTCCGCATTTACCTGGCCGCCATCCTGGAGAAAGCGACGGGGCCGGAATGCGGCGGCGTCTCCTCCCCATACGTCCATATCAAAGTTGAGTAGATGGATGGGAGTCATGATCATGGACCCCTTGCTGAGTTGGTATTTGTTGTCGAAGAGACAATCCTCATTCACCCCGCGTGCAACGGGAGAGTCCCCATACACGCGCAGGAGCTCGTACCAGGTTGCCACTAGAAGCGGGCAGCATGTTCGGATTTGGTCAGCGTCGAGGACCAGGTTGGGGGAAGATGGCTCGCCGGCCACCTTCTCGAGTTCTGCCAGCAGACACGCCATGAGTTCCGCGTCGGCCACGATATGGCAAAAGGCCCATGACACAATGTTTATAACGTTGGACATGAGCCCGACAATAGCCACCAGATGACAGTCGGAGAAGCCCTCTTGGGGGATCTCGAGGGACTCGTAGAGAAGAGCAAGTCGTTCAAAGAGCGTTGCCCCCTGGTGTCCGTAAGCCTTGCCGTGCGCGGACTGGGTAATCTTGTTGCGCACGTATTCCCGCGCCGAGAAGAGCTGGGATGGTATAAGCGGCGTGATCGGATTGCGCAACGTCTCCAGGTTTTGAATAAACAGCCTGTGCGAATCACGGGCAGTTTAGATGCGTGACGTCCAAGATTGCCCACCGAGGGGGCTGCTGACCTCAGATGTTGACGGAAGAGTTCGTCTTCGAACGGTCCTTCTTGGCCCCAAAACACGGCGCCCATGGAGCGTGAAAGCAGATCAAAGAGCCACGCCCCAAGTCCGGTTCTAAGCACCGGATCTTGCCCTGTAAAAGTCTCGCCCCAGTATTCATCAACTTTCTGCTCCAGCTGCGAGGCATACTTCTGAAGATTCCGCAGGCTCCTCAGCTCGCCGTTGAACAGCTTGGATAGGCCGCGTTTAAAACCACCCGTATCAGGGTCCGTGAGGAATTTCTCACTCGCAGGTCCGAGGCCCATGGCCGGCCCGACAGCAACATGGAATACAGCCATTAAACTCAAGTGGCGCATGCCCGTGAATTGCTTGACGCTGGCTACGTCTCGTGGGTGAATCAAGTGTATGTCCTGTCCAGGAAGCTTCAGAGTTGCTATTGGCGAGCGTTGGATTGCACTGGGGCTCATTTGTGTGAGTTGGGAGGCATGATCGACAGGACCACGTTCTACGCACCATAGTGATGAAAGGTATAAATTAGAGCCCTTGGTTGCAATGCCGAAAATGTGACCCAAGAAGGGGATCCAGGAAGAATGAACAGGCGGGTTAGGAGACGCGTTCGTTGCAGCTCTTGGCAAGCGCCAGAGAATGGATGCAAGGTAAACGAGCCCTGCAATCAGCAGAGACAAAATAACCGCTTGGATCAACATAATCACGTACTTATCATGGTGGGATTTCCTAGTTTGGAGCTTTGACAACTGCCTCCGATGGCATTCGCGTAAGGTGAAGGAAGAGGATCTCGAGCAGTGGTTCGACGCACGTAGATACAATCAACGACGCACGTCTCCTTATTAAGTTATTAACTAGCTATCGGGCAAGGTGCCGTATTTATATATACTAGTGACCTTCCATGACCAATGAGGCATTATATGCCGGCTGTTAAGCTTTTCCTATAGGAGATACCATGGAGGCCTTAATACATTCGTAATCTTATACCCCCCTGCCGCCTGATATAGGGGGTGAAGCCTCTATCTCGGGGCCACGGGCGTCGGCGTAGGGTGCTTGCCCCCGGGCTGACCACCCCCTGGGTTTGGCCACGTGCGCCAACTTGGGCAACGTTGCTATTCCTACTCCTTTCAACTCCGTAGTGCGGCTCCATAAGGGTTGTTGTCCGGAAGTAGGATTCGTACGGCCCCCATCACAGAGATAGCACGATGCCCTTGATATGATGATGGCAGCCTGGTTGTCATTGAGCGGGGGCACGAGACGGACGTAAAAGACTCATCGCCCAAGTTCCGAGGTTTCTCGCGTTTCCTCGAGAATCCTGTACTTAAGCTCCTGTTTCCCTATCACTGTTGGCTTCGTAGGCACAGAACATAATTTATAAAACACAATGGCAACAATACCACTGTGGCCGGCAGGGCTAGCTGTTGCAGCTCTTTTGGTCTTGTACCGGGTTCTATACAACGTTTTCCTCCACCCGCTGCGAAAGTTCCCCGGGCCCTTGCTGGCTGGGGCAACGTCGGGTTGGAAGGCTTACAAGGAGGTCATCAAGCGGGAGACACTGGCCCAGGAGCTCTTTGATCTTCACAGACGATACGGTAAGGTGGGGCGTTAAGAACGAAGCCGAACAGCAGCCTCTAACATGGTTACCAGGTGACATTGTTCGCATTGCTCCGAACGAGGTGAGTGATTTCTATGATTTATACTTGGCAGTATATGCTCCCTTGTCCGGATTCCGATGTGGCTGATATGGATATACAGCTCCATTTTGGAAACCCAGGTGCATTCCACGACATCTACCACGGGAGCAAACGATGGGACAAGGATCCGGGTCTCTACCGAACCCCCGGAGTCAAGACCGGATCCTTTGTATTTCTAAAGTATAGCCAGGCCAAGGAACGCAGGGAGGTGCTGCTGCCCATCTTTTCCAAGAAGGCTATCCAGAGCCTCGAGCACCTCGTCTGGCAAAATGTCAGTGTCCATGACGCCCTTCGCTGCCTATGTTGGCGGCATTCTGGCAATATACTCCCCCCATTTATCACAACTTACTTACCCGTCGTCACACATCACAGGCCACGCGCCTTGCATCTTCCATCGCAAGGGCCGACGCAACGCAAAGCTCCATCGACCTGCTCTACGCGTTCCGCTCCTACACGCTCGACACCATCATGTGCTTCACCTTCGGCAACTGCGTCAACGCGCTGGCCGCGCCGGCGTTCCGAGACCCCCTTATCCTGGCCATGGACGCCAGCCTGCCCATGCTGCCGGTGCTGAAGAACTTCCCCCTGATCCGTAACCTCATCTACGCCGTGCCCCCGAGTCTGGTTATGCGCGTCCTGCCCGATGCCGAGCGGCTGGCCCCGCGGCTGTACCAGGTCCGCGACCTCATCCAGCAGCAGCTGCGCGTCGTGCTGCAGTGCCCGTCGAAGCTCGACGACGCGTCCCACCAGACCATCTTCCACCGCATGCTGGACCCGCAGGCGTACCGGAGCAAGGCGGTGCCCAACATGACGGCCTTGCACGACGAGGGCTTCACGCTGATATTTGCGGGCGCCAACACGGTGGCTGACACGCTGCTCATGGGCCACTGGCACACGATGCAAAATCCCGACCTCGTCGCGCGGCTGAGGCGCGAACTTGTTCCCGTCTGGCCGGACCTCGACACGCCGCCGTCCCTCAAGGATCTCGAGGCCCTCCCGCTCCTAACGGCCACCATCAAGGAGTCCCTGCGCTTTATCCCCTCGGGCGTGTCGCTGACGCGCATCGTCCCCCCCGGCGGCGCAACGATAGCGGGCCAACAGATCCCCGGCGGCGCGGCAGTCGGCATGGCAATCCTGCACGTGCACCAGTCCGCCGAGGTCTGGGGCGACGACGTCCTTGACTTCAGGCCGGAGCGGTGGCTGGAGGGCCGAGACCAAGCAGAGGCCGGGGAGCAAGGAACCCCCGGTCACAGGAAAGACCTGGACCACTGGCTCGTGCCCTTCAGTCGAGGGCCGCGCATGTGCTTCGGCGTAAATCTAGCCTGGGCCGAGCTGTACATTGCCTTTGCAACCATGATTCGGCGCTTCGATCTGGCCATCGACGGCACGACGCCCGAGGATATGGAGTGGCGGGAGTGCATCGCGGCGTACTATCCAAGGAGGCACTTGCATGCGTGGTGCCACCCGGTACGGTCGTGAAGGATGAGGTAGAGTGGAGGCGTACGCATGACTTCATATTTAGATACATCTCGCTTTGAGGAATAGATATAGACTGTTTTCATAGTGTACTGAGGAGCATGACGGTCTCGTCAAGTTAAAATCGGCCTTGAAGTGACGTGCATGCACTAGGCTAACATGCGTCATCAGACAACCCATGGCTAGCCCTGCGGATGAACCAATGCTACCTCCTTGAACACTGGGAAATCTCCTGCAGTCGAAATGCAGCTTGGCTAAACACTAATTAGTTGTAGACCGTCATGATGCCGTAGGAGCTCCAGGCACTCAGATTCCTCCCCCGCGGTGAGCCGCAGTTGCACGTGCTCGGACACAACGTATTCATTCCAATTAGATGACATACTTCAAGCCTGTTAGCATTTCTTCTCGTCCTCGATTGCCACGATGCACTTACCGGGATGAATATGTACGGGACTTCTCTCTCATAGCGTTTCCAAGCCTCGCCGTACTTTCTCCGGCATCTGATAATATCTCTCCTTGTGCGATGGATAATCATGACCATGAAGAAAACAAAGTAAAACCAAGGGAAGGGGCTCCTGGTAGCAGACAATCAGCCTTTGTACGGGTCTGGACACGTAGACACGTACTTGAATCCGGTGATCAGACCCCACGACATGGAGAAGAACATGTCAGGGACATAGTTTGGCTTTCGGATGTAAGCAAACCAGCCGTCGACCATGATGTGATCGCCGGTATCCGTCTTGATGGTCTTTGGGTTTTCGATGATCTGCCACGGCACTTGAGGAAAGGTGTTGCGCTTGATGAGCTGGCCCTTTTCCTTGTGGCGGAATGCGTTCTTCTGACCGTTGGCACTGTCCCACATCCAGTACATGAAAAGATAGACAACAGCGAGCGCTGTCAGGGCGAACGGGTTCCAGTGGTATTCGGCCGGGTCATGGTTGGCCAGGTACAGAGCGCAGTGGCAATACGTAAAGGGCACGCCGGCCATGTTCCAAAAGGTGAGCAGGAAGCCCAGCTTTTCAAAATACATATCCCTAGGCCGGCGTCAGCTTCGACTTTGACTGTTGCTATATGGCTTCCATTTCTCACCAGCTCGTAATGATCATCTGCTCGGCTTTGGCACAGGCGTTGGTGTATAAAAAGTGCGCGCCGGCTAGGAAGACGACCTCGGCCGAGACGTAGCCGTACGTCTCGTACTGGCGAGCAGCCACGGAGCAGGTGATGAGGAACAGGATGAACCACGGGATGCGCACCTCGTAGAACATCTTAAAGTCCAAGATGCCAATGCGGGGATTCAGCTCGGCGCCCATGAAGAAGTCGTATATGGGGTGGCCCGTGAGTCTATGGGTGCGGCCGCGCACGAGAGCTTGGACGTAGACGATGAAGCTGTTGAGAAATCCCGAGAGGATGGCGACGGTCATGATGGACCCGAACTCGTCAATGAGCGTGTACAAGGGGAATACACGGGTGAGGTGCAAGACGGCCGCGATGGCGAGCGTCGCATAGAAGCTGCAGTATGCGGAGCAGTAATAGGGAAGCCGCTTGCCGCCTTCGTGTCTCAGTGGCCGGCCGTAGTTGGAGACGCCGGGCATATAGCAGTACATGAGGGCCTCCAAGATGAAGAACGTCCAGTAGATGGCCCAGGCCTTGGCGGTGGGATAGGCGCCCTCGTGGACCAGGTGAACCAGGTGACGGCCAAAGTCGGCCCAGCTCTGGTTGGCCTCGGGCAGAGGAAGATGGCCATGATAGTATGTCGCCCCTATCCACATGTACCACATGAGCAAGGGGAAGCCCGTCATCAGCAGAGCAGCGCCAGCCGAGCCACCAAACTCGAACTCATCCGACGCGCCATCCGTGAACTTGGTTGCCGTGGTCGATCCGCTGTCCTTGTCCCCGCTGGCCGGCATGGCAGCGCCAGCAGCAGGCGGACTTCCGTGTCTTGCACGCATGTCTGGCGAGAGCAGAGGCAGTCGAAGGGGTCACGGAAAATATTAATGAGCGACGATAAATGTGTGCCCTCATCTCGGGGGCGACAGGCCTGCGACCAAGTACTGTAAGTGGGCGCATCAGGTGACGGCACGTGCAAGCCGGCCCGCCTGTAATTAATCCCCGTCTCCGGTCCAGTGCCTCGGCCCAAGTGTCATCACCACCGCCGTCATCTCCACCATACATACGGTACTCCGTACCCAGTTCCTCACACATCCAACTTTGGTTCCTCCTGAAGCAGTGCAGTTCCATCCACCATGCGAGGAATCCAAATCAAGCAATACCTCGACGTAGTGAATCCATCCCCATCCCTCGTTGCAAGCGCAGAATCAGATGCTGATTCGTCTCGTTCGTGAACAGGGTCCCGAAGGCCTTCAAGTCTCCGAGCTGCCCGACCCGGTTCCCAACGACGACCAATACCTCATCCAAGTCCACGCCTCGGCAGCAAACTTCTTTGACATTCTCCAGGTCCAGGGACGCTACCAGACCCAGCCCCGTGCGTCTTTCTACAATCTAGTATCTACACACAGCCCCTGCCTGGCTAACAGGGCCATCCCAAGCCTTCCCCTGGGTCGCCGGCGCCGAGTTCGCAGGCACCGTCATCTCCGCGCCGCGCAACCCATCGCAACCGCCCAAGTTCCGGCCCGGCGCCCGCGTCTTCGGCGCCGCTCAGGGCGCCTTTGCCACCAAGCTCTGCGCCGTCGAGGCCGCCCTGCTGCCCGTGCCCGCCGGCTGGTCCTTTCAGGAGGCTGCCGGCCTCTTCATCACGGCCCCGACCAGCTACGCCGCCTTGGTCGTCAGGGCGAATGTCAAGCGTGGTGATCATGTGCTTGTCCACGCCGCTGCCGGGGGAGTTGGCCTCGCTGCCGTACAAGGTGAGTGAGCGAGCCGTTCATCCACTCACGGCGGTGCTTCCTGAGCGCCCAAACTCACAAAGAACCCAAAGTCGCCAAAGCCTTCGGCGCCACCGTAATCGCAACGGCCTCGACGCCCCGCAAACTTGAAGTCGCCAAGGCCTATGGCGCTGACCACGTCCTTCCCTACACCGACGCCGACTGGCCCGCCAAGGTCAAGGCCCTGACCCCTAGCAAGCGCGGCGTCGACATTGTCTATGACCCTGTCGGCCTCGTCGACAAGTCGACAAAATGCACCGCCTGGAACGGTCGCATCCTCGTCGTCGGCTTCGCCGCCGGCAACATCGAAAAGGTGGCCATGAACAAGGTGCTGCTCAAGAACATCTCCCTCGTCGGCATCCACTGGGGTGCCTACTCGGCCAACCAAAGGGCCATGATCCCCGTCGTCTGGAAAGAAATCATGCAGCTGGTCGCCGAGGGCAAGTTGAAGGGCACCGTCTACACCGACGACGAGTTTGTCGGCTTGGAGAGGGTCAAGGACGCGCTCATGGCGCTGGGAGCACGGGGGACTTGGGGCAAGGTTGTCGTCAAGATTCCACAGGATGACCAAAGCCGGTTATGATCCATCTTAACGCGACTAAGACGATCAAGGCGTCCAACGACCTGCCGTGGTCCTCGGGCCGGCAGCGCCACCCAGCAAGAAATGGCAACATGGCGGACACGGTTATCCACCATGAATCGGGAGTCCATTCGCACCTACGCCGCTGCAACACGCCCCTTGTAAGCAGACTGCCATCTCTGCCAGGTCCATCTTGCAACCGCCAACATGTATTCTGTATATGTCCATGCAAAACATGTCTATCCTTGCGTCCAGTCATCCTGCGTCGTCAATCATGCTATCTGCTACAACCGCCTCCTCACTAGTATTGGGCTGAGCGGGCAATGGCCCTAAAGCCCATCAGCACTTCCGAGTCCACGTTCACGGCCCAGTGCTCCTCAAAGGCCGCCTCGCCTCCCACTCGCGTCACCAGCTCCTGCAGCCTGGGAGCCACGAAGCCAAAAACGCGGACAGAGTACACCGGGTCCTCGTCCTGCATCTGCCTCGCCCTCACAGTCTTTGGGGTATCATATTCCGTGTCCTCGGGCTCGCGCCTGAGGAGCGTATCCGTCCCATTCGCCTCCCCGTCTTGGAGATCCCTAATGACCGTGTTCCACATGGCCAAGTAGTCCTGGAGCTTCCCCAGAACGAGCTCGTGCATCGGTGATGGAAGCTCGAGCAGTCGCGTGAGTCCCAGCAGGTATAGTTTCTGTCGTTCAACCTTGTCCAAGGAGAAGAGATGTCCGAACCATTCCGAAGAGAGCCAGGCCCAGACTTGCTCCAGTTTACCGACCGTGGAGAGCATCTGCACAAAGAGGCTCGGCTCGGCCAGGGCCAGGCGAGCCAAAATGGCAAAATAGTCACTTTCTGTGATGATGTTAAGTCTACTAACCTTTCTGTTTGGCCCGGTAGTCTGGCGTGAGTCCCAAGAATCCTGCAAGCTGGACAATATCTTGTTCAAGAACCCCGTCGCAAGCATGTCCTGGATGACGACCGAGACTCCGCTTGCGCCCCCGAGCTCAGCTGCGGCTCGGATGAGGTATTCCACGCAGGCCGTGCCGACTCGTACCTGATCTCGGCTTTTCGCGTCCATGGTGCCTGACAGCGCCGAAAGGGTTGAGCTTCGCAGCTTGTCCTCCAGCATCGCTTCCGGGGCCATGAGTATGTAGGACTCGATGACGCTCAACGCCTGGGATGCCGTCTCGGTTGCGTATTCAAGCAGCGGAAGCGCCAAGCCCGCCAGCTCTATGACCTCTGGACCGAGAGGAGCGTTGCTCTGCATCAGGATTGCGTTCCACAGCTCGAGCGACTCGTCGATAAGGGGGAGGTGGAGGTCAGACCCGGGCCTGGCCGCCTCAGCCAACAATGGAACCATGAAGCCTTGGTATCGCTGGGCGTCACTTCCCATGCTCATGACGAGGGCGGCGAAGATGGCGATGACGGCCTGTTTAATCATGTAGTCCTCAGCCCCGGAACTCTGCCACACCCCAGGTAGAGCAGACATGAGCTGGTCGCCGAACTGTGCTCCCTGATCCTCCATACGCGTGACCAAGATCCGGACCGACTCGAGAATGGCCAACTTGGTTTCGTCGACGTCGATACTTTGGATCAGCTGAATCAGCTGCGCCAGTATATCCGAGGTATAAGGCAAGAAAGGCTCAATCTGAAAGCCAAGCTCATCTACGATCCATCTGAGCTGCCTGGCAGCCGTGATCCTCACCACCAAGTCGTTCGTCTGGTCGTTTGGGTTCAGGAAATGCTGAAAGATTTGGTACGCGAGAGGCCGCCCGGCATCAGTCATCTTGACGGGAGCCCATTGGCTGATGAGAATCGCAATTCTCCGTCGCAGCACCTTGTAGAGGCGTCCCTGCTGCTGCGCATCGTGCACAATTGTCGACGCCAACACGGCATCAAAGTCAAAGACAGTGAAGACGTGGGCAGCTGACAGTCCCATGGCCGTGTACACGGCCTCCTTGGTGGCGATTTCGGCCTGTGCGTCCTGCGCAGTCTGGAAGTACGCCAGAAGAGGCGGGATGAGGAGGGACTTGAAGTTTGTGAGCAAGTCGAGAAACAGCTTCTCTGCACACGGGCGCACCTCCCACTCGTACGCGTTGCCCTCGCTCTGTTCTTGCTGCTCCCAGTCCTCCGGGTCTTCTTCCCAAGCCTCAAGGTCCGCCCTGCGAAACACGAAGAGATGGGTGATGATGCAGTTGACCATTTGGATGACGAAATCATCCTTGAAGAGTTCCGTCTTGACGGTGACCTTGGCCTGTTCCTGGCGGGCCTTGAATGCACTCGTTTGATACTTGAACGTCTGTACGCCTTGAAAAGCAATCCTGACGCAGGCACGCAGGAGAAGGAGACCCCGCAGTGCCAGCCTCTCTAGCAGAGGGCCCTCGACCTTTGCCTTCGCGGTGCCCGAGTCGCCGGAGCCTTGTCGGATCCCACCGGATTCGTCAAAGACGCCGGCGAACTTGGATACCAGGTCCCAGTAGGCGTGGACGAGGGACAGTGAGTTTGGGAGGGTAGAGAAGCTGACAGGCTGCATCTGAGCCATGTTGACGTGAAGCTTGGTGAGCTGGATGAGGTGCTTGCCAATAATGTCGTGATACTGGGCCGAGTACGCCGAGTCCTGGTTGGCAAAGGCCAGAAGCTGACCGAACTGAGACTGTGATGAGGCCCAAAATTGCCCGACAGTATTGTCGTCAGAAGATGCATCGTAGACGGTGACGAGAAGTCGTCGGAGTATCTTGATGGACAGGAGAGAGTTGCGCATGGCCAGGTTGGCTTCAGCTTCGTTTCCTTGGCCGCTGGATAGAAAGTCGGTCCAAAGAGTCGACTTCGCCGAATAGATTTCACAGAGGACGAATAGAAGCTCGGGCGTCGCGCGGTAAAAGGACTCCTGGACGCGTTTCAAACGCGCCGTGATGAGCTCTTTGGTAACCCGCAAAAGTATTTGGAGCGCGCCGGACAGATGCTGCTGATTGCCGTCCTTGTGTGAACGCAGCATTTCGATCATGCTGGAGATGGCATCGGGCCAAGTCGCGGGAAACTCGAGCCTGACTACCTTGCCCACGACAAGCGCATTGTGCAGCGCCAAGCTCTTGTCGGGCTCGTCGATGGTGCCTTGAAACAGCCGCTCGCGAATGCGGAATTTCTCGTCCATCTTGAGGACTTGCCTGGGCTGGTTGAGGACCCTCCAGTACTTGTCGATGCCATTCTTGAGCTGGATGACGGCGAGGAAGCGCACGTCTGTCGGGAGGGCCCTGTCGAGGTAGACATCCTGCAGGGCAAGGTCAGGTTGCGACGAGCGACGTCGGGAGAGGCCAAGCTTCTCATACCTGCAACGAAGAGTAGTAGCCCGGCTGATGCTCCCAAGCAGTGAGCTGCTTGCCCGCGGCTTGCCGACGTGCGTGATCATGGGAGGTGGCGGCGGCCAAGGTGCGGCACAGAGACTCGAAGTTCAACGGGTTCGCCTCTCCGGGCACTTCGATGGCGAAGCTCATGGTAACCAGCGCTTAGCAGCGAACGCAAGACGCGTATCGACGAGTCACAGCCCCCGAGCAGCGCAGGGGAAGCTCTCGTTACGCGGCCCAGAGCAAGGCGCCGGTTTTGCCGTGCAGATGGTGGGCAAAGCGGGATGGAGAATCGCTGAGGCAAGATGCGGCGGGGGGAAACTTTCGCGGGGTTGTGTAGGTGGTGTTGACAGTGGGGCGCGGCGGCGGAATCAGTGGAGGGGCACGGCGTTCTTTTGAACATTTGCGAGACTGCCGGCTGGTGGTCGATGAGGATCGAACAAGTTTATCTCCGTTCATCCCGGGTCCACCAGGCGGTCAGAATCGGCGCATAGCCAAGGATGATGCCGACTTTTTGCAGCAACAGGCGTAGGATAGGTGGCTATCATCGACCCAGCCCAGAAAGACCCCTGCGCACTGTATTTTGTACCAACTGTAGTGGGCTATTCCGGATTTAGAAGGGACCTACGACGGCCTGGGGAGCTTCATCCCAAGCTTGGAAAAAAAACATCAATTGACGAGCGCGCCCGCCATGATCCGCCCACGAGCTGCGGCGGCCGTCCGGGCCTTGTCGCCGGTGCCCTGGAACTGCCCGGCGTGCCTCTCCCGCCGCCGCTATACCGGCCAGGGGCCCGACAAAGTCGAGCCTCCCGATCACCGAAAGCTTGGCTTGCAGCAGGAAATCTTCATCACCTCCGTCTACAGCCCGGGCTCGCCCATATTCCTCCCCAACGGAACTCGCATCTTCAATCGACTCGTTGACTTTCTGCGCAAGCAGTACGTCCGCTATGGCTTCCAGGAGGTCATTACTCCGATAATCTACAAAAAATCCCTGTGGGCCAAGTCGGGCCACTTGGAGAACTACGCCGACGACATGTACTCCGTCACGGCCAACACCGAGAATCGTCCAGGGAGCTGTCCTGGTGTCGGGGAAGAGGATGAGGCCGATGGTGATTACGGGCTGAAGCCGATGAACTGCCCGGGCCACTGCCTCATCTTCAAGTCCAAGCTGCACAGCTACCGAGATCTTCCCTTGCGATACGCAGACTTCAGTCCCGTGCATCGAAACGAACCCTCCGGCTCTCTGTCCGGTCTGACGCGAGTCCGCCGCTTTCACCAGGACGACGGCCACATTTTCTGCCGGCCGTGCCAGGTCGAAGAGGAAATCAAAAAGACACTTGACTTTGTCAAGGTTGTCTACAACGTCTTACGCCTGGGAGTGAGCTACCGATTAGCACTATCTACCCGCCCGAAGGACCACTTCATCGGCACTGAGGACGAGTGGAATCGTGCCGAGGACAGCCTGAGGCGGGCTCTCGAGGCTTCAGGCATGGAGTGGAGCGTCAATGACGGAGACGGGGCGTTTTACGGGCCCAAGATCGACGTCATCCTCAAGGACTCGGACGGCAAGGAGCACCAGACGGCGACGATTCAGCTCGACTTCCAGCTGCCCAAGCGCTTCGAGCTCGAATACCAGGCCCCGGCTCCCGAGTTAGAGGCAAGAGGCGAGACAACCGACGACCCCGCGCAGCTCGCTGAATACGGCTCTGTGCGGCCCGTCATGATCCATCGGGCCGTGCTCGGCTCGGTCGAACGGCTGATGGCTCTTCTCATTGAGTCATACAACGGCAAATGGCCCTTTTGGTTGAATCCTAGGCAAGCCATCATCTTGACAGTAAACACCTCACAGCCGGTGGTGGATTGGGCTGAGCAGGTCCGCGACATGCTTGTCGGAATCCAGCGTACGAGCTCGCCCGAGCTGGCCCATCCCACCGGCTTTGCAGTAGACGTGGACTCTACGCCAAGGTCACTGGGCTCCAAAATCAGAGAGGCACGGACGAACGGATACAGCCAGCTTCTGGTTGTGGGGGAACAGGATGTAGAGAACAGGCAAGTCAGTCTGGGCAGGGAGCGGCTGAGCCCTGCGGAGATGCTTGAGAGAATGCGCGACATGACAGACAAGTTCCAATAGTCGACCCGGGCACCGCCCTCGAACCCGAACCACGAAGCTCTCCTGAATGTCGTGTTCCAGAATACTGTATCAAGTAGTCTTGCCCATGTACTGTTACTTCTAAGCGATGCCCTGGTTTCATCACCACTCCCTTGCTGCCCCGTTTCTAGAACCGAGGTTTGGGCGGTGGCAGCAACCCCGTTGTCGCGGTCTTGTGCAACGGGGCACAGCAAGACGCGATGGACAACCGGCCAGGTTCAGCCGAGGCATCGTACCCACATGCCCCGACGAGGCCGTGGAGATGCAAGACGTAGTGGCCGTCTGCCGAAGAGCGCGGTTCGCGTCTGTCATTCGCGACGCGTCGCGCAATCGGATGCGATGGCGCTGAGATAATGGGAGCCAACCCGAGGCTCGACGACGGCTCAACCTTTGCCGCGACTGTGTTTGCTCTGTTCAGCGACGGGTCTACAGTAGTTCAGCAGGTCAGTTTCCAGCTAAGCTCGGCTCGAGGGGCGGGGACACGGCACTTTTTGAGCCTGTCGTCGACGCGGCCGCCGGCCTTTTCGATGCGCTCAATCATGGCGCGGCGCTCCTCGAGCTTCTGGCGCATAAACTCGACGGTGCGTTTGAGCACGAGGCCTTCGGAGCGGCCCTGGCCCTCGAGACCCGGCACGAGCTCCGTCAGGCGGTCGAAGCCTTCGCGGATGGCCTGTCGCCGCTTTTGCTCTGCCGCCGAAGCCGCTGCTCAGCACACATGACCCAAGGTCGGAGTAGAGATGGGATGGAAGCACAGGAGGGAAAGGCCGTGCGTACCTGACGCGATGTGGTTCTGCTTCTTCTCTTCCTCGGTGAGGCGTGGCTTCTCATCAGCGCCAAGGCCGCCGCCGTCTCCAGGCGACGTCTCGTTGTTGTTGACGGACGTCATCGCTAGCGCTTCAGATGCAGGGCCGTGAGATGCGGCTGGGTTGCAGACGGACAGAGTTGTGCGCGCAGAGCATACATGTGTGTAGACACATGATGGGGGATGCGACGATGAAAATGACGGCAATCACATGCTTCGTCTGCTCTTGGCCTTGGCTGCTTGCAGAGCTCGTTACACGCCGTCGAATAAAGTGCGCGGAAAGTGCCCCAGACTTTTTAGTTTTTTTTTCTGCTGGGCGCAAACACCACCGCCACCTCCATCCTGGGTCCCTGCATTGGCGCGGCCTATCTTCGCGGTTCCTGCAGCCAGCGGCCCTCCTGTCTCACCCCTCGCAAGCAGCGGCCTATTTCAGAGCATAGGCCTCGCTCTTTAGGACTCGATTGGGCCTTTGCGCCGACGCTACTTCCCACTCTACGATGAAAGCGCCCGCTTCTTGCCGGTGTCATGAGATGCTTCTTGCACGTCCTGTTGCTCAGACCGGCCAGTTACTGCAAGCGCGTTGTTTCTCGTCTCATCAGGGACACGGTTTGCGAGCCCACATGCAGTTAACAGACGAGAGCCTGCATCTATCCATTCAATCCAACGGGCGGCCATGCCATGCAACGCTTTCAAATCTCGCCGCCATGTATCACACTTGCAAAAGCGCATATGACCGGCTTCTCGCTCAATCGTCTCCGCCAGAAAGCTGCTCGTCAAAGTCATCAACGTCTTGCCGAAATATCACCTTCTCCGCCATGGACAGGCATCGCCTGACGGGCAGCCCGACGACATTGTCCACGCTCCCCTCAATCTTGCGGACCAGCAGCATGCCGCCGATGCCCTGCACCGCGTAGCCACCGGCCTTGTCTACACCCTCTCGGGTCTTGACGTATGACTCAATCACGTCGTCTGGCAGCCCGTTTTCTTCGCCCCAAAAGTAAACCTTGGTCTCCTCGGTGTGGCTGGTTATGCAGTAGCCGGGATGTTGCGCATCCTCTCTGGGGGCAAGCACCGAGACGGCCGTCAGGACCCTGTGCATCTCCGTGTCCCGCAGGTGCTTCAGCATCCTAATATGATCGGCCTCGCTGCGTGGCTTTTCCAGCGTGCGCCCGTCGCGGGTTACGATGACGGTATCGGCGGCGATGACGAGGTCGGGGTCGGGTATCGAGGCCAGCTGAGTCTCGAGGCAAACGGCGTAGACGTCGAGGCACTTTCGACGGGCAGTTTCGGCAACGTATTCCCAAGGGCCGTAGGCCGTCTTGTCCAGGTCTTCGGGCTTGGTCGACGGCGTGATTTCCAGACTAGTCAGGCCCATCTGCGGAGCGAATGTCAGCACCATGACATGAGGCACGGCACCGACTGCAGGCCCTCACTTGTTGCAGCAGAGCTTTCCGCCGAGGGGATGCAGATGCAAGAACGACTCGTTTCGAGTTGAGATGCTTGAGTATGGGAATGTCGAGAGGTTGTACGAGCCGGCGGACGGGACCGGCGGGACGGGGCCCGGGGCCATGCTCTGCGGTGGCCGCAGCGTACTCCGGAGGAGCGTCGGCAGGAATCTTGGAGTCTGTCATTGCGAGTTGATGGGACGTTGGCGGGGCTGAAAGATGACGACGGGTCGAAGTGATGGTTGGATGATGATAGGTACCTTTCTAGGTACTTAGGTACCTACGTACTGTACCTGTGGGGTTGACCGACCGGTCACGACGACTTACTACCTTAGGTACCTTGATATCGAGATGAGGTGCCGCCAAGGGCTGGAGTGCAGTCGCTGAATGTGCAAAGTTGATGGATGACTGGGTTAGTACTTTGGGCCGGTGGAGGCACCTGCGGTGTCGCGGTGAAATACCTCCCGTCTCTGGTCCAGCGATCATCACCCAGGACAGCGCCTATCTGGTGATGCGTAAGTCGTCTGAGAGAATCCGGTTAGCCGATTATTGATCCGCGGTGTTGACCTTGTTAGCGGCAAAACCTTCAAGGTGCAGAGGAAGCCACTCTGTCACCAAAGTCAGGACGAGATGACCAGTCTTCGTAATGAAGACGAGAAGCGATTTTTGTTTTTATCCCACCCCTGGAATAATAGAAAGCATTGTCGAACTATACAGGCCTTCAAACTGCCCAAATAAATGGTGGCAGTTCTAGCAGACACGTGCAGGCAAGGCGCCTGGAGTCCTGCCGTGTGGAGTCGTGCCTGCTTCCGAATCGGGCATGGTGTAGAAATGGGCTACCTGGCAGCTTAGTGTACGTACCCAGACTCCCAGTTCCACTTGAAAATGCTGAACGCTGCAACTCACCAGCAAAATTGCCCTGGTCTCCTGCAAAAGCATTCTGCTGAAAGCTGCGGCCTCCCGGGCGCCGTCGGAAGGGCTCATCGACAAGTCATCTCGTCGTTGTCGTCGCTTGCTGCATCAAATTCACCGCGCTACCCGCCGTGAATGCCCCAGCGCCAGCACCAACGCGACCGAGGCTCCCTCCCTCCACCCCCCTAGCACGCGTCGTCAACCGTCCCTCAGCGTCTCCTTTGCGACTGGCGAGACGACGGCCCATTGCGCCTCGAAGCCGACGTCGCGCCTACAGAGGCCCCATAGCATGTGATGCGCCAGACGCCGCGACTCTGTCCAACGCCTCCATGATGGACTCCAAACGCAAGGCCAATGGCACTGCGACGTCGGACCCCGACGACCGCTCCTCCAAGCGACGCAAGCTAGCGGTAAGCTGCCCGCCTTTCTATATTCCGGGACGAAGCACCTCTCGACTCTTGTGCTTCGTGTCGTGGTTGCATGTGGCGCCGACTGGATATTCCCAGTCCAATGTTGTCGCCCCTGACGAGACGCGTTCACTGACCAAGACTGGTGGCAGGAGTTTGACCTCTCCAAGGGCGAGTCGCAGGAATCGACTACCGCGTATGGCATGAAATTTTTAGAGCAGATACGGCGCACGGCAGACAAGAGGTATGAATCCCATCTCGATTGGCACCTTGGCCTCCTCTGACTTGCATCTTCCTTTAGCGGACGACTGGTCGCAACCTACTTCGAGAAACTCCTTCCGCGGGAAGGCAACCAAGACTACTACAAGCGAACGCGAATGCCCATTTCACTCGAGATTGTCGAGGACAAATTGAGCAAGGGCGACTTTCGGACCCTCGCGGAGCTCGAAAGCTACTTCAAGAGAATGATTGCCAATGCAAAAGAATTCTATCCGCGGTCCTCTCCCGTCTTCGATGACGCCGAGCGTGTGCGAAAGGCCTTGAGCAACTACATGACCAAGACAAACCCGGCCTATAGCACGCGCGGCTATCAGGCACAGCCCACTCCCTTGCCGCCCGAAGAGGGCAACGAGGAAGGCGAGGATGAGGACGCCGAGGGCGAGGAAGAAGACGGTGAGGGTGAGGGCGAGGGCGAGGAAGACGGTGAAAAAGAACCAGAAGAAGAACAAGAAGAAGACGCCGAGGCCGAGGAGGCCGAGCAGGCCGGGTACGAGGCTCAAACCGACGCTGCCGCAGGAAACAAAGAAGGGGAGCAAGCAGCGAGTCGCACCTCGAGAAGGCGCTCTATCGTCCTCAAACGCAGAGAATCCGGCCGCATCGCTCACAATTCGGCCCCGCAAGTCGATCCGAGCCCGCGCCAGTCGACGACTCCAGCCCGGCTGGATCACCAGTATGAGAACGTCCCCTACAAGGGGTTAAGTTTCCAGCAAGCTCAGGAGAAGATTGTCGAGGAGCTTCTTCGCTACAACGAGCCAGAGTAGGGTTCCTCATCAGCCTCTTGCTGTTTCCGTCTTGAGTCGTCCCCTGCCTAACACCATCACAGGTTCGAGGCTTATTTCGAGCCCTTTCACAACCTGCCACCTCGAGCCTTGAGGGACTATTATCGCGTGGTTACGGACCCGCTATCCCTCAAGAAGCTCCAGAAGATGGTCAAGGGTGTCCATGGCCGTCATGATGCAACTGGCGTGAGCGAGTTTAAGCACTGGGCGGCCTTTGAGGAAAAGTCCAAGCTTCTGTGGACAAACGCGTACTACTACAACGAGGAAGGGAGTGAAATCTACGAGTTGGGACAGGAACTCGAGGCAAGTAGCCTGCGTGTCCAGCAAACGGTCTCTCACGCTAACACTCCTCTAGAAAGCGTTTAATGAGCATTTGAAAAAGGCACGAGCCGTGGTACCAGAGCCGACGCAGCCCAAGATCAAGCTGAAGGTGGGCCAAGCGTCCGAAGTGCCAAGCTCGTCAAAGAAGATCACCATCCACGTGGGTGGGCGAGGAGGCTCCATGGACTCTCCCGCCCCGAACCCAGCGCAGTCGACCGCCTCTCCCGCTGCTGGGTTGAACGGCGCGACGCGCGTCTCTGGCCGCTTGGAGGCGGCGCGCAGTATCTCGGCGTCGGCCCCGTCTCCCAGCCCTTCGACTCAGCCCGGCCTTAAGATGGAAGACAGCGCCCGCATGTCTCCAGCGGTCCCTGCGCCGATTCCTGGGATCATCCCCGTAGCGGTGCGGCCTCCGGGTCCTGTCATCCAACCTCAACCTCAACCTCAACCTCAACCTCAACCTCAACCTCAACCTCAACCTCAGTTTCAACCTCAACCTGTTGAGATCCAGCCGATGCTTAATGGCCACGTGGAGCAGAAGCGACTTCGCAGGGATGGAAAGGGTATGTTAACCGTCTCTTGAGTGAGCGCTATGTGCCCTCGCTGACCGCGACTAGGAATCAACGACGCCCTCATTTCGCGGCTGCGCCTTCAGCTGCATCCAAACATGCAGGTCGAGCATTCCAACGTTCTAACCGTTCTTCCGGACCCCCAGCAGCCGCAGCAGTCGGCCACGGTCAGTCTGGCGCCGCACTACAACCGCGTCTTCATCATGCTCAAGCTGCCCGACTTTCTCTACGAGCGGCAGTACAGCCTCTGGGTCCTTATTAACAAGCAGCCCCTCAAGCCGTGCTTGCATCCGCTCCCGAACCAGCAGCAGCAAGAGAGGGCTTTCGAGGTCGTCTTGCACCCGGGAATCAACGTCATCGAGGCCCATCTCATTGCCGCCATTCCGCGCAGCGAGCGCGAGCAAAATGGGCCCGAGGCGGAGCTTGAGGTGTTTACCGTCTTTGCCAACTTGATGAGGACTTGACTTCTCTCCCCAGGGCACGGGTGTGTACAGTCTGCGGATTAGTCGGATAGTTTGCCTGCTTTTGGCGCTTTTTCCTATATGTGCCATCGAGGTTCTTGTGGATACATGTCTCGGAAAGGGTGGACCACCTGGGAGGTGCATGGCTTCCGAGGCTGAGAGCCAGGGGAACCGGCTGGATGTGTGCGGGAGGGGCGTTTATGTGGATGACCCTGATTGTTGCAAGGTAACACGGGACCCTGATTTCTGGAGAGCGGACATGTATGTATGATTGCCGGCGGATAGGACGCATCGTGCGGGAATGGTACATCTTTGTTTTGCGTGTAGCGTTGCCGCGCTGGCGGTACAGCGAACGGGGCCTCTTTTAGACCAACGGTAGCTCAAGGCACCGCAGCTCTAACGAGACCTCTTGATTTGTGGTTTAAATCAGCGCTCCAAATGAGGTTCACTGTGGTTTTGAACTAGATAGAGTCTCCCAAACGCCAAGCCAGCCGTGCCAAACAATCAAGGGTATATACAATTCCTCTCGGAAGCCGCGGCAATCCCAAAAAAGGGGAAAAGGAAAGCACCCCTGAATCCTTAGACGCCCCGGCCATTACCCGCTCGCAGGCCTCTGCTTGAGCTGAGCCAGATGCTTCAGGCCGGTTTGGATGCCCACGTACTTCTTCAGCTTCGGATCGTACGAGGCCAAGACGTAGACGCATAGGATAGCCGTGTCGCCGTAAATTTCCACCATGCCATCCACGCGAATACAGCCTCGATTTGGAAGCGGTGGAGCCTGCTGCCAGTTTTTGACGAGAGCGCCACTGGCCGCATGCAGGGCAGCCTGGATGCGCGGGTCCCCTGAGCCCTCGCTGCTGGACGTGTTGCGCAATCTTTCGTCGCCCGCGGGCTGAATAGAGGAAGCTGTCGACCCGGTCGATGCCTCAGACCTGACGGATGCCTCAAAGACACGGTTGGCGTCTGTCTGCAGCACAACATGTTGTGGGTCTGTTGCTTCTGGCGGTGGCGTGGGTGGGTTCAACCTGAGAGCATTGGCGACGTCATGCGCAGTCTGCTTGACCAGGGAGTTTCCAAAGGACCACACGGCGGCAGCAACAGCCTTCGGGTACAGAGCCATGCTCAGGCTGCCGGCCGTCGCAGAGTCGATGGGTCGGTCTCCCCAGTAAATGCCGTCGTCGAAGACGATGATCCTTGTCGACCATTAGCTCAGAACTTGAATAAGACTCCATGAGCGTGGCTCACCCAGACATGTAGTGCTTCGGGGGAGGTCGAGGAGGGTAGAGGATGTCGAGCCAATATTTTCTGAGTTTGATATCGTGGCCCCCAAGTGCCTTGATGTATTGGGGGTTTTTCGCCGCGGCGCTTCGTATCGTCTCAGCTAGGCCGCCTGCGGTATATCATGAGCACAACGCCGGTAAACGCGGGACACACGGGTAGCATACGCTTGATGTCTTTCTGAAGTTGCTGGTCTTTGCTGACGGCGATGAACGTTGACCACTCGGGATCCGAGCCTTTGTACGGCGGCTGCTCGACCAGTTTTGTCATGAATGGAAAGGGAAGAAACAGGATCGGCTCGTCTGGGTCTGCCGCCTGGTCCACCTCGTCCTTTTCCTCTTCCGACAGAGCGTTCCATTCGGTGTCTGCCCAGTCGAGGAGCGGGTCGAAGACGACGGACACGTAGATTTGCCAGCACACGGTGTATGCCACAAGTGCAAAGAGCACTCGGCTGGTCCAGTCAGCATCAGTCCTGCTCCTGGCGTTCATCGAGCATACCCAAGTGGCCCTTTCCAGTTACCGGGCCGAAGAACGGGACCGCCCCTGGAGAAATAGACTGGGAGCGGCGGCTGCGTGGGCGCGCGATTTCGTCTCCATGGCAAGAGTGAAATGTTTCTTCTCGGGGCAGCGACAGGTCGGGCGGCTATCCTTGGCCTCGCGACGGGGAGGGATGCGGCGAAGGCACGCCTCGGGGCGATCGACCAGCGACGCAGCATGCCGTATTGTTGCCGCCCCTCGGTCGGGAGATGGACAGCGAGAGTCGAGATAAAGAGGCCGCTGGTGCAACGCGGGAAAAGCAATAACCAGGGATGATGGCACCTCACCCGCCAGGATGGTACCGAAAGATGAAATGTCCACTCATTTGGGGCCCGACTAGCCAGCACACGGCGCTGACTATTATCCGGCACACAAAAGGTGTGGAGCCTGTGGCGCAAGGAGATTGAGAGGACTTAAGCAGCCTTACCAATTTACTTTTTAAACATTATAAATTAAATATTTATATAGCTGAATCTAGGCTCTAAGCTAGCCGTAATCCTAACCTAAGCGCGTAAAAACTAACTAGCTCTATTTGAAGCTTTTGAAAGATTTTATATAAAATAAGAAAGCTAAGAGTTCTAAAGTACTAAGTACTAGCTACTTTATCATGCGCCTTTCCGTTTTAGATGCACTTGCCACACTTTCTCCACTTTTGTGTGCTGGATAGTCAGAGCCGTGTGCGCTGCTGGATATCCGTAGCAAGGCTGCGTAAGTGGTGAGCGGTGGGTGCGGACAGAGGCTCGGAGTATTGTGCTTCCGGGATCCGGCACATGCCCACTTTGCCCGTCGACGTGGTCGCCCCTAACGCAACCATCAGCGCGAGTGGGTGACGCTTCATAAATCAAACCGCCGTCATGAAGCTCTGCGCTGGGCTTATCGCGGCCTCCTGCGGCCTGGCCGTTGCTGCTCAACCCGCTGCCCAGGTTTACCTTGTGCCGGCTCGCGAGGCCTCTTCATCGACCCCCTCCCTCTCGCCTGCCCTAGCACGCCTCGTTCTGCTACAGCGGCTGGCACCCAGGAGCCAAGGCCCGTCCCTCCGCGACGCCGACGAGCAGGCCGACATTGCAGAGGCTGTTTCTGCGTTGAACCGGTTCGGAAAGGCCTCCCCGCCACTGTTCGCCGACGATGACAACGGCGAGCCAAGCCAGCTGGTGATGATGCTGGATGGAATGTCGGAGGAGCAGATCAAAGACTTGGGGCGTGCGCTCGGGACGAGGCCGGCATTTACAATCCCGGAACCGCCCTCGGCCAAAGCCCATGATGAACTGGTCAAGGTTGACCTGGTCGGCACGGGCGCAACGAACGCAGGCGATTGTGACATGCAGCAGGTCGCCAACCCGCTCGAGGGTTGCTGGAAGGGGAGGCGAGCTGCCTTTGCAAAGTTTGATGTCAACAAGGTATGGGAACATTGAGTTTCCGCAGCTCGAGTCGTCTACGAGAGGTTCAACTGACGATGGTTGTTTCTGCAGAATTCCGATATTGTCAGCAAAGTCGTGCAGAGACTTGACCAGCTCTCTAAGCTTGCCAAGATTGGCGAGTTGGAGACGACACTGGTTCTCCTACCTCCGACTGCAAACTCCAGACCCTGGTCCGATCAGCCTCGAGAACTGCGTCGCCGCCAAGCCGAGCAGGTCATGACGTCGCTGGACAAAACCGCGCGCCCCGTAGCACCAACCTCATCCGTGGCCGAGAACCTGATTCTATACGCCCCCGGGGCCCGCATCGCATCCTGCTTCGCCTCTGAAGACAGCTGCATCAAGGCAACGGGTAACTGCTCTGAGCACGGCTCATGCCTGGACCGATACGCCGGACCCGATGTGAAGGATGCCGGCACCAAGTGCTTTGCGTGCCACTGCCTGAGCACGCGGAGCGAGGCTGGCGGCCTGATCCACTGGGCCGGACCGCGCTGTGCGAAGCAGGACGTCAGTGTTGCCTTTTGGCTCTTTGCCGGCTTCACACTTGCCCTTGTCGGCATCCTGTGGCTGTCCATCTCGATGCTGTTCGGGATCGGGCAGGAGAAGCTGCCGGGCGTGATTGGCGCCGGTGTTTCGAGAGCCAAGTAGCCGCGGCCTGGCCTGACCTCGGCTCGGGGTGCGGCAGACGATGGGAGCTGTGTGAGGGTGTGGATGGACATGGTTTGGTGGTGTACCATATTGATGTTTTATCGATACATGGCGTTGGTAGCAGGTCTTTCTTTTTGTTTGTTACACCCCCTTCTGATGCTGCAAAGCAGTCGATGTCAAGACTTGAGTAAGGGACCATTGCCGAGTGTGCTGGACTAATGCTCCAATTCCGGCTCGATATACGGATAGCCACCCCAGATACCTAACCCCAAGTGATGCTTTACTCTAGTAGTATGCAAAAGTTTAAGGTTTACATTGGGGTGGAGAGGCGAGGCATGGTTTGGAGAGCTAAGCTTGACCTGTCACCAGTAGTTTACATACGGACACATTTATACGAATTCACTGAGTACGGAAGGTTGGCTTGTCCACGTGATCGAATATACTGGATCCCATATGTTGGGCCGGGCAAAACCGAAGGGGGAGAGATCATGGGTCAGCCGTAAATGGCTTCACATGTGATGCCTGGAAGTGGGTTTCCACTATCTTGATAGACTTAGCATTGATAGCAATTTTGCAAGAATCTTCGATGGTTAGAAAATCCCCTGTATTTGCCTATTCGCTGGGTCAACTGATTGCAGATGTTAACCATCGTCCATGTGGGAGATCCATGTTTGGCAGAGCGCTTCTTGACAGTGCACTTCTGTAGGGTTGGGGGGGTCTTGAGAATCGGACGGTCACGTAGCCCCTCGGAGACTTCAGCGGACTTTTGGCTGCGGATCAAGAACTCCATTGGATTTCAATTCGTATTCTGTCTGACTTTTCAACCAATTTTCCTTCCTTGCCCCAGAGTGCCTTAGAGATGCCCACCTAGAGCTCGACGCCAGCCTCGGCCATCTGCAGGCCGTACTTGGTTGAGTTAGCATCTCTGTCTCAGCATCGCAAGAACCGATGGGTCGATTACCTTCTTGAGGCGGATAGCGTTGATGGTAATGAAACCAGACTGTACAAGATGTTGTCAGCAACTCGTCTTCACTGAAGCACTCCCGAACATGACTCACGGTCTCGGAGGGGTCGAAGGTGGTGAGCGAATCCATGGAGGCGTCCTCTTCGGAGTACAGCTTCTCCTGGGAAGTGCGACCCAGAACGTAGGCGCTGCCCTTGTACAGACGGAGGCGAACCTCGCCGTTGACCTGGGAAACTCAGTCAGATCATGCAAGCTTCCATTGCTGGCTCTTCACCATACCCGCTGCTGAGAGAAGTCAAGACTCGCTGTAGTCAGGTTAGCCAAGTCTTCCATTTGCCGAACAGAACGGCTTACGCTGCAAAAACGCTCTTTCGGGCGAAAAGTAGAGCCCATTATAGAGCAGCTCAGACCACTGCTTGCTTAAGTTGTCACGCAGAGAGCGGACACGACCGTCAAGGACACTGGAACTATCAGTACCAGTAACACCCGTGTGAACGCACCGTGCGACTTACAGGCCCTCGATCGAAATGTGAGCAAGGCGAAGGATACTCATGCATGGGGAGTCGTCTGCAAGCATGTTAGCAATCGTAAAGGGCCCTTTTTGAAACAGAAAACGTCCAGCAACCACGGCTCTTAAGGCCTATGAACCTAACAATCGCATAAAATTAGCGCTTATAGGCCTTATTTGATTTGTAAGAACGCCTCGTATACCTGTTCTCGACAATATCCTGTCGTCAAATGTCAGTCAGAGCGTTCGGAGCTTATCGTGCCTGAGGAAACTCACGATGCGGCCGACACCATGCTCCTTGCCAAGAGCATTGAGCAGAGTGAACAGCTCAAGGGAATCAGTGACGGTCTGCTGGGGAGTGACGACTTTGACGGGAATGCCCTTGTCGAAGTGGACGGTGATGTCGAGTGGAGTGTCGGGGGCCTTGAGAGGGCTGACAGTGCGCGTCCTACACTTTGCAATTAGCAAGCCAAGTGTCCATCATTCAGAACGTGTCACAACTTACCACATGTCTTCAGGTGGGGTGGTGTTGGGGTCTTCGAGCATGCCGGCCTGCACCCGTCAGCTATGTAGGGATAGGACACTCACTGGTCCCTAAATACCTCGTAAGAGCAGTGAGCCAAGTTATCGTCCATTGAGTACTGTTGTTCTATCAGCAACTTTTGTCTCCTTCTTGGCGTTGTAAAAACTAACCGGCTTCGCGCGTGTCGAGGTCACTGGGATACCTGGGAGAACTTAGCATGTTCCGAATGAAAAAAAGAAAATCTGCCTTATAAATACACTTTTCAGCCGCGTAGTCAAGGAGGTCGTTGCGTCCCTGAGAAGTATGTCAGTAAATCTTCAGAAAACGGATATTGACAGAACTAACCTGGAAACGCTGATAGAAAAGAGGGTCACGCCTGTGCAAACACTTATCAGTCTGTACTTGGAAATTCGTAATTGGAAGAAGTTGGCAGTCGTACCATGGGGCGATGACCTTGATGGCGGGATTAATAGTCAAATAGGCTAACTGCTCAAGTTAGTATCTCAAGAACAAATCACTTCAGTTGTTTGGGCATCCGGGGACAGGTTCCCTGCAAGAGCCGACCAGCCGCCACATTGCCCACGAACAGTGTTGAACACGAGAGAAGGCGTAGACGGAACGTCAAATTCAAACCAAAACTGATGCCCGACCCCAACAAGCCACTGGGCCCGTGAAGGGTTCGAGTTTAGACGCAGGTTGTTTCAGCAGTTGGCCTTCTTTCTTTGGCGACAACCATGGCATGGTCGACTTGGCGTCTTTTCCGGACACGTTTAATGGTGCTGTCTTCCAAGCGTTTCAGGCACGATATTCGTCTTTGAGTGGATCTCAGTCGTCGAGAAAGAGGTCATCAGACATCCGGGGCAATGTGGCAAGGCGACGGCATCTCTTAGAGAAGGTATCCAGAAGGAACCTGCGGTAGGAAGGGAAGGGGGGAAAGTACGTGCCTCAAAGCGAACTTGATCATTGCTGAGTAGGATGTTAGCTGCATTATTCAGGATCGTCAAGGGTATAACCCACCCCTTGCCGGTCTATGATTACAATCAGCATATCAACTTGGACAGGGAGTGAATACTCAGTAAGTTAATACTTACGCAACCATGCGAAACGAAATCGCAACTGGAGCAATTTTCGTGTTAACGCGAGCTGGTTTCAAGCAACTCCAAGCAGAATGGACGAACCCCTCCTTTTCGGCGGCCTTCATCATTCCGCGGGCGATGACAGGGCGAGCCAAGCTGGTACCTGATATCCCATTAGCCTCTACTCAAATGCTTGAGAACATACCAAACTAACCCAGGAGATACTGGTCCTCGTACACAGCATTCTAGAAACTTCGTGTTAGTCGCAGAAAATGTATCGGATCGAGTGGGATTGACGAACGCATTGCACAGCCTTCCAGCACAATTCGCTGTATTGATGTCAGTATGTCACAACCGTGCTATCAATCCAACTTACTCGACGAAAACCTTGCGAAGGTCATCGATGATCACTATCAGATTCGTTCAGGTTCAGCAATATTCTCACGATGGCAAGGTCTCGGCGTGCTTGGGTCATACTCTTGGTGGCTCCGATCTGGAGAGCTGCGCGCGGAATGTCAGCACAGGCGTTCCCGATAAATATGTGGGAGAGGTGATTCACCCTTCTTCTCCACCGAAGCCCAGTCTTCTTCCTGGCCAACATTGGCCAAATAGCAGCTTGCAAGCAGTCAGTATGACAGGTTCAGCAGCGCGAGGCTCAGCTGCAACCGGAATTGTAAATACTAACACAACTTCGTATTGCTGCTCTAGCAACCATGCCAAGATTGTGCTCGTGTCGAGTCCGCCGGAATAGCTGACGACCTTGATCAGCTCAATGTTTCAACAAAAGGTGCCAATGACCTCAATGCCGGGAGAAATAGCTCGATGATTCCACAATGGCGGGGGAGGGGCAGACTCACGCTAAGCAGACCTTGCCCTTGGTGCCGGCCATCGTGACGATGTTGGTGTTTTCTTGCGATTGGAGACGTTGATTCGAAAGCGTTGAGGTCGATGTCGAGATTAATTGATCGAAAAAGTGGTGGATGACCGAAGGTGCAAGCCAGACTTTTTTCCGCGATGTGTCAGATCCAAGATGCAGTGATCATGGGAAGGCAGGACCCACAAGCGGTGTGGCCACCACTTGTGGGCCTTGCACGTGACGTACGGGTGAAAGGCTTCTATGCAAGCATAAGCCTGCCTTCCCCTATACTATAAGTTAGGTGACTCCTAGCTAGTAGGTGCTACAGAATAATAGTTAGCCCGGGCTCTAGCCGTGTATTATATCTTACAAGGCACGGGCACGCTACAGCTAGATAAAGCATCCCTTTTTATCTTTTTATATAGCATACTGTACGAGTCTGGGCCCGAATGGGCAAAAGCAGTGGTCGCGTTACCAGACACACCCTGAGGGCGACAGTGTGTGACAATAGATAACGAAATTGACCAAGCGACAGACTTATCAATTGAACACATATATAAGGGACAGTTTGGTCTACGACCAATCAACCAACCAACAAGGGCCTAGCCTAGTGGCATTTATGCAAGCTCTACGAGCCTTTCTCGATAGTCCTTATATATATTTATAAGATAGCAAATACTAAGCGATTATGGCATGCCTACCCCTTTTATTGACAAGCAAGACGGCCGTTTTATTACGGAACCAAGCTTAGGGGCCCGCCGTTTATTTTGGAACAGGACTGTCCTAGACAGTTACTTTCAAGTTTCGTGTTATCTATGTATCTAGAACTAAGCAAGAAATGTGTAGCATCGCCCTCGAATGTGATCGTTCCTTTCTCCTGTCGTTAGTTTAGCAATAAACAACATTGGTCCTCACAGCCTTTATGACGCCTGTGACTGCAGCCCTTCACGCCCTGGAGTTTTGCAAACGCTTGTAAGTGCTCGGGCTTGTGCCTCAAGGACGGGGTTCTGGAAGACGTCGGCTACGGCAATGGTAGTCCCGGCCCTGCGTGCTGCTGCGACCAACTTCATCACGGCAATGGAGTTTCCGCCAAGCCTGAAGAAGCTATCATGTACGCCAATGGCGTCGGCCTCAATCTTTAGAACCTGTGCCCACAAGTCTCTCAGGCGGCGCTCGTCTGTCGTCTTTGGCTGCCGCAGTAGTTCTTCGGCAACCGGCAGTTCCGTGGGTTGCTGCGCCGATAGAGCCGACCCCATCTCGCGCAGCCGCCTCCGGTCCACCTTGCCCGATGCCTTTAATGGTAGGCTCGGTATGGGTATCAGGGCAGACGGGACCATGTAATGTGGCAACACTTTTTCCAGTCTGGTCCGGATCGTCTGAATCGTGGTCCTCGTTTGCGCGTCCGTTGCGCCCATATCTGGGCGGGCTCTCGGCACGAAGAAGCCTATCAAGCCGGGACCTTTTCCTTGAAGTTCAGTCATCTCGACAGCCACGTTGATGATGTCGGGTGCGGCCTGTCTTGCTTGGTGTTCAATCTCTCCAATCTCGATGCGCTGGCCTCGTAGCTTGACTTGGGTATCTCTCCTGCCCAAGATCTCGGTCGACTCGTCGCTTGCTTTTACACCCAAGTCTCCAGTCTTATAAAATCGTGTCCCTAATGCGCAAGGGCCAAGGGCGACCCTCCAGGCTGGCGATTCAATAAAGGCCATAGATAAATTATCGGGCTGCCCAATTGGCACCCAGCCGGCGAACGGCCCTATCGAGATGGCTACCACGGTCTTCCTCCGCCACGACACAGACGCAGCCGCCGTGCATCAGGGTCATGAGCATCTCCACCACGGCCCCCGCAAAGCTGTAGGAGCTGAACTGTAGAGAGCGAGACTCCCTGTCCAGGCCAATGACAGGCCCGTTGGCCATGGCAGATGTGCAGTAGGAGCGGTGTTCGATGACGCACCCCTTTGGCTCCCCAGAGCTGCCAGAGGTGAACATGATGTAGGCAGCGTTGGTCGGCTGTGCTTTGGCCAACACTGATGACGTGGTCGATGTCGATGCCAACTGTTGCAGGAACGACTTGTCCAGTACCGCCGTGTGCTTTGTGAAGCCCGATAGTCACCCCTTGCACTGCGTCGACGTTATGGCTATTGTGGCGTGCATCTGCTGGCAGAGCTTTTCAAGCCGCCTCTCGGGCAAGCCTGGGTCGAGTAGCACGAAAGCGCCGCCGGCCTTGAGCACGCCAAGCATGGCCACTGTAGTCCACAGCGACTTCTCGAAACAAAGCGGAACCACCACCTCGGGCCCGACACCGAGCCCGGCAATGTGGCCTGCCAAGCGTGATGAGAGGTCGTCTAGTTCCCCGTACGTGAGCTCGCCGTCCCATGCACACAAAGCCGGCGCGTTTGGGCGCGCCCGAGCCTGGTGGCTGATGACATCGTGGATACACTGCTTGACTGCCAATGCCGTGCACTCGGACGCAGCCGTTCCAACCCGAGATAAGACGTCAGTTTTGCCCAAGAGATAATGCCCAACTGATGGCACAGAGACGTTGACAGCGTCGAGAGACATGGCATCAATTCCCAGTCGCCAACGATGTGGATCGTGGGGCTGGAGAAACAAGATAGAATGAGTTGCGTCGGAAACAAACAAGAGGTCTCGATTTTGTGGCGAAAGTAGACAGACCCGGCACCATGTTCTGTCTAATGACTAGCTTTGGCAGCATCTTCACACTTTTTGAGCATGCAAATCAGACGCATATCAAGAGTGATAAAATTTACGATGCCGTCGCAACTGCCGTAAAGTTTCGCATGTTTTCGTCGGAATCATTTTCCATGGCAAGCACCGTTTTCTATGATAACCGAGCACGTACATGGCTATTCCGCTATCCTCAAATCTCCGGTTCCAGTTCGATGATTCACACGGGCTAGAAACGGGGCCTACATATCTGCCGAAACTCTGTCGCTATCACGTCTTCTTCATCGCGGGAAACGGCATAGCAGGCAAGCCGGCAAAAATACCGCGTTTTCAACTTAGTTTCAAACGCAGAAATGTGCTTGGCTGGCAAGGCCTATGCTTCAAGGTGATTGGCGTATCTGCTCCAGGGCCGCGCACGGCTTGTTTTTGAATAAACTAAACTAAATGATAACCTGTCAAATAACGCATGTTCAATGGAGTGGGGTGAGACTTTGAACGCGGTTTTTACAGAAATCACATAGGGGCAAGCGGGCATCAGAATTGAGGACTTGAAGGACTTGATTGGTCTATTTGTACTTGAGAATCCTCGCCTGCAGAGGCCTCAAACGCGCCTGCCTGCTTGCTTTGTTGGACAGGTGTGGATTTCTATTGTTGTTGAAGCTACTAGGGGGTCAGGGTTCGGCGGTGATGTCGGTGTGGTGTGTGGCCTGCCCGATATACAGGGCGTTACATGCCCTGTTTGACTTAGACTCGTGGTTCAGTAAGCTAAGCTTTTAGAAGAACATATTTGACTATATATACTTTGTGTCCTTGAAGCAAACTTTTTGGGCATTATCTGGATTGTCCAGTCTTGTCACGCCGAGAGGTCATTAGTCCCTGCGTTCTAGGCCAGTGAATTAACCGCCTGCATGTACAGAGGTTTGGTAGGAGCAGGGAGACAATAAATCTTCATTACCAGCTACATATCAAGCTTTTGGCTCCAGAAAAGCCACCGTCTCGTATCCTTCCAAATGCGTGATATGCCTTTCAACTCTTCTTGCATGGAAATCCAAGCCCGTGTTGGAAGGTTTGCTTCCATCCGATAATTGCTGCTATGGTCCTGCCCCTTGAGGAATATGGACCGAAGTGATCCGGGCCATTCATTAGCGGAGTAGTAGCATAGTGCTGTTCCTGGCGAATTGCTCCTCGGAACTTGTCTTGTCCCCTTGCTGCTTCATTGCTGAACTAAAGTCAATATCGAAACCTGCCCCCACCATACTCAAGTTGTTGATAAATATCGTGACCGAGTCGCTTGGGAGGAATTCGAGCGAGCCAACGCTGCTCTTGATGAATTGGAGAAAATTGATCAAACTGTATACGGCCTGCTCTGGCGCGCAATTCTCAGCAATACAGCAGAGCTGAGATGTAATGATCGGCCCTATAGGGCCTATTGCAGTCTGGGCCGGTATGTCGTTGAAGACTGGGAAAACCATATTCTGCGTGTAAACTCCTTGTCTATCGGTCAAATGTGGGAAACAATATCGGGCATTCAGGCAGTTGAAGGTTGTCATTTGACGCGGAGTCGGCTCTGCTCTTGCCACGTGTCGAATCACCCATGCCAGAAGTAAATCGATATTGCTATAATACTGGGCAACGGCATCCTCGTTTTCAAGACGACCTCGCAGTTTCGAGAAGAGTTGCTCCCGAATGATCATCCTACGCGGCGCGAGAGGCTCCTCGCGAGGGGGCTCTTGCTGCACAGACTGTTGTAGCTCCGCGGTTCCTGCGGCATGGATTGCTGTTGTTGCTCCCCTTGCGGAGCTTCCTTGTCCACTTTGTTGTCGCTATACCGGCTTGCCATTTCTACGAGCATGTCGTGTCGCGATCCGAGCATAGGCGGAACTTCGTCCTCCCTCCCAGCTAGAATAAGTTGGAGGGCTTGCAAGAAACTCGAGAAGCCAAAACCGTCCCAAGTAACATGTGGCGCGGTAATTGCCAAAAGCGTGGCATCGAAAAAGGCTGTGATTTTGACCAGTAGCTGCGGTGCACCTTGATCTATCATTTCGTTGAATGTGGTTGGAAACGTTGGCCCTCTGATGAAGTGTTGTACCTCTTCCACCGAGTCGATTGATAGGGTGTCGGCTGACTGAGGCAGCTCGGGCGCCAACGGGTGCTCGGCAATATTGCTCTCGAAGTTCTCGTATGCATATAGCATGGCCGGTCGTTCAGCAGTAAAGCGGGTTGGAACGTGAACCTCGAGATCTCCATTCTCCTGTTAGGGTCAGTTCAGCACCTCGTCTTGTCCGTCGTGGACAAACGCTGCTTTCGAGAGTCTTTACCTTCATCTTAAGCCGACCACCTAGTTTTCTCCAGTGTCCGATGTCAAGCAACCTGGAGAAAGCGTTTTGCAGTTTTCCAGCGTCGAGCACATCGTTGAACTGCAGTACCGTCGAAAACATGACCCGGTAGAGAGTGGCGCCATCGGCCAGATGGACGGGGAACACGTCATCATGAAGTTGCACTTGGCCATTTGGCGAGGTTGTCACTATATTTTCCAGCAGTAGCCGCGTTTCCGTTGCCAAAGGAGTCGTCATTGTTCGTGCCAAGCGCAAGGGCGTCGGCGAAGCTCTGTAATCCGTTGAAGACTGACCACTTCGCTATCCTCCTAGTCCCAAATTAGCGGGCGCAGATGTCTCCAGTATATATAGCAGCAAGTTTGAGACAATGGCAAATGCATCCTCGTTAATAAGCGGCAATATAGGACGTCTAGGATAGGGGACGGAGTACTACAGCTCCCCGCCGAACCCGCAACTTCGAACTGCCGCCATTTACTCCGTAGCTAGCTTTACATTCCGACGAAAGCAAGGGTCCGTAGTGATTCTCTCTGTTTTTGTCGGGAATGTGGCTTGTTCGTTTAGCCCGAGCCTTTGAGCCCCGTACTACTCCGTACAACAGCCACTACCAACTTAGAGACATAGTTCAAGCAACATGGGCCTGGACACTCAGTAACAGTGACCCTTGGCCGTTTGCAGTTTCCGCTACCTGCTTTGTCCTTCCACCGCATGCCGAAGACGTTTTAGTCACTTTCAAATTATGCCGTCTGTTGACGGCATACACAGACGGCATACTTACCCAGCAAAGTCGTCAACCTCCGTGGGTCTTGGCATTACAACCAACAAGATGCAGCTATTTTGCCAACGCTTGTGCCGAGCGCTTGTGCCGAGTAAAATCCTCACAAAGATCGCCAATCCCTCTCAAAGGTTCATATAGTGTGCGCACACGATAAGGAGCACATGCGAATGCGAACAATAAGACCCTCGGGCTACTAGGATCTGACTGGACACGGGCTCTTTCCTCGTCGCAGCCAATCTTGTTCTCTATTCAGATTATTACGCTGAAATGGCCAAGGCGTTATCAAAGGTGCCCGACTCTCTGCGCCAGTCGATATCACGAACAAAAGTAGAGCACCGCAGATTGGGCAACAGCGGATTGCGCGTCTCAAATCCCATACTCGGTGGCCTCCATCTTGGCAGCCCTCAATGGTTTCCCTGGGTTTTAGACGAAGAAAGAGTACCATGCCCCACCCCCCTTTCGGTAACACCCACCTTTCGGTAGCGCATTAGAAAATATCCCCACCAAAAACCATCAATTTCACTTACACGGATTCCAGCCAGCTTTGAAGATATTCACAAGCCGTCACTTGGAGTAGATAGTGGATTGATTGAATTCTACTTTTCGATGGTTGAATGTTTGTACAGGGGTCTGCGGCCTGTGCGTACCTTGCACGCGAAATTACCATCCAACCCCCTAATCTCCTTCCGCCTCCTGACGATGATTCTTCTCGTTATTCCTCCACCACATGACCAAAATGACCTTAAAGCGGCCTCGAGTATTTATACGGAGGATATTATGGCTAATGCGATAATTGATGTCACAAAAAACGGCTTGTCGCAGTACCGCGCCGCCCAAAAGTATGACATACCTCAGCAGTCTATTTCCGACAGACTCAAAGGCCAGGTAGCCCTGGCTGATCAGATCCAGCCTCGTCAACTCTTGAGTAAGTCTCAGGAAGCTCGCTTGGTTTCTTGGATCCTCCGCCAAGAGTCTCTCGGCTATGCTCCTCCCACAGTCAGATCCGCGCATGTGTGGAGGCTCTTATAAAGCAACTGAACAACGAGCGGACAGTGGGCGCAACTGGGTCTCTAAATTCATCAATCGCCATCCGGACATCAAGAACAAGCGTGGGAGACGTCAGGAAGCTAACCGATTTAATGCTTTTACGCCTCGGGCGGTTCACTGGTTCTTCGATATCAGGGAAAAGGAGTATGGATGGATTAAACCAGAAAATACCGTGAATGTTGACGAAGGCGGTATTATGTCTGGCTTTGGTGAGTATTTGGCTTGTCTTTCATTACTTTTACTAACCAGACTCTTTTGCCAGGTTTGGATAGTCTTGTGGTTGGGAGTGCAGACCCAAAACGGAAGGCCCTTCTGAAAGGGCCACAGTCCCGCAACTGGACCTCATTTATTGAAGCTATCACCGCGGACGGCCGTGTCCTTACCCCTGGCATTATCTTTAAGGGCAAAGAGCTTCAGAAACAGTGGTTCTTGACGGAATTCGGCAAAATAGCCGACTGGCATTACATAACGTCGCCCAACGGATGGACGGACAACCATATCGCTATTGAGTGGCTTGAGAGGGTCTATTTGCCCCAGACGCGACCAGCCGATGCCTCAGATGCTAGACTGATCATATTAGATGGACATGGAAGTCATGCAACGGTGCGTTTCTTTATCCACCTCTGTAGGAATTACTGTTAACCGAGACCAGGATGCATGGATGGCCACATGCTTTTGAACAACGTTTATTGCTGTTACCTTCCTGCCCACTGCTCTCATGGCCTCCAGCCGTTAGATAACGGTGTATTCAATGCCTCCAAGGCAGCTTACCGGAAAGAACTTCAGAAATTGACCTGTTTGACCGATTCTGCGCCTGTTCATAAGGTCAATTTTATACGGGCATATGCTAAAGCGCGCGAGGTTGGAATGACGGCAAAGAATATATTGTCCGGCTGGAGGGTCACTGGGAATTGGCCGATCTCACGATCCAAGGCATTGCGGCATCCAGAAATTCACGCGGACATTGTAGAGACGTCTCCAAAGTCCGCGCCATTTTGGGTTCTGATGATACGCCAAGAAACAGCCGCCAGATTCGCGATTTCGGAAAGAACAAGACTCCTGGCACCCGGAGACGATACGCCGTGATAGCTAGAGGCTTTGAAGCCCAAGAACAGACGCTTGCCGAGCACAGCAACAGAATCGCGAAGCTAGAGGAAGAAGTGGCCCGGCTGCAGAGAGGCAAGAAGAGGAGAGCAATTCCGAACCCGAACAGACGGTTCATGACTCTCAGTGAAGCTTTGGTGGCTGAGGAAGCCATTCCCAAATTAAAAGCCAAGAGATAGCCGTTGTGCTGAATTCTGACACAGAGGAGGAGGCGGTCTCAGAGGTGGAGACAGCTTCAGTGATTGAAGTCAAGGTGGCACCTGAAGCCCTTCCAGTCACCACCAGATCCGGGCGAATGGTAAAAAGCGCCGGTACATATAAGAGCGTCCATTTCTCTACGGAATGATAATTTTTGTGTTTATAATGTTAAGTTCTGATCATATTTCATGTAGTTCAAATGGTAGACTTTTGGTGGAGAATTTTTCAATTGCGCTACCGAAAGGTGGGTGTTACCGAAAGGGGGGTGGGGCATGGTAATATGTGCATCTCCGCTGCAGCGCCTTTCCCATGAGCTAACACGTTTGAAGGGACTTGCGCTATTAAAGCATGCGTACGATAGCGGCATAAACACTGTATGTCCTTCGCTCTACCGTTCAACATCATATTGACTCTTTGATAGTGGGACACTGCCCCTGATGGTAGTTTGGGCCTTGGATATGAGGGCCCTAGCACCAAGCCCTTGTTCAGTGGAGCATTGCCATCATAGAAATTGCAATGTCGGGATGTTCGACCGAGGCTGCTACTGGTAGAGATCTCTTGGCCAATTGGCAAGGTACACGTAACAGTTATATGGCAAACGTACCGTATCTACCTACAGTACGGAGTAGCTAACAAGGGCTGAGGGTTGAGGGGGTGCCGCATGTCGGATCGGAAAGATCCGACCCTGTTGTGGCCGTATTTTTATGAATCGCAAGCCGTCCTTAGCCGCCGGCAGTTTTAGCTATTCTAGTGAGTAATTAGCCTTGTTTCCCTCGGCGGCCCGTCCCGTGCATTGGACCAGAGATGATGACTACCTTTAAAATCGCAGCTCAAAATGGAGCCAACCCAACTGGCCATCATTAGCGCCCGACGACAACGTTGAAGGCTGTCCGTGGACCCCCGCTTTGCTCAAGTTGGAGGAAAGTCTGCCTCAGCTGACAATCAGGACGGCGACCTTCCTGGTTGGTTGATGTTCCGAGCGCGTCGTCCCTGTCCTCTCTTTCATTCTTTCTTTCTTCAAGCAACTTTCAACAATACCCTTTCGTCCTTTAGAATGGCTCAGGCGCGGAACCAGGTCATCTACGCGCCTTCACACGAAACCCCTCGCGGCGTCAAGTCCGTCTTCCTTGCCGGCACCACGGGCAAAGTGGACACGAGCGACTGGCGCGAGACCCTATCCAGCTCCCTCTCCGACGTGCCTGTCACAATATACAATCCGTACCGCGCTGATTGGGACAGCTCCTGGCGCGAGGACATCGAATTTGCTCCTTACCGCGAGCAGGTGGAGTGGGAGCTCGACAAGCAGGACAAGGCTGACATTGTCGTTGTTTACTTCCACCCGGCTACCCAGGCGCCCGTCAGTTTGCTCGAGTTTGGGATCTGGGCGCGAATTCCGGGGAAGGCCATCGTTGTCTGTCCTGAGGGATACTGGAAGAGGGGGAACGTGCAGATTGTGTGCAAGAAATTTGGGGTTGAAATGGTGGACAGTGTTTATGGGCTGACAGAGGCGATTGTGAGGAGGCTGCCGTCTGGTTTGTGACTCCCTGACCCCAGCCTCTAAGGAGCGAGACCGGGCGCTTGGAGACAGCGGATCGGATTGTAACACATTGGATTTTTCAGCGACTCGTTGTTGCTGCTACTCTGGCTGCAATAAGAATGCCTGGAGCCATGGTACGAATTTATTTTCAACGTGGCTGTTGGGTCATTCGTATATATGGTGGACGTCAGCGACCGAATTGGGTGGTGTCCTTGGCATTCTCTATCTTTCAGTGTCGTTCTAGCTGAGTCAATACTCTGGCCCACGTTTCCGACGTTCGTGCCTCCTCCGCTGGGGCGAGGGTCTCAATCTGAGCAAGGATGCCCCCAGGGCTCTCAATGTTCCGCAAGTGCTTCTCAATCACTGAGCCTCTGATACCTTCCCTTTCTTGAGCTTGTCGAAGTAGCAGTCTAGCCCGGCATATATATGTATATTATGTATATATATTCGTGGCTCATCGTCGTCCCCAATCGCGCGACTGCCGGTCACCAGGTTGAGCCCCCAACGCCGCCTTATTGCGTTCAAGCTCCAGCACCGTGTTGTATTGCCAACCGAGTCTCTCTCTCGCACCTCTGCTACGAGCAGCCATCCCAGTAATAAGTAAAGACTTAATATTGCTGTAATTACTATTGTTAAGCCCTGTTATGTATTGTTAGGCCCACCCCGTCTCATACGTAGTCATACCCATCATTAGGCTAATCAAATCGGTACGTAACTGGCTCGGGGCTGGGTGGTGGCCCTGGCGGTTATTGCGACGAGACCCCGCTAGGAACAGGACCTCGTCCGCCTGAGGCCTACTGTAATTACAGTATCCGTACGGGGCGGCAAATTTGTTTGTCAGAATTCTCCGGTTTTCAACGGCAGGCGCCAATCAGAGGCGGCAGCGGCCACAAATCAGGCGACGGCGGTCTTTCCCGGCTGGTCGGACTGCGCAAACTCCGTCCTCGGCTGTCGAGGCGTGCACGACCTCGATCAACCTCGCCCGCGCGCCCTCCCTCCCTCTTGACTCTCTCCCGCGAAGAAAAGGCCGGCGGACTTGATCTCCCTTGAGCGACAGCGTGCATGCGTCGCCATGTGGCGCTGATGGGCCCATGTCGGACACAATGCAGAGCAGGACGGCGGGGACGCACAAATTGCCGACGGCCAAATGGGGCGCCGCCTGCGCCGCCTGCGCTTCAGCAAAAGCAAAATGCATCCGATCAGACAGCGCCCCCGGCGCCAAATGCGACCGGTGAGTGAGGTTGAGGCCCTTTTCGGTGTTTCATCAAGCCTGGCCTGTGACGTCGTGCCAAGAACAGAGTACACGACGTCTCGAGACCCGCGACTCCCGCAGAATGAAACCTTGACTAACCCAACCTCTAACTAGCTGCCAACGGCTGCTCAAGGACTGCGCGGATCAGGTACATCGCGTGCGCAAGAAGAGGCAATCCAAGCCATCGTAAGTCTCCCCGTCGGGCCGTCGGGAGAGCATCCCTCTTGACCTCGGAGAGGCCCAGGCGAGGTCGGATCGAGTGGCTGAAAGGGCAAGGCACTCAGGCTAATCCGCCATGATGCAGTCGAACCGCGCAAATCGAAGAAAGACTGAATGGACTCGTCAATCTCCTGCAAGCGTCGGGCGAGCTCAACCCCGGCAGACCCGTGCACCACCCACCTAGCAATGGCGCATCGCTCGACCTTCCGCCGTCACGCCGAGAGACGCCGTCGGCGAGCTCGACCGTCTCTCACCAGCCCGAGCATGCATCCTGGGCCATTCCAGAGTCCTACAACTCTCATGCGATCCCGGCCTGCATTTGTCGCCCCGGCAGCGGCGATGCTCCTCCTCCGCCAGACTCGGACGACGTCCTCCTCGACCTCTACCGTAATGAGATGCAGCCCGTCTATCCCTTTGTCATCGTCCCGCCCACGTGCTCGGCCGCCTCTCTGCACTCGAGTCGGCCGTTCCTCATGTCCGCCATCCGCATGGTAGCCTCCTTCCGCAGCCTGAGGTCCATGCGAGCCCAGATGTGCCACCTGATGTCCCATATCTCGGACCATGTTCTCATGCGCTCGGAGCGATCACTGGACCTTGTGCAGGGCATCATTGTCATGTTGGGTTGGTACCAGTATCACTGTTTCATGCACGCCCAGATGAACAATCTCATCATGTTGGCCATGAGTCTCGTTGCGGAGCTGGGCCTCAACCGGCCTCCTGTCCTCCGCGAGCAGGCAAGTCTCATGGAACCCAGGCCGGTAGAGCCTCCGGGACGCGTCAATGAGGAGAGAAGGGCTCTGGCGGCCGTGTGGTTCGTGTCATCGACGTAAGTGAACAGGTTGTCCCCTTATTTGATCTGCTGCAATTGCCAACGCCACCAAACAGCACGGCAACAACATTTGGGAAAATAGAGTCGATGCGATATTCCCCCTATCTCAGGGAGTGCGTCAAAGACCTCGAGGAGAGCAGAGAGTACGAAACAGACACGATACTCGTGTTTCTCGTCAAGGTCCAGCATCTCACGGAGCGAATCCACGAGCAAAATCTAAGGAGCGAAACGTCGGAAGATATTCGTGGAATCCCCACGGCCCCCAAATCAGCATACATCTTTGCGTTGCAGAATGAGCTGGACAGGATCCACGACAATCTCCCACGAGAAATCAAGATGGACAGTGAGTTGCTCCCCAGCGTGGGATGCTCCCGAATACTGCGCTGACTCCCGACCCTCCCAGGCACGATGCAAATATACATCAACACGGCAACCCTTCGGTTATACGAACCGCCCTTGGCTGACATGAAACTGATTAACCAACTTTCGGAATCTCTGACCGTGGGGACCGTCGGCGCCGGGACCGCTCTCGACAAGATCTATCGGACCAGCTCCGCTCTGAGAGCGTGGTTCGACAACTGGCTATCCGTCCCGGTGTCGACATACTATCGCCAGCCGGCGGCAATCGCATCGCAGCTCGTATACGGACTCACCATGCTCGGCCGCTGGGCCAAGCTGGCGACGCCCAGGACCATGTACCAGGGGGGCACGCCCATGCCGGGGTGCGGCGGCGCGGGCGCAGGGACCTCGAATATGCCTGTATACGCTGCTGATCACCAGCCACCGCCAGATGGTTCAGGTGCCGGAGCATCGCCCACGTACCGCCGGTGCGACGGGCGGTTTCAAGCCGTTCCCGAGACAGAGCCGGGGCTGCCTGCCGCGGTCGGCGCCTTGCAATCCCAGCTCCAGACGCAGCCCGGGCTGACAGTCAACATACCTGAAATCCTGTCCGCCATCTGCAGCCGGCTGGAACAGGTCAACTCGTCGTTCCAGACAACGTCAGCTGAGTCGGGCAAGATGGACAACAACATCTGGAGCTTCAGCGCGCTCAAGATACGCATCACGCGTGTGAAGCTCGAGCGGTGGGCAGAGCTGGTTTCGGCGGGGGCCGAGGCGTCCAACCGAGAGAACAGCTCGAGCGATGTGGACGGCAGCAATGCGGCAGGCCTCGGCCCATGGCGAGGCCCGGATCCCCGGCAGGTTGGGGATGGTGGGATGGGTGGCCTGGCGAATGTCCAGGCGGGCAGTCTGGCCCAAGATCAGACGCAGATACAGAACTTCTTGGGCAGCACGCCATGGACAAGCGACTTGCTCGACGGCATAGACCCGACTGTGTGGTTTGATGGCTACCTGGACTGGGGCGCGGTCATTATGAACTCGATGGGAACGGTGGAGCAGTGAGGCGAGATGGAGACTGGACTGGGGCATGATGGCGTCGGGCGTAATAATAGTTGGACGTACGGAGCATGTGTGCGCGGGTGGACGAACGGGAGGTGTTTGGGAGATGGCGGAAAAAGTCCCGTCGTTTACAGGGTAGCTGCGCGATCTAGTGCTTTACTCGATGCTCACAGCGGCACCCCTTATGCCGGACTCTGCGAATATCGGACGTCGATAATTGGCCTTTGCTGTCGTCTTGACGGCGACTTGAAGCCGCAATCGGCGCGAAATTGAATTATTCTGCATTTTTTTTTCATGACTTGCTGAACTGATAGGTGGTTGATGCCGGCCACCGTTGCTTTTTCTCCCTGTCAACCTCACTTACACCTCATGCATGCGTCAACGCGCGTTATTAAGTCTCCGGCGGTACCGCCTCCTGCAAGATGGGCCGGTAGCTCGTCGCATGTACAGTAGCGCGATTGCATGCCGGGATACATGGCTAGAGGTACCGGCTCGATTTATTAACTGTATGTGGCCATTGTGTGATATGCACGCGTGCTGTGCTGTTGGAGCCAGGGCTGGAGTCGCAAGCACACACCGACATCCGGGAGGGACATACTTTGCACACATAACGCAAGGCGCACGGTGACGGCGATCCGATGGGTTGCGCGGAAGGGCGCGGGCGCGCTATATATTGGTTTGCCCCCCTTTGCAGGCTGAGGGTCAATGGGTGAGAGGGCATAGGGGCTTGCTTGCGAGCTTCCACCGCGATTACCCCTTTGCTACCGTTTAGCGCCAGCCTGCCAGAAACCACTAGCAGGTCCTCCTTTTCTCTCTCGCCTGCTTTCTCCCTCTTCCACTCCTATCCAGAGCCGGCCAACGATGTCGACAGCGGCCGGTGCTGAGCAGCAGGCGGACTCGCCGCCGTGGTGGGCCTCGCTGCCGGAGCCCAAGGCCTCGTGCCGCCGTCTCGAGCCGGCCGACGTGATGCAGCTGCTCGAGAGCCAGTCGAACCTCGACGCGCGGCGGCATCGAAGCTTCCTCCTCGTCGACGTGCGCAGGACCGACTGGGAGGGCGGGACGCTGGCGTCGTCCATCAATCTGCCCGCCCAGTCCTTTTATCAGACGCGCCCGGTTGTCTATCAGCTCTGTAAGCAGGCTGGCGTCAAGACCATCATCTTTTACTGCGGTGAGAATCCGAAGCAGCAAGCATTCCCAATCACACGCACACACGGACACGCACGTGCTCACGTGCCCACTCACTCACCCGTCTCGAAGCACCCCCCTCTGTCACGCAAGCTGATCAGGCGCAGGGAGCTCAACCGGTCGCGGCCCGAGGTGTGCTGGCTGGATGCAGGATTATTGTGACGAGATGGGCGAATTGACCATGATTGCCGCAGTCTTGAAGGGGGGCATATCGGGTTGGCAAGAGGCATATGGCGGCAGAATGCTGGATTGGTATGATGAAAAGTGCTGGGCCAAGTCAGGCTCATGAATGCTGCCCCTAGCCCGTGGTGGAAACAGTCCCAGTCCAATCTAGCAAAAACAACATTTGCGTGGTCCAAAAGCCGCGTCATCCAGTTCCAAACGCCAAGCCGAGCCCCGTAGTCCATCGTTCACCTTCAAGTCGATTCGCGCGTCATCGATGGTGGTGCTGTTGCCGATCGTCACCGCCGATTCTTTCCATGGCCTCGAGCATCACGACCGAGTTGCCTCGGATGACCTGTTATCTCAATCAGCCCTGCCTTCCGCTGTCACTGGTAATTTTCCCGCCTTGAGAAAGGAGCACGAACCACCATGCCGAGCTTGATCTTGTCTCCGCCGTCAAATTCTTCCAAGGCGTCGTCGAGGACAATGTTTAGGAAGACCTATGGGCGTCAGCGTCAACCGCCATTTCGCACCGGGGCATTATTGCGGTTGCATCTTTCTTACATCGTAGCCACGTAGGGTTCCGGTAACTTTTCGGCTGCCGTTCAACTGCACAAACAGTCTCTTGTCGAGGTACTGGGGCAAATGTTAGCGACGCCCGGATAGTAACGCAGTGGATCAGCGCCTGACGATGCTGATACTTCTCTGGGAAAACAGAGAACGAAACGAGATACAGAAGAGTAAGCGATTCAGGTGAGTCATACCTTCTTGAGCTCGGGTTGGGGAGGCGCCATGATGAGCAGGCAGAGTGATGAGAATGGTGTCGAGCTGCAAACAGGTATCCCGAAGCTGTCGCTCGAACGCGAGGCGTGACGCTGGCTGGAGACGAGGAAAAATCAAAGTCACGTGCCGATAAGATAAGGCAGTGCACGTCATGTCGGCATTTCCCGCCCAGCAATGTCAAGGTGCGGAAAGAAGTTCAACAATCCACCCCCAAGATGATACCATCTGCATCAAAGCGTCGAGCGCGCGTAATCAGCGTGCCAGACGAGGATGAAGCGGAGGGAGATGTGTCTTCAACGTCAAAACACAGCTCCAGCATGGATGGTAGGTGCCCAAACCTCATCTAGCGACCTTTGTTGATGGCTACAAGACAGGCTGACTGACACTCGATAGAACCCCCCAAACCGCTCTTTGGCTCGAGGTCCGGACGAAGACCTTTCCGACAGTCTGGCTTGCGCAACAGCTTGAATCATACCGACGATCGTGGACCTGGTGGAGGTGATGGCGGTGCTGGGGCTGCGGACGACGGCGGTGCGCCAGTGGTTATTCGACCGAGCGTTGGCCGGTCAGCCTCGTTGAAGCACAAGAAAAAGACTACCAGGTCAAGGCTCTCCTTTGGCATTGACGCTGCCGACTCAGAAGATGCCGACGCCGACGAAGTCAGCACCCCACAGAAGGGGCCATTAGGTCAAAGGGCAGCGGAGAAGAGCGCGGCAAAGCGCGGCATGTATCTTCGGGGGCTCCCTTCTCGGCTGTTCCAAGACGACGACGAGAAGCCAAAATACAGCAAAGAGTACCTGCATGAACTACAATCTTCGACACCGAGTACGCCGCGCGACATCTCGACCTTGCACATAGACGATACCGACGAGATGGAACTGGACGCCTCAGAACTCGAGGGCGCCCTCATCGTCGACTCGCCCGCCGCGGCGACCGTGGAGTCCGGCACTCGAATATTATCCGAGGCCGAAATACGCGCGAAAAAAGAGCGGCGAGCAAGGATGGCCAAGGAAAAGGATTTCCTCTCAGTTGAGGACGACGACGATCTTGGGCATAAGAAGAAGGACGATACCCGGCTGCTGGCGGAGGACGAGGACCTTGGAGAGGGATTCGACGACTTTGTCGAAGATGGCGGCTTATCGCTGGGGAGGCGGGCGCAAAGATCACGGCGGAAGCAGGAGCGCCAACAGATGGCAGACCTCATCTCTGCCGCCGAGGGACACAGCTCAGACGCTTCATCGGACAGTGATGCCGAGAGGCGAATCGCCTACGAGGCCGCGCAAACCAAGGCGGGCATGGACGGCCTGAAAAAGCCCAAGAAGAAGGCTGTCGAAGGGCTTCTGCAAGTGCCGCCAAAGATTACACCACTCCCGGGCCTCGCGGAATGCCTAGCCCGGCTGCAGGCCACTCTCAAGACGATGGAAAGCGACATCAATTCCAAGCATGCGAGGGTGGAGCAGCTGAGGCGCGAAAAGGAGGATATTGCGAAGAGAGAAGGCCAAGTGCAAGCTCTGCTGGATGAGACGGGGAGGAAATACCAGGAGGCCATGGGCAAGGGCAAAAGCGAAGGTCTCAAGATCAATGGAGATGGACAAAGTGCCGAATTGGTGGGCGAACGGGGCTTGGAAAGCCTGGGAACAACGCCTGGGCGGCCAAATGCGGATGGCGAGGCGGAGGACGTCGAGATGGATGAAACTCAAGGCATATAGACGATCGGAGCAATACAGCAGTGTTGTAATTAGGTGTAGGACCTGGGTGAGTGTCGTTATTTGCTGGTGCTAAAGCCGCTGAAGCTCTGGCCAATCAAAGTTGGAGACTGAGGGCCAAGACAAGACCCCCATCGAAGGAGCTAGAAGGCGGCGCTTGCACCTGTTTTCCCCACCACGAGCTACCTAGCGGCTAACACCAACAGCAAAGGAACCGTGAGTTCTAGAAAAGCAGTCTTGGCCTCGGAAACTCTTTTCTACACAGGAAAAGCCTCCATTTTCATCCCGCCCTTTCTTCAGCCTGCAGAAGCCCATCCATCTCGTGTCCAAGTGCGCGACTGACCGATACCCCCTTCCGCAACGACCACTTGCCAGTGCCACCGAGATCCGACGACGAGTATTCGCTGGAGCGCCTGACATGGCTTCCGCAGACGAGCTCAAAGCTCTGGGCAACAAGGCCATTGCCGACAAGAACTTTGACGATGCCATGTACACCTCGCCGCCCCTTCAACATGCCTGTGCCCCGCGAGCTTGACTGACCCTACTTACAGCGACAAGTTCACCCAGGCCATTGCGATACAGCCCGACAATCACATCCTCTACAGCAACCGATCCGCCGCGTACGCTTCCAAGAAAGAGTGGGACAATGCCCTAAAGGATGCCGAGAAGACGACCGAGATCAAGCCCGACTGGGCCAAGGGCTGGGGCCGCAAGGGTGCTGCGCTGCACGGCCAGGGTGACCTGCTCGGTGCAAACGATGCCTACGAAGAGGGTCTGAAGCATGACGCCAGCAATGCGCAGCTCAAGAGCGGCCTGGCCTCGGTTCAGAAGGCGATCCAGCAAGAAGAAGGTTTGATATGCCCGCTCTCCATATGCCGAAACTTGGCGTGCTGACTTGCACCTGCCAGGAGGACCAGGAGGAGACCCCTCGGGCGGCTTGGGACAAATGTTCAGTGACCCCAACCTGATTCAAAAGCTTGCCTCGAACCCCAAGACGAGTGCCCTTCTGGCCGATCCTTCCTTCATGGCCAAGCTGCAGCAAATCCAACAGAACCCCAAAAACACTCAGGAGCTCTTCACCGACCCGAGGATGATTCAGGTGCTCGGCGTAATGATGGGCGTGGATATGGACGTGCGCGAGAACGATTTCTCTGCCCAAGACACGGCCATGCCCGACGCGCCGTCAGAGCCCGCCAAGCCCGCCCCTGCAAAGAAGGCTCCCGAGCCCGAGCCCCAGCTCGAAGAGCTCGACGAGGAGGCCCTCGAGAAGAAGAGGAAAAAGGAAGAGGCTGACAAGGAAAAGGCCCTGGGCACTGAAAAGTACAAGAAGCGCCAGTTTGACGAGGCCATCGAGCATTACACCAAGGCTTGGGACATTTTCCACGACATTACCTACCTCAACAACCTCGGGGCTGCCTACTATGAAAAGGGCGACTACGACAAGTGCATTGAGGCGTGCACCAAGGCCATCGACGAGGGCCGCCAGATCTACGCTGACTTCAAGCTCATCGCCAAGAGCTACGCCCGGATCGGCAGCGCGCATGAGAAGAAGGGAGACATGGCCCTAGCCATCGAAAACTACAACCGGTCGCTGACCGAGCACCGTACTCCCGACGTCCTGAACAAGCTCCGCGCCGCCGAGCGCACCAACGTCGAAGCCGCCAAAAAGGCATACGTTGACCCGGCCAAGGCCGAGGAGGCGCGCGAGGAGGGCAACAAGAAGTTCAAGGAGATGGACTTTCCCGGGGCGGTTGCCGCCTACTCGGAAATGACCAAACGGGCCCCCGAGGACCCCCGCGGCTACAGCAACCGGGCGGCCGCCTTTATCAAGCTGTTTGAGTTCCCCAGCGCGCTCGAGGACTGCGACGCGGCCATCAAGCGCGACCCCACCTTTATCCGGGCCTACATCCGCAAGGCACAGGCCTACTTTGGCATGCGCAAGTACTCGGAGTGTGTCGACGCCTGCACCGAGGCACAGCAGGTCGACCAGGAGCACCACAAGGGTGCCAACGCCCGGGAGATTGAGCAGCAGCAGCAAAAGGCGTTCGGGGCCATGTACTCTGCGCGCGATAGCGAAACCGAGGAGCAGACGAGGGAGAGGCTAATGAAGGACCCCGAAGTAAGTGTCGCCCGGGGCTTGTCGTCTCCGTCGTGTTTGAGTGCTGACAGTTTCCTTCACCTAGCTCATGAGCCTCATGCAAGATCCCGTCATGCAGTCCATCCTGCAGCAAGCACAATCGGATCCCAAGGCTCTGCAGGAGCACATGCGGAACCCCGGAGTACGCACCAAGATCCAGAAGCTGATTGCCGCCGGCGTTATTCGCGTCGGCCGTTAGTTTGTGGGAGGAGGCGAGACTCTACTTACACTGGACATGTACAAGTGGCAGGCGCTGTCAAGGCACGATGTAATGAAAGTTACTGTCGACGTACGAAGAAGGTGATTGTCCATGTCCTTTTCTTCCTTTGGAGTCAAAGGGGTAGCTCTCTGTTCCTCCAGTCAGGGAGGCAAGCACACGCACTTCAGTCGATACTCCCAACTTCAAGAGGTGTAGTTGCTCCACCACCCGCAGCCGCGCAGGGGCACTCAGTGTCGATGGCTTCATCCATCACTCCTGGCGCTGAAGTAGTCCCACGGCTCGATGGCTTCATCCATCACTCCTATTTCTGAAGCATGGTGCCATTTCCTGTATAGCTACGCAGCAGTTCCTAATTCGATGACCTCGCCTATTACCCCCTTCTCTGAAGCATCGTTGTCTGTCATGTGCATCTCCTGGAGCAGCACCTGGTGGCGATGGCTTCGTACGACGTGCTTGGCTAAGTCGATGTCGGCTGGGGTCGTGGACCATCGGGGTCAACCTGGCGGAGGGAAGCGGTAGTTTACTTCAGGAGCTTGTGTTTACGAGCGAATGCGGTCTTTTTGTCACCAACATCCTTGAACGTGCTCACATACTACAGTAATATACGGTCGCCCACCTGGTGTTTGCAGAGAATGACCCTCCCCTCTCTCTGTTCTTGGTCCCTGTGTTTCCCGGACACGAGCCCTCGCCTACAATGTGAGCTGCTCCCGTGCAGTGCCCGAGACACACCCGAGTAGCTATAGAGGCTATCGAGTAATGCAACTTGCCAATGGCAGACTCTCAGGGTGGCGACAATGGCCATGCCTTCTTGAGAGAGTACAGTATAATGCTGTATCTTTCATCTAAGGATTATCCAATACTTTCGCTTCCAGAGACAAGGCGCAAGTTGAAGGTTGAGCTGCATGGCAGCTGGCCTGAAAGGAAATAAAAGGGGGCGCGAGTTTGAGAGCTAACTCGCTCACCAAACGTGAAGCCTGATGGAATCTTATCCGTCTTTGTCATCAACGGGTGAAGAACAGCGCCTGTAAAGCAGCCGAAGGTTAGGCGCTCAGCAGAAGCAGAGACACCCCACACCCCGGAGCTGCACCGCCACCGTTCTAGCAACGGTGTTTCGTACTTTGTACATTCTTCGTACCTCTTTATTACAACAGCTAACACGCGGCCTTGTTTGCGGACACGCATCGACAGTCGACTCTCAAAACCTCCCACTCTCTCGCGTCATGACATTGACTGGCCCTCACGCCGACCCGAGGCAGCCACTCCGTTAACGGCATCCGCAATGGGCGGCTACGACGTGGCGACCAGAGGTAACGGCAAGAGCGCAAACCCCTTCCCTCTGGAGATGCAACTAATTCGGGCCCCTGCAGACGCAAGCTGGTCGTCCATCCCCACGAGCCTGCTGCTCCAGGAGCTACGGCGCCGCGAGGAAGAGACCGCCAAGCCCCAGTGCGGATCGCGGCCCAAAGGATGGTACGATACCGTCGCCCACGTCTTCGCCCTCCTCCTCATCCTGACCCTGAGCACGCTCGGTATGCCTTCTTTGACGAGAGTCGCCCACACGAAGGCTCGTGACTGACACACTTTGACTCACAGCCTGCGGCTTGCCCCTAATATCGCGGCGCACGGCGACGGGCAAGCGACAACGACTCATCATCTTCTACTGCCAGCATGTCGGCACTGGCGTCCTGCTCGCCACGGCTTTTGTCCACCTCCTCCCGACGGCCTTCGAGTCCCTCACCGATCCTTGCCTGCCCTACTTCTTCAGCCATGGATATAAACCTCTCCCCGGCCTCGTCGCCATGGTGTCCGCCATCGTCGTCGTCGCCGTCGAATCGTACTTGACGGCGCGGGGTGCCGGTCATTCCCACTCTCACGCGCACGATTACTTCGACGATGACGACGACGACGGGGCCAGCAGCAACGGACGCTTCCACGACGTTGACCTCGATGCCAACACCAACGGCCTATCCGAGAGAAGGGGGAACAGTCATCGGCCGGCCCACATCTCCCTCGACGACCTGGAAGCTACGCAAGGTCTCGTCGCAGGCGCTTCTCCCCTGCCCGAGTCCACACCTACCATTGCTCCGCCGCCACGGATTTCAAAGCCTTCGAGCCAGGCTGGACTCGACGACGGCTACTCAGACTCGGATCTAGACATGGATGAGCTGGACCCCGCTCCAACTCGTCCCCGTCGGGCCGATCCATACTCGTCCCTCAAACCGGATGAACGGGCGGTCACGGCTGGCCACGACCTACCCACACGTACACCAGATGAGCAGAAGCGCCAGATGCTGCAGTGCCTTCTCCTAGAGGCGGGCATTCTCTTTCACAGCGTCTTCATCGGCATGGCGGTTTCCGTCGCCACCGGCCCGGCATTTGTGGTCTTCCTGGTGGCCATTAGCTTCCACCAGTCTTTTGAGGGCTTGGCCCTCGGCAGCCGCATCGCGGCCATTCAGTTCCCCCGCAACTCTTTCCGGCCGTGGCTGATGGTGCTCGCGTACGGCGTGACGACGCCCCTCGGCCAGGCAATTGGCCTGGTGGTGCACAAAATGTACGACCCGGCTTCGATGGGCGGCCTGCTCGTCGTCGGCTTTATGAACGCCGTGTCGTCAGGCCTGCTGCTCTACGCCGGACTGGTGCAGCTGCTGGCTGAGGATTTTTTGACGGAGAAGAGCTACACGGTCCTCAAGGGGCGCAAGCGGCTGCATGCCTTTCTCGCCGTGGTTGGCGGTGCGCTGCTCATGGCCCTGGTCGGTGCTTTTGCTTGAGGGACAAGGTGCGCTCGCGGGACTTTGTCGGTCGAGGCATCACAATCTGTTATTGCGGCTTCGTGTACAGGATCCATGGGTGGCTATATTGATGTATGGCTGGTCCGGCGCGCTTGACCCCGGTTCAGGGGATGGCCATATCCTCCAGATCGTGTGAACCAGGTACGGCGAGATATGCTAGATGATAGATGTCGATGCTAGCAAGCAAGTAGGGTAGAGTGCTCCGAGGAGTGCTCCGAGGAGGCTTCGTTGCAGCTCAGCTCGGGCCTAGGGAATAGGCTCTAGTGCAATAGATGGGCAAATATAGATCTCGGATCTATCTGATTAAAACCTCCGCCCATTCCGCGTTCCCCCATTTCTCCCCACTAAATCAGAGACATGCAGCACCCAATCAAGTGATGCGTTTACTAATGGCCGGACTGCGTGCATGAATGGTTTCGGAGAAGGAAGAGGCAGCATTCATCCGCGACACTTCAACACACTCTGTTTCCTCCTCCAAGTCATCGACACGCCTCACATAGAGCCCCGTTAGCACCGCAGCCATGTCGTGGATCTCCATCGTCGGTGCGCTCGTGCTTGGCGGCGGCATGCTGATGCGCAAGTCGCCGCTCGTGTATGAGACGCGGGCGCCGACGTCGCAGTGGGCCGACGGGCCGATGAAGCTGGTCCCGACGCCGCAGTTTGAATCCGGCAAGGTGAGAAGATGACGGCGATGAGCGAAGACAGGGAACACGGCGGGGAAGCTGACGCTGACACCGGCGCCCCCAAGGACGATCTGCTGACCACCTCGGCAACGCACATGGCGCTGCTGCACAACTCGCTCATACGTGGCTACAACTCGATCCGGCTGCAGGTGCCGCATGTGCGCGACGAGGACAAGGCTGACTTTGTGGGCTATACGAGGACGTGGCTGCGGTTCATCAAGAGCCACCACGATGATGAAGAGAAGGTTCTGTTTCCCGAGATGAGGTCCATGCTCAGCGACACCAAGATCTGGAAAGACGTGCCCGAGGAGCACGGTATGAAGCCCTTTCTCCCCTCCCCCTTTGCTGTGTCGTTCAACGCCGAGCATGTGAGCCATCGACGCCGCTGACACCGCGCCGCAAGAAACCCTGCTCAATGGGCTCAACAAGCTGGACGGCTATCTCGGCTCCCTCTCGAATGTCACGGCCCTTACTCCCACCGCCCTGCTCGAGATTCTGGACGAGCTACACCCCACCCTCGAGCATCACCTCCACCACGAAGTCTCCGTCATGGCCGACATGGCGACGCACGCCAAGGCGCCCGTGCGGGACTCGTTCGAGGGCGCCGTGGCGTCGGCGACGCTCAAGGACTGGGGCAAGAACACGGTGCGCAAGGCTGGCGTCACCGACGTCTTGCCCTTTTTCCTGCTCAACGCGGACCGCACGGCGGAGAAGGGCATGTGGATGAACTGGCCGCCCATGCCCCGGCCCATTCGCTGGGCCATGGTCAACGTCGTGGGCGCGGTGCACGGTGGCTGGTGGCGGTTTGCGAGCTGCGATGCGCACGGGCGGCCGCGGGAACTGCATGCGCTGGCGGCGGGGGATGGGAAAATCAAGTCGGAGTTGTAGCCCTCTTGGGCAGCGGTGCAAGAACTCGCCCAAGAAATCTTGCCATCGATTCGACTCGTTTATAATCGTATGGAGGCTGCTTCAACGGCCCGAGTCATATTTCATGATCCGTCCGTGGTAACTCCTCGTGCAAAGCGACCCTGCCCTGCGTCGCAGTCTCTGAGCGCATGTTCCAGCGCCTTGGCCGCCTTTTCGTCCCGCCTCCTGAACGGCCGGGTGAATATGCGCAACAGCGGGAGGGGGCTGTTGGCGTGATCCGGGTCAAAGGCAACGGGAGCATCGTCGCCGCATGCGCTGCGGGTGACGGCCACGGCGAAGCGCAGCAGATCCGCGCCGATGCTCTTGTTGCGGTACCTGAGCATGGTTGTCCACGCACGGATGAGGCCGCCGCCGCCGCCCGCGTTGACCTTGGAGGAAGGCTGCCCGCCCTCAGCGGCAGGGCGTTGCGGCAGACGCAATACCAAGGTGCCGATGATGTCGCTGCCGAAGCGGGCGGCGAGGACAAGATCCTGCTGGCCCTGAGGTGCGGCGAGGAAGGAATCGCAGTGAAAAGTCTCGGCAAGCCTCAGGAAGGGCGACGTGTAGAGGCGTACGGCGGCCAGGTAGGCCATGACGAGGCCCGAGACGGCCATGAGGGCGGAGCCGAGGTCGCGCGAGTTGTGGCGCCAGGCGAGGGTGCAGGCGGCGGCGAGGGCGACGAAGCAGAGGGGGTGGAAGATGATGGCCAGGGAGGCGACCTGGCGCTGCTGGGCAATGGCATCGGCAACGAGGCGCAGGGCTTCGCGCTTGTCGGCGGAGGAGGAGACGACCTCGAACGACAGCGGCGGCGGCGGGTCGGGAGCTGCGTCAGAGTTGGCAGTGTAGCCGCGGGCCGGAGACGTTGAGGTCATGATGCCGGGCTGAGGTGAGAATGAGGAGGGAAGCGTCGATGCTCGTGGGAGAAGCGGCTGGACATGGCAATGGCGCGTAAAGTGTGCTTGGAAGACGCGACGGAAATAAGAGGTCTGGCTTCGATGGAGTGAGTGGGCAATTCAGCCACTGGGGGGTGGGTTGCAAAGGGGAGAGACCCTGGCACGTGTACCAACGGTACGCGGCACAGGCACTTGGCAGGTTCTTTGTAACTTACTGCACAGATTCGTGCAGACAGCGGCTGGCTTTTGTAAGAAAATGAGTGAAAAAATGGCAATTCTCCACAGCGGCTGCAGCCTCTGCGGTGGCGACCAGGTTGAGTTTTGGACTTGCTACCGTATGCCTTTGCTTTATTAACCGTATAGCAAAGCGTACGGCTAAAGAGGTTGCAGGAACGGGCCACGTGCTCGTCCCGTCCCACCGGAGCAGACTCTTGGCAAGCAGGAGCAGCTAGGCTTTGTTCTTGCCGATGTCTTCATCGTCTGTGTTATCTAATCTGGCTGCCCAAGGCACTACCGGAGCCTACCTACAGAGTACAGTACTTAGGTACCGTACGGATGCCACCGTATTCGTACCCCCCCCAGGCCCTCGTCGCCTCGGCCAACTCAAGCCTTTTTCTGCATCGCCGGATCCTCCCGCCACGACACCAGCAAAAGCCTCCGCTCTATCCGTGGCATGTGCACCACCTCTCCCATCCAAAGGATCCTCGCCCGATATGGTCCCTAAATGCGCAGCACTCCATGGACCAGTCGCCGCCCGGCCCACCGAGCCGGAGACGAATCAGGCTCTCTACTGACCGCACGCATCCCCAATCTATAGCGCTCCAAAAGGATGGAGCTCGACGCCGAGAGTCTGTATGGCTCGCCCACCCACCACCATTGGTGCATCTCGGTGCTAACCAACGGGGCCCCCGGCCCATGACCAGGGTCCGCACAAAGCTCGGAGCGCCAAGCAACAAACCCCGTGTCTTGGCCGCCCCATCTGATTGGCCCGTCCTCAACCTCCAGATTGAAGCATCGAGAGACTCTGCGCGCCGTTGCTTCCGCCTCGCCGCCGCAAAGGATCCAGCTCCCAACGCCTGCCGGCTTGCCGTCTTTGCCTCGGCAAACATGGCCCTCTCGCGTCAGCCTGCCTGTGGCGTTACTCGTCGAGGAAATGCCTCTGCCACCGCAAACGTTAATTTCTTGCCCCGGGGGGACAATGACTGCTTAGATGATTCTTGTCCGTCTTACTTGGCCCTCCCCTCCCTCCTCGCCTCTTTCTCTCTCCTCCCGTCCTCTGCTCTGTTGTTGACGGTCGTGCTCCCGGCCCTTTCTTCCCTCCTCTTGCTTCATCGCTTGATCCTGCCGCTCTTCATCCCCCAACTGCCGGAAACGCCCTTCGTCCCCCGACTGCCAGAGACGCCCTTCATCCTTGACGGCAAAGGCCTTCTGCGTCTTCCATGGCCCTTCTCGAATCAGGCCCACCCCCGGCCGTCGTCGCCAAAACTTCTGGCGGCAACAGCGCCTATCACAACTTTCACAATGACTTCGCCCACGTCGCCGACGTCAATGAGCGCCGCCGCCTGGCTCTCGCCGAGATAGACAAGGCCCCTTTTGGCTGGTACCACGTCCGTGCTTGCGTCGTCGCCGGCGTCGGCTTCTTCACCGACTCGTACGACATCTTCACTGCCTCACTCTTGACCATCATGCTCGGCATCGTCTACTACCCCGGCTCAGGGGTCATGCCCGCCAACTCTGACAACGCCATCAAGCTTGCCACCTCTGCCGGCACTGTAGTCGGCCAGTTGGGTTTTGGTTATCTCGCAGATGTCGTCGGCCGTAAGCGCATCTACGGCCTCGAGCTCATCGTCATCATCTTTGCCACTGTCGGTCAAGCATTAACCAGCGGCTCTCCTGCATGCGACATCATCGGCCTCATCATCTTCTGGCGCGTCATCATGGGCATCGGCATCGGCGGCGATTACCCACTGTCTTCCATAATAACTTCCGAGTATGTTGTCCCCCCTTGTTGTCATACACACCAACGTATCCTGACCACCGCTATTCAACAGGTTTGCCACGACAAAATGGAGAGGCGCCATGATGGCGGCCGTCTTCGCTATGCAGGGGCTGGGCCAGCTCGGCGCTGCCTTGGTCATGCTATTCGTCACCCTCGGCTTCAAGTCGCACCTCGAGCCCGCCCCCACCGTTGCTCAATGTGACGGAGACTGCCGCATTGCCGTCGACAAGATGTGGCGGACTCTCATTGGCATCGGTGCCGTTCCTGCCTGCATAGCCCTCTATTGTCAGTCGTTTTCACTGCCCCGTGCCACCTGCCGCTTACTGACCATCTCCAACAGTCCGCTTGACCATCCCCGAGACCCCTCGGTACACCTTTGACGTGGCTCGAGACGTCGAAAAAGCCCAGGACGATGTCAAGGCGTACATGTCGGGCAAGCCCGAAGGAGAGCCCGACGCCGTGACCCGTGTCGTCACCAATGCCGTCGCCAAGAACAAGCTCGAGGTCCCCAAGGCCAGTTGGACCGACTTCTTCCGCCACTACGGCAAGCTCAAGAACTTTTCTCTCCTCCTGGGCACCGCCGGCTCATGGTTCTGCCTCGATGTCGCCTTTTATGGTCTCTCGTTGAATAACGGTACCATTCTCGGCGTCATTGGGTACTCGACCAAGAACACAAACAGCGTCTACGATTTCCTGTACAAGACAGCCGTCGGAAACCTCGTCATTGTCCTTGCCGGTGCCGTGCCGGGCTACTGGGTGTCTGTCGGTACAATTGACATCCTTGGCCGCAAGAAGATCCAGATGGGCGGCTTCATCATCCTGACTGTTCTCTTCATTGCCATGGGCTTTGCGTACAACAGCCTTTCCTCCAATGGTCTGCTGGCCATTTATGTGCTCGCCCAGTTCTTCTTCAATTTTGGTTAGTCATGATTTTACCCCCAACTCAACCGAGGAACCGTCTTCTCCGTGTCTGTCTCTAACACATGTCGACAGGCCCGAACACCACCACTTTCATCGTGCCCGGCGAGGTCTTCCCGACCCGGTACCGCTCCACCTCACACGGCATCTCGGCCGCCTCGGGCAAGATTGGTTCCATTATAGGCCAGGGCGCCATCTCCACGCTGCGCACCCGCGGCGCAACAAAGGCCAACCCTTCACCGTGGATGAACCACGTTCTTCAGATCTACGCCCTCTTCATGCTGCTCGGCTGCTTCACCACCCTGCTCATCCCCGAGACTGCCCGCAGGACCCTCGAGGAGCTCAACGGCGAGGATGACTACGCTGCTCAGCACTCCTCGCCCGCCGTCATAACTCGGGGACAGACTAGCGGTGATAACGACGAGGGGTCTGCAAAGACTGCGTGACGAGACGCCTAGAAAGTGTAGAGCGAGGGAAAATAAGAAAAAGAAAAAAAAGTTGATGATGCGGTGCTTAAGCAGACGTCATAAGACGATTGGGTGGGCGGACATGGCTTGAGGAAACCCCCAAATCCAGGAGTTTCGGGACACACAGCTTTGATCAAGGGCAAGGCACCTTGGGGAGTATCAGGGCACTCATTTCATCTGTTGACCAGACGTCGCAGTATTATCTCATACATGTATGTATCTTTTATGATCAAGGGCGGTAATGTCATCTTCGCCACTATAAATCCACTTGTGGTATAATATCAAAAGATTGAATTGGCAACGCCATGCAAAAAAAAAACCCGTAAAGTGAACAGCCCGAGCCGTTTTACGCCAATCCTCCGGGACCGGAGGGAGAGTATACAGGCAAGGGAACAGGAGGGCACCATGCAAAGCATACATGGTAGAGCCTGTCCCGTCATGATACAACAAACATCCGTTGATCATTAGCGAATTAGCTCGCCTCGGCGCTCTGCTTGGCCTGCACGACGAGCAAGTCTGCCCGCAAGCCGCCGGCGACAAAGTGGCCCGCGACGCGGCCGAGGCAGCCGACGAGGTCTTCGCGCGCCGCGCGACCGGCCTTGCCCTGGTCGAGCTGGGCGCCGCTGCCACGGCCGACCACGACGAGGGTCGAGGCCTTGGGGCCGGGCGTGTGCGGCCGCCCGGACGCAGGCTGGGCGAGCTGCAACAGGTCCTCGACCGTGGTGGGGCCCGAAGTCGTCTCGAACTTGACGCGCGAGGCCGTGTCGGCCGAGAGCGAGGACTGGGCCGTTTCCAAGAGGTGAGAAGTCTCCGAGACGCGCACAATGGTTGCGGTGGCCTTGGACTGCACGCAGAGCTGCAGGACGAGGCGCAGGGCCAGCTTGTCGTCGTGGCCGCCAAAGTAGGCGAGGAAGATGTGGTAAGGCTTGGTGGGCAGGGCAGCGGCGGGGACGTCGTCGCCCTGGACGCCAAACGAGTGCTTACGGGAGAGGGGAGCGCGGTCAGACCCCTTTGCGGAGGCGGAGGCGACGGCGTCGGCATCGTCGGTTCGGGAGAAGAAGACGCCGACGTTACGGTCGCGCGAGTCGAGGACGGACCGGACAAAGGCGCTGTACGTCGACGCCATACGGTCCTCGACAGTGGCCGACGACAGGATAGGCGAGTCGCCCATGCCGCCCGTCTCGCTCCAGGGGACGAGGAGCAGGTCCGACGCCATAGTGGCCGCTTTGCTGACGAGGGCCTCGGCGAAGCGCCCCTCCGGCATGACGGCCACCTCGCCCGACATGGCCAGGTTGTGGAGCTGGCCGACGGTGCGGAACGTGTTTACTACTGGGTCATGACGGCTGTAGTCGGCCACCTGCGACACCGTCATGACGGACGAGTCGCGGTCCGTCAGCTGCAGCAGGCGCATGCCGTGCACCCAGACGGGTCTCCGGGGGCCGTCGGTCGAGACGGCAGAGACATCAGGGCCCTTGGGGTTGGCCGACTTCGTTGTCTGCTCCGACGCCGTCGACGCCGGCTCGGGCCCGCCAAAGAGGGACACGAGGTTGAGCAGGGCAGGCATGCTGTCGAGGCGAATGTAGGCAAGCATGCGACTCACCCGCTGCACAGAGCCTGACTTGTGCTGGCTGCTGTCGTCCGAGTCGGAAGAAGGGAGGGGCGCGCCCGTGTCCCAGTCAATCTCGCCGCGCTTCCAGGCGGCGATCTTGATCTGGTACCAGGGCGGGTAGAGGTAGGAGACGATGGGGGTCGTGGCAAAGGTGGTGAGGAGCGCCATGACGACGAAGATGGTGAAAGTGCGCGTGCTGAGGATATTTGCTTGGAGGCCAATATTCTGCGCGATTGTCGGTCAGTTCATGGTCACTCGTCGCATTGAAAAGCGAGAAAGACGACACCAAAAGTTTGGACAGCCTTCTCCTCAACATTCCTTTTGAGAATAATGAACAAGACTCACCAGCACAATAAGCTCGACGAGACCCTTGCAGCTCATTAGCACGCCAATGGTAAAGGACTCGCGCCACACCAGCCCATTGGCACGAGCCGCTAGGGCGGCGCCAATGATCTTGGTGAAGAAGGCGGCAAAGGTGGTGGCAAAGACGTAGCCCCAAGCGGTTCCCGAGTCCAGCAGGCCCAAGTTCGTGTTGAGGCCGGAGAGGGTGAAGTAGAGGGGTAGGAAGATTGCACCGATGAGATCCTCGAGCTTCTCCGTGACGCGAATGTTGAACCTATTTTCGCGGGGAAGAATGAGGCCGGCCATGAAGCTGCCAAAGATGGGATGGACGCCGATGATGCCGGTGAAGAAGGAGGAGGCGAGGGCAATGAGGAGGATGAGGGAGATGACGCTCTGAGAGGGGTCATTTTCGATGCTCCCGGTGCGGCGGAGGAGCCATATCAAGGCAGGCTTCACGGCAAAGGTGAGCAGCAGCATGAAACCGAGACAGCAGAGCAGAATCCAGAGGGCGGTGAGGCCAGTGCCGGCGTTGACGAGGGCGACGCAGAGCGCCAGCAACACCCAGCCTGGAGTCGCATTCGTTAGCATTTGCACGTGGGAGACAGGAGACATGGGGGGGGGTGCGTGACAAACTTACCCACGACGTCGTTGGCCACACCGGCCGAGAGCGTAATGACACCGACCGAGGTGTCGAGCAGTTTCAGTTCGGTGAGGATGCGGCACAAGACGGGGAAAGCCTGGAGAAGGGGAAGATGAGCAAAAGGGCCTAGTGGACAACGAGGATCAGGGTCGAGAATAAACGCACGGTAATGGCGACGGCAATGCCAATGAAGAGCATGTAGACGCTGAAGCGGATGGGCGCAAGGGAACCATCGTCGCGAAAGGCGTTGTAGACGCCCCAAGCGAGAGCACAGCCAATGCCAAAGGGAAGGGCGAGGCCGGCAAAGGCGACCGAAGTTGCAACGCGCCAGTTGCGGGCTAGAAAGCGGACATCGGTCTCGAGGCCGATGAGGAAGAGGTAAAGGACGAGACCGAGGTTGGCGACTAAATTGAGGTTGGGCAGCGAGGCGGCGGGGAAGATGGCTTCGCGGAAACCAGGGATTCGGCCCATGACGGAGGGGCCGAGAATGATGCCGCCGACAACCTCTGCGATGACACGGGGCTGTCGAATCTTTGCGAGAGGCCAATGGAGGGCATGGCAGACAATGACGATGAGGCAGACCTGGATGATGAAGAGGATGATGGGGTTGCTGGGATCGTATTTGGACGGGTTGGCACCTTCGAGAACACCGCCCTGGGGAGTAGCCCTGTTCCCGTCGGTGGCATTGGCTGCTCCGGCTGCGAGGGCGGCGGGTAGAAGCCTGGCCATGGCGACGGCGGCGGCCAGACGGAGAATGCGTGGGAGCCGCATTGTGGTGGATGCGGAGGCGGAGGAGCAGGAGAGGCTGGGCCGGCGGCGACTATTGTGAGAAGAGGGAGAGGCGTCCAGGCGCCAGCAGCAGAGCGAGGCTGCCAGGAGTCGAATCCGAGGGGGCAGGATGGAGGCGAAGCGAAGCAAGGCGGTGAAGAGTTGTCGACGGTGAAGAGGAGGAGAGGCGTGAGAGTTATATAGAGCCCGGGCCACGACGGCTGACTCGGTGCGAGGCTCAAGGATATCGCAGGAGGAGGAGGAGCAGGAGGAGCAGGATGGGGAGAGAGAGGCGCCCGTTCCCCTCTTGTGTTGTTTCTGGCGGGCGCGGGTTCCACGGCGTGCTGAATTGTTGCAGCCAACCCGAGATGGAGAGAGGCGCTGAGAGGGTCGTTGAGAGGGTTCTTGGCCCACTTAGCCCTGGCCTTGGCGTTTTGCTGGATGCGTGGCCAACAGGGGATGACGATAAGCTCGGGGCTAAAAGAGCCCTGTGGGGATGGGGACGCAGTGGGCGACGACCCTAAACCCCCCCGCGAGTCCAGGCGATCAGGGTGCTTCTAGCCCTGAAGCCGCGAAACAGGCCGGGGAAAAGGGTCGAGAACGCTTGGCAGACCCACGCCGCCAGACGATTCCCAGCCGGAGAAGGCCGGCGCTGTTAGTCGAGCGCTTTTCATGTTTACAGTCAAACGCCGTCGCCGCTCTCAACCTGACAATTTCCCAGCCGGAGATGGCCGTCGCCGTTGGTCGAGCGCTTTTCATGTTCACAGTCAGACGCCGCCGCCGCTCAGCCTGACGATGCTTGCATGCGGACGGGACGGCACAGGACGGCGAGGCTGGGTTCGTGGCCCGCCAGAGGGTCTCTGCCCGCACGCATACCACGGTATCACTGCAGATGGAAGCCGGCAAGCACACTGTATGCCCGGTACTGTAGGGCCAAATCGTTGGCAGTGCCCGTCGGCAGACACCAGAACCAACAGCCCCCACCCCGTTCATTGGCTCCCCGCAGAGAAACGGCCGGGGTGCAGACACGTCCTGGCTGGTCATGATGCTTCTGCTCTACCCAACCTGGGCAGCCGAGCGGCAGGCCTGATTTGTCTCAGTTTTCACGTGCCGGTGCGGCAAACCACCCCGTGTCTTGGGACCCACGTGGACGACCCGCAGCAGGGTCCTGTTGAGTGGATGGCAGGGTGAATAAAGGTGAACAAGTTAGTTAACCTTGATCACAAATGGTGAGACGGAAACACTCGTCTCTGGCGCATCCACAATGTGATGATGGCATCGCCCAGCCTGAGCAGCCGCCAAGTCGAGCCGATACCATGGCGGGACGTGGCCGTCGCAAGGACCCGGTCATGCACACCCACTCGTCCACCCACTCGTCCAACCACTCGTCCAACGCGTGCTCGGCTCGCTTGTCTTCGCTTATCCTCGTGACGCTTGGGCCGGGGTGAGAGCAAAGTGGGCGGTGACGGCCCATTTCGACGGGGCAACAGAGGCTCGAGTGCGGGGGAGGGGACGCTAAAGACCCCTGATGCGGGTTAGCAGCCGCCAAGGGCAGTCACCTGACTTTGTCGTCCTCCTCCTCCAAGCCTCTCCCTCCCACCTTTGCCTCGCAAGAGAAACCATCGACCCGCAACCTCTTGGTGATTGGCCGCGGCACTGCGCTGCACTGCACGGTAAATCACCATCCATGGCCAGCACGTGGGCGACGGTGCGTTGCCGTCCTGAGCCCCTGCTGCCCGGCCTCCAGCAAGCGTCGCCGCAGTCTGTCCACATGGGAGCAAGAATCGAACGCCAGTTTTCCTTGCCACGTCCCGCTCAGCTACAGTCCTTCACCTCCCTCTCCCCATCCCCCGTCTCAGCCAGCGGCTCGTCACAGAGGGAGCAAGGCCGTCATGGTGGTCTGGTCTACAACAGCAAAGCTCCCAAAAATTTGGGCCCCTCGTCACAGGAGAAGAAAGGCCATGGTGATGCTCTACCAACAACAATTCTCGGAAATGCATTGTGCCTCGGCCGTGTTACGACGCTGTTCCCGTCGAGCTCCCCTGCTTCCGACAAGCAGTTCCAGGCCTGTTTCGCTCAACCGGACACGGAGACAAAGCCTCGACTTGCCTCGACCGCTCGAAATTCACCCATGGATGGCCTCGCACAACCAGCTGCTCCGTCGTTCCGTACAATCAGCGTGCTCTGCTGATGGCATGAATTTGGCGAGCAAACATTCTTTGTGGCTACAGCTCCTCGGTAGAGCTCGGCGTGCCGGTGAACTGTGACTCTGACTGTGCCTGAACCTGGCCTTAATGAAGTCCAGAACGAGTTGCCCTTGACTGAACATCAGACTCCTCCAGGCTGCACGCCTCCGACACCCATTCAGTAATCCGCGTCGCCCTCGTGTTATCTCTCGACAGCCCCAAGATGTCTGTTTCCGCCAGTATAAATTCGACTTGGAACCCTCGCTTCCCGTTCTGCTTCTGGACGCCCCAGATTTTCCCAAGTCCAAGGAGACGACGTACCCTCCGAGTCCATTGCAAGATACCCCCTACAGGATCCTCGACAAGTCGTTTTCGCGCCCACCAAAATGGGCAGTTGCATGTCCGCCCCGCGGAGCGGCAAAAAGAAGTCTCGCGGGAAGAAGGTTCGCGGGAAGAAGGCTCACCGGTCGTAAGTCGCCCTCCAAGGTTCCCCAGCTCTCCACACTCCTCGAGCATCTCTTTGTTCTTCCACTTTGCGGATTCAAGTCCCCAGGCCTCGCACTCACGAGATGATCCCCACTAGCAAACCTGTATTTAGCATTGAGTTGGAATATCATAATTCCGAGCCTCATCTGGTCCGACGCCGTCACCACCATCGGGTTCGCACTGGTCGGCCACGGCACCGAAGTCGTCGCTCCGACGGCGCGAAGCAGCGAAAAGACGAAAAGAAGGCCAACGGCAGGGAGCAGGACGAACCCGACGGGCCAGCAGCCGGGGATGGGAATAGAGAGGGCGGGAGCGGCGCCAGCGGTAGTGAGGATGGCGACGATGGAGATGCGGATTCAGATGGGGGAGACAATGGCGATGCGAGGCAACAAGGGTAGGGTGGAGCGAAAGAGGACGCTTGTCCCGGCGACAAAGGAAAGAAGGCGGATCGCCATTCTTCTCATAAGCACAAACATGCTCGCGGGCTTCACGATCGGGGGCGAAAGAGCCATCGAGACCCTCACGATGACCCAAGCGTTAGCACAACACAAGGGCATCTCCTCTTGCTGCATTAATGATTTCAAGGGGCATTCGCGGCTGGCTGCGTGATTCTTTACTTTTTGATGGGCTATTGCGCATAAGTGAGGAGTGAAGAGGAAACAGGTCAAGTGATTCTGTGATCATTCGGATACTACCAGGCCAACAGTAGGGAGTTCGTATGTTGGAGTGCTCTAACATGTACGCAAGCAACGTTTTCATGACATGGGGAATTTTCCGGGACTTGAGAAAATTTACAAGTAAAGAATGAGCCACCTCAGCAAAGATATTCCAGGACATGGGACCATCACACGCTGGGCAATGATCAAAACATATCACCGGGGAACGATTATCAAGGGCAAAATGCGGCTAAGTATATTCTAGGACTAATTAAACTGTCAAGAGGGACGAAGACTTTTCCGGCCACGACCTTGACAAAAAGAAGAGGGCGTGCAGAGTGTACAGGGTGCGAACAACCCAATGATGAAGCTATAGACATCAAGAAACAAAACCATGCCAAGACTAATAATAGTGCCCGCAATGTGTTGACGCCTACAAGCCTCCTCTCGCTGCCGCGACGCTCGACGCTTAGAGGAGCTTGAGGCAGTTGAGCGCGCTGATGTTGATGAGGCCACCCAGCGACTTGCCTGTCTCGCAGCAGTAGGCGTTGTTGTTGCAGTGGCTGCCGAGAGCCTGGACGGTGCAGCCCAGGAGGCCGCCGTTGCAGCAGACCTGCTGGTGGCCCTTGGCGGAGCACACGTTGACCTCGTTCCGGTGGCCATGGCGGTATCCGCCGAAGCCGTGGTGACGGCGTCCACCGAAGCCGTGGTGGCCGTGGTGGCCGTGGTGACGGTGGTGGCCGTGGTGGCCGTGGCGGCCGTAGAAGTCGTCGTCCCAGTCGCGGCCGTGGTGGCCGAAGCCGCCGCGGCGGTAGTTGCCGAAGTCGCGATCGTGGTGGTGGTGGTGCTTGCCGTGGTGCCGGAAGTCGCCGCCGTGGTAGCGGCCATTGCCGTAGTAGTCGTTGTCGTTGTCGTAGCGTCCGTAGTCCTTGATGCCCTTGTAGCCGTAGTCATCGTAGTCCTTGCGGCCGTACTTGTAGTCCTTGCCGTAGTAGCCATCGTGCTTGTGGCCGTACTTGTAGTCCTTGCCGTAGTAGTCGTTGTCCCAGTCGCCCTTGCGGACCTTGACGTCCTTGTAGTCGAAGTCGGAGTGGCTCTTGCTGACCTTGACGTCCTTGAAGTTGAAGTCCGAGTGGCTCTTGTAGTCCTTGCCCTTGAAGTCGTAGTCGTTGTCCCCGTAACCCTTGTAGTCCTTGTGGTCCTTGACGTCGTAGTCGTTCTTGCCCTCGGTGGGAGTGGCGACAGCGGTGGCGGCCAGGGCCAGGACGGAGAGAGCAGCAGTGTACTTCATCTTGACGGCTGAGAAGAGAATGTGATCAAAGAGTAAGAATAAGCGAGTGGTATTCTTTTTGAAACGAGTGTGACTGATGAGCTGCACTGAGTTGCTTGAGAGGGTGATGAGGATGAGAGAAGTTGGTCTCTGGGCGGCGGAATCAAACGTTTATATAGATGGCTGGACGGCTAGGAAAACACCCGTTTTGCGGGTTGAGTCCAAAGCCCAGCCCCTACTCGGTCAGAGCGTTGCCATCCCCATCCTGCTGCGTCCGCCGCCCCTGGATCTTGCTGCTGCTGCTGCTGCTGCTCCTCCTCCTCTCGCCCGCGTGAACCATTGCACACACACACACACAAGCACGATTGCTTTTGCCATTTCCTCTCCCCCCCCGACCCTCGGATCGTCTGTCAGCGACAGACAGGGACGCGGCTTGGTAGCTCTGCATTAGGGCGGCCGCCCTTCGGCACAGCTCGACCCTCTGCCGGGAGCAGCACGCACAAGAGAGGCCGGCCACTCACACGAAAAAAGGGGGTTGTCAGCTAGCCGGGCCTCGAACCGTGGCCCGTCACCCCAGGTCTCCCCCCGACGTCTGCATTAGCCTTGTCAGCTCCGTGCCCGCCAGCCCGAGCGCCCCGGCATTGTCCAATCTCTCTGTCAACTAGACAGGGGGGGTCTTCGGCAGTTCCTTTTTCCCGATGCAGGTCTCGACGCCGTCGCTTATTTTCCTGCTTTGCGAGTCGTTGTTGTCTTTTCGAGAAAAAGAAAGGCTGTCATTGTCTTGCTTGTCTTTTTTTTTTGGCCTGTCTCGCCGTCCTGCTTACAGTAGAAGCTAGGTGTAATTGCTGCTCGCTCCTGTTTCGAAACATGCGAGTCTTGGACAAGGGCTCGCTCGTAGACAGGCTCATGGTGATGCCTATTAGACACTTGCCTCTTGTTCTAAATGCTCCCTGCGTTTTCTTTTCAATTCAACCGTTTCTTGGATATTGCAATGTGCCGTGTTGGGGCCTACAGTGTCTATCCAGCATCTGTCAGCTGTCAGCATTGTCAGCTTTGGAGGTCACCGAGCCTCGGTGCACCAACCAACCGGCTCGAGCCGTCCCCGTCGGTAGTAGAGAGAAAAGGACTTTGAGTGGCGGACAAGACAACCCGCCCCAACCTCATTTCGACCCGGGAACCCAGACTCCTGAGCTTTGGTAACGGGCTATCCTCGATGAAGCCTAATGCGGCGTCCGAGTCCCCGATTTTTGTCTTGACTGCCGGCCAATGTTACTTAACATAGACATACCAGCGTGACATGGCCTGTCAGTCATGCCTGCAGTCGCCGGCATGTCTCCCCGGTCCCCGAGGCTCCCGGCAGATGCAGGTCCCAGCTTGGTCGTTGGTCTGGCGACTGACCGACTTGCTGAAAATTGACCAGCACTCTGCCAAATATATCGAGCTCAGTAAGGTGGTGAGCTTCTTTTTTCCGCCATGGATCTCTGTTGTTGCCCTATCCTGCCTCCTTGTCGACTGCTTCAGCCCCGACGGGCACAATGGCCAGACCCTGGCATCACATGCCTCTGTTGTTGCTTCTCTCGATGACTCCTCGGGCTGCCCATTGGAAGCGGCGTTGGACGGTGTTCGCACGTCCGTGTCGCCCCACCGTCCATTCTCGTCATCGTCATCAGCTGGGACAGCCTTGCCAAAGTTGCCTCGGGGGCTGACGGGGGGAACCGGATTTTTTCGTGTCTCGGTCAGGCGCGACTACCAAGGGACGATCCAAATCTTGTGTCCCGTGAGTGAGTAAGGGGCTCAGCTATCCCAGACACGCTGTGCCTCCTTGGGGGCAAGGGTCTTGTTCCCCGGGTCAGCCAGCCTCCGGTCTCCACCAATCAAGCTTACTTTTTGTGTCTCGGAGATGTTCGTCGTTCTGCTCACGTGTCTGCTCACGTGCTACTCTCGGAGTCACTTCGCAATCTTTCAGAGCTCTAGGGTAGTTGGACGACGTACCCATTCAATACCCCCAAAAGCTGCCTTCCTTGACGAAATATTTAAACGGTCCTTCAAAGCATATTGAATACATCGAGACTGTGAAGAGCCATGATTCGTGATACCGCAGTCATTTACCGATTTACCTGAGTTGAGATTGCAATCAAAAGTGAACAAATACCGTAATTGCCAAAGTGCCCCCGTTCGGTATATATGGTTTGCCAAATCCAGCAAGCAATATCACTCTCGCGACCACAGCAATTCAATCGACACTTCTTCTTTAAAAGAATAGCAAACAAAGTCTTCGCCCTTCTACCTCTCAAGCTTGCTTCTCCCTCGCTACCCTATACAACGGACGATTTGAATCCCCCCCCCTGCTCTTGATCGAGTGCCTCAGTATCACGTTTCGCATTTGTTCACAGAATCATACAAAGTCTATCCTTCAGCAAACTCCAGTTATATGGTTTTCCAGCTTATGTGTTCCTTACTGCATTGGTTCCCGTGCCGCTGCATTCTGCTCCCGGTCCAGGAGCATAAAGAAACGGCAGGCAACCTGATGATATCAGGTGTGTGTGGGATGTCGTCTGCAAAGTAGAGTCTGGCCACTGGATGGGATTTCGATTTACAAGTGCCGTAATGGCCACATCATGGCAGATATTGGCATATCCTGTTGCCAGTCTCCAAGTCTTCAGCAAAGATTCCGCGTGACCATGTTTGCCACGAGACGATAAAAAGCAAGTGCTGAATAAGAACGTACAGAAGCAATATCGACTTTGTCACGGTGGAATTGGGATGCGAGCGCCAGACACATTTCCTCATGTCATTGTTCAGAACAGCCAGCCTGTCTGTCAGACAAAAAGACCAGCCAACAAGACTTCTGTCCGTAAGATGATACAGAAGACATAAGCTATAACACGCACCAGTGATGCAACTGCTGGAGCTAGTCTCCCTCTGCCAGGGCCCAAAGGCATCAGGTCTTTTCACGTTGCGTCGTCATTTGAACTGTCTGGTGAGAATTCTGACTTAATATAATCCGCAATCAACGCTTGATACCATAAATCTTCCACCAAGAAGCCTATAATACCTCCATTGCCGACTTGAAAAGCAGGTAATACTTATATCTATGCTAGGCCCTTGAGCCGTCGACTGCGTGGAATGGGCCTCCGGGCGGCCATTCCCCAGAAAATGGCGCAATATGGCTTGTTCAGCACTAGGCTCCAAAACGCCAGATATAAGCCCTGTCGCCCTTGCCAACTTGATAGACGTCGTCTGTTTTGAGATATACCACTTTGTGGTGAATATCCAGAATGCACCAACGTACAGTGCCATCCTGTGTGCAGCCAACTGGTGCGGAATCAGGGTCGTTGGCCAAAAGTGAACCGCGGACAGACGTTTCAAAACCGCCCTCTCCGGTTGATCCACCATGCACAATCTCGATTGCTTCTCCAGTAGCATTGAAATTGACAGACCCCGAATGAGGCTGGTGTCGATCAAGGAAGGACATCTCAGGTGCCTGGCGAGCTTCAGGAAAGTGGTTGTCTATCGCCATTGTACACACCGGCGGCGGTTCGCGATGCAGTCCTTGTCTTGTACACCGGTTCCCAGGAAGGAAGGATGTCTAGCCGGTTGTTTCCCGTGGCCATTCGTGCGGCTTGCACCGTAGATGTCGCCTTGCTTCCTGATTCATTCCGTGTATCGGCTCACCGGATCGAAGGCCTTCTAGCAGGTTGCTTCCTGGTGGTAGTTTGCGGCTCGCACTGTAGATGTCACCTTGCTTCCTCCCGTGCACTGGCCGGCTGCTTGATCATGATTGTGTGTGTGTGATACGAGGACCGAGTCCTGAATACGGTCCGTCACTTAACTGTGAAAGCCCGCGCAAAAGCGGCGACGTCTAGAATTCTGAACCGGGAAGCCGATTGGGTCCACAACGAGAGGCGGCCGACTTCAATCAATCTTTTCCTGTCTCGAGTTCGAGCGGCGAGGCCAGGCCGGCTCCCAGTCTGCCACGGGCTTGCATGGCGGTCGCAGTGTTGGGTGGCTCCTCCAACATGAGCCCGGCGCTGCAGGATTGGTGAAAATCAACACCGTATGCGTCGAGGGTTGTCGAGGTCACCAATGCGGTGTATGGCGAAGACGGTGCACGGTCATGGCGTCACTGATCGAGGCAACCCAGCCCTGTCCGGTTTCGCGTGAGCTTGGGCTGCTGTCTCCGACGGTCATCCAAATCGGCCAATGATGACCAGATCAGGCTCCCAAAATCGGGGGTCTTGGACTTGGTTGAGCCCAGTTTCCACTTTCTGCAACATGGGTCTTTCGAACCGGAGATTCGAACTTGTCGAGTGACAAGGCAATGATCCCGCATTAGCCGCGATGCCTCAGTCCAAGACGCGACGACCAACTCGGTCTCCGGAGTCGCCCCGGGTTTTCAGGACGCAGCGGGTGAAGAGATGTGAAAACAAGCCATGGTCTCTCCGGAGCACGCGGGGCCTCGTCTCGGATGATGCGGGACAAGGCATCATGGGCGGACACCTTGGCGGAAAGAGATAGGAAGGGGTTGTTGATTGAACTCGCCGGCTTTGCTCGAAAGCGTCTGCTTGGCGTCTGAGGGAAAAGGGGCCGAGGACGCGAGATGCTGAGAGGCCGTCATGGCTCTGCAGGTTTGGTGAGGAAGAGGGAAGAGAAGGGAAGGAAGAGGAGCGAGGGGCTGTTGCCCTATAAAGTGAAAAAAATCTCCAGCGAAGGTGTTGCCTGGAGGCCTGAGGCTGCAACATCCAATCCCCATTCAGACACGCACAGTTAAGATTGGACCAACTTGAAACACAGCCCTGCAACCTGACGATGCAAACGCAGCAGCCGCCCCTACATGACGTCGAAACTCGGATGCCAGTCACGGGCTCCTTGACAGTTGAAGACCCCCTGCCAGTCTCGGCATCAAGTCCACGTCAGGCCGGTCTGCGGCGAGTTTAACAGTCTGGTGTCACGAACAGACAGGGCAAACGCAAAGTCCCGCAGTCCAAACATGAGGAGAGCCGATGGACGAGACCGGATGGACCGTCCATTGGCCGTCGACCAGGAGCTTGGCCTCGCCGCCGAAGGATGGACCGTCCATTGACAGCAATCCATTGTTCACGCGTTACCCCTGGCCAAAGGGGACAGCGGATTCGGCTGGCGAGAAGCGAGCCAACGCACGAGCGCTTCTCGTCGTCTTTGGCAGCAAACAAACGAACAAACAAGAGTGACGAGAAAAGAAACAGACCCCAGTGCAGTGAATGGGCAGTGACGTCTGGACAAAGCGCCGCCTCATTTGTGCGACGGCCGCACTTTGCCACGGCTTGCGTCCCAGTAACACCGGTTTCAGGGCCTCGCTTGTATTCAAAAGCTGGCCTGCCCTCTCGTCGCCCGTTTGATGGCTTCAGGTCTGCGCGGCATTGTCATCGAGGGTCTTCCCTGGTATTGACAGACCCTGGTATTGACAGACCTTGTCCTGTTTCAACATCCCACGTCCCCCTCTCCCTCTTCCACCATGGGCTGCTGCTGCTCGAGCACCTTTAACGGCTTCCAGGACATGGCTCCTCGGCCGGCAGAGTCTCCTCTTTCACAGTACGTCGTCGGAGCCCGCGACAAACGGCCAGGATCGACCCGCTGACACCTTGCCCCAGGAACCGGCAGGGCGGCTCTCGAAGCGGTTCGTCGTCATCATCGGGTATGCAAACGGCGAGCGCGGGGGCGCTCCTGGGGGCGGCCACGGTGCTTGCCCCCGTGGACCCGACGGCTCTCGGCGTCGGCGATTCGGAAGAGCCGTCTCCACGGTCGTCGAAATCAACTTCCCCGGCAGGATCGCGGGCGCCAGCTCCGTCGCCCAGCCAAGGCCATCGGCCGTTGGGGGTTAGCGGCTCAGCGGCGCCGGCCGAGGGATCCGGATCGACGAGCTCAAGCAGCTCTAGTGCCGAGTCTTCGTCGCGCTCGAGTTCCAGGCATTGACAGACCAAAGCAATGAGGGAGACAGGTAGGACAAAGCGATAGCCGACCTTGGCGCCGGCACAAAGGGCCACGAAGGGCCGGATTCTTATTTCTCGCAAGCTGGCATGGGGCTGTGGACATTTTCAAGAACATGGCATGAGACCGCATCACGAGAGCGAGGCGTTGAGAGGATATGGAGCATGAGCTGAGTACATACAAGGTCGATGGTCGATGGAGAATCAACATGAATGACGATTGCCTGTTGGGTGACTGAGAGAGTTTGCGCCCGGAGCCGAGTATGCTGAGCGAGAACGAGCCGACCAACAGGTCGAGAAGCTGGGATATAGCTGCTGCTGCAGGCCCGACGCGGGTATCCGGAGACAGCCAAAGAACTGACAGATATAACGAGAAGAAGCCAGGATGCTTTGTGCAACAGTCTAGACGCCCGGACGCCGGCGATGAACACACACCCTTTTTCTTTGTTTTGTTTTGCTCAACTCGATACGCAGCGCTAAACTTTGTTCCAAGTCGCGCATCGCTAGTCTTGCATCAAATGGCCAGCCGACGTCCAGCCAAACATGCTCACGGCGATCAAGTTGACGCCGTGGCTTGTCGGGCGTGAGACAATAAAGTCGTTGTTCGCACGTGGTCAGGCCGAGATGGGTGGCAGAGAAGCAAGGGTGTATATCCAGGCCATGATAATAGTCGCAATAATGAATAACCACCTGCTTAATGAGTCGACGGGCCGTGAAATAGTCGGCCCATGCGGCCTGCGGAAAACTTGCTCAAAAAAGCGCTCTCTCCAACGCTCGCCCAGTGGGTGTTGGCACCTGGCAGGTACTGTATGTACTTACTTGTCCTGACACACGACAAAGGGAAACGGCTTGATTGAAATTTATTTCTTTGTGCGAGCTGGGTGCTGCCCGAGAATGAACTTTGGCTCTCGAGTCTAGTGAGCTTGGGCTGATTTTGTGTTTGGCTTTTTTTTTTGTATAATTTTGCTCCGTGGTCTGTGACTTTTTTGACTCTCGCGATGCACACGCCCGCCAAGCCATCTCCCGCCCCCCCTAGGTTGTCGAGCCTACATGTTAGTTATATGCACAGCAGGTAGTGATGATAATAAAATGTAAACAATCATGATTAAAACACGCAACGACATCCACCCCGTTGAGGCTAATCAGTATAAAGATTGGCTTGCCAATCTCCATGTATAAACTTGGACTCTCCTCCCCCCCCTTATTCCCCTCCTTCGCTCCTACACGTGTTAGTCCTCAACCTCGCGTCATCCAGCTCACAAGTCGGAAAAGACGACAACCAGATCGACGACAGCATCTTCACGACCCAGTCGTGGTCTCGAGAGCAATGGATCACGCAGCCATGGGCCACGGCAGCCACGCCGCCAGCCCCAAGAACAGCAGCAGTCCCGCCGCCATGGGCACGGGCATGGGCAAGGGCAAATGCAAGATATCGGTGCGGACACGTCCCTACCGCGACGGGGAGAGGGAGAGAGAGAGACAGACAGACAAAGACTGACCGGGGCATTGCGCTCTACGCAGATGCTCTTCAACCTCAACACCATCGACTCGTGCTTCCTCTCGGACCGCTGGCGCATCACCTCGGCAGGCATGTTCGCCGGCTCCTGCATCGGCGTCTTCCTCCTCACCGTGGCCCTCGAGCTGCTGCGCCGCTCCATCAAGGAGTACGACCGCTTCCTCGTCAGGCAGCACCTCGCCAAGTTCCAGGCCTCGACCGCCGCCGCCGCCGCCGCCGCCCGCGCCGAGGGCGAGTCGGTCAGCAGCAAGGACGTCGCCGTGGCCGCCCGCGCCTCGTGCGCCGCCGTTCCTCCCCTTCGCCCCAGCGTCCTCCAGCAGGCTGTTCGTGCCTTTTTGCATCTTCTCCAGTTTACCTGCGCCTACATCCTCATGCTGGTCAGTGCTGCCTCCAGTCCTCCCCGCCCCCCCCTTTGGCTGGTTTCCGTCCAGTCAGGGCGTGTGGTGCAGGCTTAAAGGAAAGACCATGGCTAACACCAATGGAACTCGCAGCTCGCCATGTATTACAACGGGTACCTCCTCCTCTGCATCTTCCTCGGCGCCTACTTTGGCGCCTTCATCTTCCAGTGGGAGAATCTGCCCCTCGGGTAAGTCGAGCCCCCTTTCAACCCTGTGTCCGTATGGGAGACGGGCACTGACGGTTCTTCTGTATAGGGGTCAGCAGACGAGCGCAGCCGAGGAAGCAACAGTCTGTTGCGGCTAGAAACGGAGAATTTATTCTGTAGGGAGGTCAGCAGACGAGCGCGGCCCAGGAAGCAACAGTCTGCTGCGGCTAGCCACGGAGGATCCCACGTTGGCGGTGCAGCACAACGACGACGACAATGACGAAAACAACAACAGCAGCATCCAAGTGCCTATGGTGGAAGCCAAGATAGAGGCTGTGGGAGGAGAGGGGCCTGGCAACGACCTCTCGGGAGAGTCGCCGGCGCCCTCGTTTGCATCCGGATATTATTGCCTTTAATCTCATACTGTAATACTCATCACTATCTGATTCTTAGCATGTAAACGAGGTGTCGCTCCATAGAATGCTCGGTTCGGGAAGTGTACAAGGCAAGGGACACACCATGTAAGCAAGCAGTTTAAACATTGAATCTCTGAGCAGTGGCTCCAAATCAGCGTCGTCTTCTCGTCTTCGTCATGGGCCAAGGCGGCACGCATCTGCGCGAGATGGACACAAACAGGTCCCCGGGGTATCTTCAGTCATATCAACAAAACGCCATGACCCAGCATGTTCAAGCACTTGGACACCGTCCACGTCTCGTCAATCCGCCCCCTGCGAGACCACACCTTTTCCATAATCTCCATCGCTTCCTTGACCGTCCCAAAGATTTGCAATGGGCCTTGGCTCCGGGCCAGGGCGCGGTATGTGTCTTCGTCCTCGGCCGGCGACAGGCACCCGCTGATGCAAAGCGGCCATGCTAGGGCGCGCAAGCATGACCCTCTGGGGACCCGCGAGAGCCGCTCCGTCGCCTTGCGGACTGGGCAGCGGATTTGCGGGTTGGATGGCTGCCAGCCCTGGATGACGACGTTCAGGTAGCTCAGCGTCGCCAGAAGCCAAATTATCTGAAAATCGGGCTGCTGCCTGACATCAGACCCCGTGATTGGATCCGCGACTAACAGCGGGAACGAAGTCGTCGCAAGAGACGAGTTGTTGTCGCCAGCTTGGAGCTCCAAGGCCTCGAGGCAGCCCTTGATGGCATCGCCCAGCACCTGGCCCCGAGACGCCAGCTCGTCCGCCGACAGCGAGCCCGCCTGTACCTGCAACTTCTTCCAGGATTCGAGACTCGCCACGTCGCCCAGCACCTGGACGATCCAGTTGGGCAACCCGAAGAATTCGTCCAAGAAAAGGGGTCCAGCGGGGACGGGCTCTGTCTCTCGCGGGACCGTGGAACATCCGGGGATGACGGCCGTTTGGTAGTGACACAGCCGTGGCGAAGTGCCCAGCGTGACACTTGATAGAACATCAAGGTAGATCAGAGTTGCCGTGAAGAACCGCAATGCCGCCTGATTGGTGCTCCACGGCCGTCGCATGCCAAAGTCAGGGGGCGGCCACGCCGGAGAGTAGAGGTTGTTGAGCGTCTGTGTCCAGAGTTCGGGGTCTGGCAGGATCTGCAGGAACAGCGCAACGGCGGCGTCGAGATGCATCCTCCAGTTGTCGTTGCACGATGTGGTCACCTCGAAGAAGAGCATCTGCACGATGCTCTGCATCACCACCAGCCCCCTTTGGACGTCGAAGCCTGAGCTGTTGGCATTGAGCGCGCGCATCTCCTTTTGCAGCTCCTTGAGCCCGAGCTGCAGCTGGGTCTCGAGCTTGTGGATCATGCCCGCGATACACTCCTCGTGTTCCCTGTCGCCATCCGCCAGCACGATGGCGAAGAAGGAGCTGGCGAGCGAGATGGACGTGTGGTAGACTGACTTGTTGCTGTGAAGCACATCGAGGATCCACCCCCGGCCGCCGGCGAGGACCGGGGGCCGATAGTGCGGGAAGAGGTATGGAAAGACATAGTCGAGGTAGATCATGAGAAAATGCAAGTCGCCCTCGGACAACGAGTCGGCGTCTTGGTGCCGGGTCGCGGGCTGCTGGCTGTGCCAGGCAATGTCGGGCGGCGATGCGCTCGTGCTGTGGCTGTCGGCCGGGGTCGAGGCCGTGTCGTGGCTGCGAGGCGACGGATCGGTGTCGGACGCGCCGGGCCTGGCGCTCGGCATGAGGGCATCGCCGTCGTCTGAGATGGTGACCATCCTGGTTCCGTGCTCCAGAATCTCGAGGTACCTGCGGTCCCTCCGCTGGCTGGCCTGTTTCTTGACCTCGGCCTTGATGCCCTCGGCCATCTGCCGCTGCCTGGGGCCGCCGTCCATCCACGCCGGCTTCTCCTCGTCGAAGTAGCAGGTGATTTCGAGCGCCTTGCACGTGTCGCATTCGGGGCGGTTCTCGGCGCACTTCTTGCGCCTGACTCGACAGGTCCAGCAGCCGCCCGACGAGCGGACCTTGCTGTTGGCCATGAGCTGCTTGAAGAGCGACATGACGGGCTGGGTGGGGATGACGCCGCCGAAGACGTCTGCCGGGGCTCCAAGAGCGCATAAGGCAAGGGAGAGAGAAGCTTGCGAAACAAGGTGTAAGGTGAGTAGAGGCCGCGACGTAATGGGCCTAATGCCTCGAATTTGTCAGCGGCCAGTCCTCCATTCGTACCCGTATATGCAAGCCTGTTTAATGCAAGAGGCTCGATAGAGGCAAACTGGAGTCTCAGAGTCAGACCATTGTTCTTCGCCTCTCTCTCGCAGTCAAACCGTGTCCAAACGCCGAGTTGATTGTGTTTCTTTTTCCCGTCTCTAATTCTGACATTATGTTTATGATGCCCGAGCCAAAGCCTCAAGCCACCATCCGTCCAAAACCGGGGAGCCAAATACCAAACTGAATGCTCTCGACGCATTACTTCCAAACAGCCCACGACCCAAACAAAGAAAACAGAAACCCTTTTTTCTCTCTTTTTCTTGACCTTTATGACTTGCCATTGCCACCTCCAAAGAGCGTTTGCCGCTTCTCAAGTAATCCCAGGTCCCACCATCCGTCAATCCGCTCCAATATCGTCTTCCGCTTCGACTTGGCCCTCATTGGAGCCTGAGGAGCAGGACTCAACGGTGACGGCAACGGCGAGCGACCAGGAAGCGCGACGGATGGCGGCAAAGGAGGCACAGGCGGCAGCTCCTCGAGCGGGCGACGGGCCTGTCGCACGCGAGGCCGCCTCTCGTCCGTCGACGCCGTGGGGGGCAGGGGAAGCCGTGGTGAAGACGCAGCTCGGCGGCCGGTCGCCCGACGAGGAGGGGGAACCGTGATGCCGAGGGCATCCGAAGACCCGCCGGCCGGCCGCCTCTTCTCCGGCTCGGCAACCATTGCCGTGGTGCCCAGGCTCCGGGCCTTCTTCAGCACCGGAGGCCGCGCCGGCGCCCCTGTCGAACCCCCACGGCCGCACCCTCATTCAATGTCCTTGGGCGGAGGGCGGCTGCCGCCCTTGAGGCGCTTCCACAGGCAGGCCGACGCCACGGCTGAGACAAAGTACAGCACGCACAGGCAGATGCTTAGGCCCCAGATGGCCTTGAGCTCGAAGCAGGCCGCCTTGTCCGCGTCGACCCACTCGTACCACACCTGGCGCGACAGATTGAGGAATAGCGAGCTGATGAAGTTGGCCGTGTTGCCCGAGTCCGGCAGCGACGGACACGACAGGTAGCTGACGGGCTTGCCCACCACGCATGCCACGACGATGACGGCAATCAGGCAGAGGCTGTCGGCGCCCGTCGAGATGAGCAGAGGGAGCAGCGAGTCCCAGTACAGGATGTAGGTGATGACTGTGTATACGGCAGCCATGCAAGCCTAGTCGTTGTCAGCACATGGACGGGGAAGACATGTCCAAAGCGGCATGGACTTACAACGACCAGAGTGCCAACCAGGGCAGGCGGGGCCACGTAGTTGGCCCCGACCATCTCCGAGATGAAGTTGGACGTCAGCCCGATGATGGCAATGAGAGCAACCGCCTGCATGGCGCGCATGGCGGTAAAGGTCAAGCCCAGGGCACCCAGTGCCGGGGGAGCAGCCATCCTGAGACACGAGACGGGGGTGACGAGCGAGAGGCGCGGTCGCGTGGAGCAGTGCGCCGTGCGGAGAGGCAGGTGCTTGCAATGAAACGGCAGGACGGCCGGCGACGCAGGCCTGGAGGAGGGAATCTTGCCGAGGGAGAGGCGCCCGACCACCGCTTTGGTGTCGAGGGGATGGTAGCGAGACGGAAAAGACGACGTTAAGAGGCCAGAAAAGTGCGAGGAGAGCAGGCTCGATCCTATGATGGAGGCGGAGTGGATGGTTGGTGATGTCTGGATGGGGAGGCTTCAAGTAGAACCAGAGCGAAAAAGGAAGAGTTGTGACGAAATACCCAGACCCGAAATCAGACTGACGAGACAAAGGGAAAAGGAAAAGAGAACCCAAGGAAAAGAGAAAAGGAAAAGAAAAGGCGTGTAAGTGGTGTTTCTTGGAGAGTTGCTTGATGGGAGAGAGAAAGGCAAGGAGAGGGACGACAAGTTCGCCTCTTTATACCAAACCTCTGGCACGGCTTGGACATATTGACATCCGATCAGCTCCTCCAGCCCCGTTGCCCCGTTCATCAAGCGCCAAGCACAGCATGTCAAGCAAACCAATCACCAGCCAGCCATCCAACTCTGGGGCGCAGGCAGCATCTCCCACCGCCCCATCAACGCCTGGAGAATCTCAGCATCTCGCCTTGCCACTCCACCCCGGCCGCAGTGGCTTCGATAATAGTATGAGACGTCCAAGCCGTGTGAGCAAGCGCCGGCCCAGCCAATCACTTGGACGCATTCCGCGAGTCCCGGGATACACGTATAAAACGGTAGCACAGCCAATGGCTTGGCCTGGGCGCTTGCCACTGCGTGTAAGCGCGCCGACCCGGACCCTGCCAGCCGCCAGCCGCGGGCCGGAGGCGTTTCGACCTTGTTGAGTGCGCTTGATTGGATCTCGTCGCTTCTGGACGGCCATGCCCGTCAATGTGTTTCCCGATGCGGTCCGGTAGTATGCGGCAAGCAGGACGAAGGGCTTTGGCTGCTAAAATTGTCTTTTGCCGTCTGTGTGAGAACGAACAATTCCTTATGCAGCTCCAGGCTGGAGATGGGCAGAAAGAGCTGTAACAACCACGCTGCCCCTTTTAACACGTCAAGGCCAACAACCCGTTCTTCGAGTACTGTGTTGAATGCTCGCAGTTCCGCATTTGACGAGACCAGCACCCAGGTCAATTTCGTTTGCTACGCCGGTACGCCTATCTAGAGCCCAAACAAGAAGCACGCTCTCCCCAATCGTGCTCTGACGCAGGCTGCTTCATCCCTTGTCGCCATCGCTTTTCCAGATTATGTCTTGAGGGCACAAGTCTTGAGGGACCCGCAAAGCCCACCTCACCCAAGCAGGTCCCCCGACGCCGACCCACCGCCGTTGCTTGGCCGTGACGGTGCCGCCGCCGGTGCGCCCCAGATACCAGCGCTGCTCTTCTCCTTGGCCAGCTGACCCATGGCTGGCCCGGGCGGGGCCGTGGCCGTCTTCTTGATGCCGGCGCTGGCTTTGCCCCATAGCGCGCCGAAGGCATCGCCGCCTGCAGCGGCTCCGCCCGCGGGTTTGGCGGCGGAGCTGGTAACAGGCTTCATGTTGGCCATGGTGGTGGGACCAGTAGTCGGGGATGCCATGCTTGACATGCCTGCCATAGAGGAGGCCGGCGGCGTGGCCTTGGGCTGGGCATGGGACTGGACGGTGCCAAAGTAGTTGGGTCCCGAAGGCTGGAAGCCCGTCTGCTTCGGAGGCTGAGCCTGCAGCGGCGGAGCGATAAAGGACGAGTAGTTTGCTCCCGGTGTGGCCCCGGTGCTCGGCGCTGGTGAGATGGACGACGCGCTGACCATCTGGCCCAGATCGGCCTTTTGCGGTGCCGATAGGGGCTGCGGTGCCGCGAAATGGGCGGTGGACGACGCCGTCGAGGTCAGCGGCGGCGACAAGGGCTGCCCAAATGCACCCGATGACGCTGCCGGCTGCTGGGACGGTGCGGCCGACTGGAAATCGTCAAACTCGTCGTCGTCAGCGGCAGCGCCGGCACCGCTGCCGCTGGGCCCAGCCAGGTCCTCCAAGCCAGCGCCGTTGGACGCAGCCGGCGCGGCCGAGGAGGGCTCGTCAAAGGAAAAGAGGTCCACTTCAGGCTCCTTCTTCTTGGGCGTGTCGCCTGTTGTCTTTTTGACGCCCGCCCGCTCCGTCCTCCTTGCTGGTCTCGACGAGGAAGCTGCCGGCCTCTCATCCTCGTCAAACTCGTCGTACTCTTCGAACTTATCCGACCTGCCACCGGCGTCCCGGAAGTCGCTTGCCTGCCCGCCGAAACCGCCGCCATCCCCATAGACGCCGCCAGAGTAGCCGCCATAGGAGGCATTGCCCCCGCCGTAGCCAGAGCTCTCATTACCGAACCCGCCGAACCGGCTGCTGCTCGAGAAGCCGCCGAGTCCCATGCCACCCTCAACACCCGTGTACTTGTTCTTTGAGGCGCGGGCCTTTTTCCGTTCGGATCGTATACGGTCGACATCGCCCAAGAGCTCGGCCAACTCCTTGGCCCTGTTCCGCACGTTAATGCCTTGGTCTTTCCCGTTCTGGTCGATGAAGTGGAATTGCCGCAGCATCTTCAACAGGGTGATATGCCCTCGAGCGTCATCGATGACACGCTCGGAGCCGTGCTTGACAAGGAATTCGAGTAGCTGCAGTGCTTTGTAGATCTGGCGCCATTCTTCGGCTGATTTCTCGGTGAAGCGTCGGTATATCATGGGCATGATCTCGTTGAGAGTTTGGCTGGTGTTTAAAAGTCAGCAACCGCCGATGCTCTTGTCTATGCGGCCGAGCAGTTGGGCGTACTAGCTAAAGGTGCCATTGGCAATCTCCTGCATGAGGGTGGAGGATGAGCCCCAAGGTTCGTTGTTTGTAGCCTCTCGAACCTGGGAGAGTCGGGTCAGCATCTGGACACATGGAACAGTCCCTGGGCGTGTGCAATCGGACCTTGGCCTCCATCTCGGTGTAGTTCATGACGGCTAGACGGGACGTCAGCATTGAGAAGGCTGGAAGGGGCAGCCAGGAGTAGGCACCATTTTGCGCTTTTCGAAACCCGGCCTTGATGTCGTACAAGGACAGGTTCGACACGGTGTTCTTGAGGTCGTTCAGGTCCATTTCTAAGGGTTTAGCAGGAGGGAGAGGGGAGACGATGGCAGCAGAATTGAAATGCAGGTCCGAACTGCTGGTGTTGCTGAGCGATGCTTGCGCTGCCACCAGCCCGAGAGAATGTCGAGGCGGACGTCTGGATGCGCTGGCCAGATGGACTTTCGGGCCGCCGCGCAGTGACACAAGGGGTCTGGACCTCCTTAGGGAGGCGGGCATCACGTGATGTCAGCCGCAGGCTGCACTGTAATTTCGAAGGGCGGCGAGTCTGTCCAAAGTACCTTTGCGCCCTAGAAGCGTGGAAAGGCTACTTTACGGGCCGTGCTCTACAATATTTCTCCAACTCCAGCGAGAGCCAAGGTGGCGAAACGATGGCGGCAGGCTGCTAAACTCTGAAAGGGACCCGGAGCTTTGAAAGCGATGACTGGGCAACAAAGCAGCGAGTGCGTGCCAATCAAAGACGCTCGTCACGTCATGCGGCGCCGCTGTGCATGTTCCAAGATCAAACAATAAAGATGTCGCGAAACATGTACTGTACGAGCACGTATTGCGGTTCTGCTTTCGAATGAGGATCATCGGAATCGACGGCTTCGAGAAGACTTTTTTTAAATTAGAATAGTCATTAGTAAATGAGGAGTGGTTTCTTTTTGTGAATCGCTTCCCTGGTTAGCCACGGGCTATACCGCTCAGCACGCTCGGCACCCCAGACGTGTCTTGATTGGCCAGAAACCTCCGAGACGCGATTGAGCCAAAACTTTTTTTCCTCTTCCAGAGGCTGCCAGCTCCGACTCAAGCGACGTGTGGACTTTGCCCTCGACGAGAACAATCCTTTCTCGCTTCCTCTGAGCGTTGCCGATTGTCAAGCAATTATATTAGCAGGTAAGCTTACCCCTTGCTACTCGTTGTCGTTCCTCCACCGCCCGCGGCACGCCCCTTGCCCTTCGGCTGCACGCCGTCGAGCTCCCCCAAAAGGCCTTCCTATGTGCCCAGGCGCTACGCAGTCGCCGGCAGGGCAGCTCATGGCAGAGCTCTTTGGTCGTCGCCGGCTACCTCGTCGGGATGCAGGATGCTCGCCAGCGTTGGCCTGGAGCTGCCACATCTCGCCGGGCCGCTCAGCATGGGCCCTTGCTGCCATTGGCCGCCGAGAAGACGACCTCTCCTCACGCTGTGCGGCTGCAAGTGCCAGCTGCCCATTGACCCGTGAGCGAGCTGGCCGCCAGGACATCCTACAGTACGCCGACATGTCTCGCCTGCTGCAGGGGCCGTTCCGAGCTGCACGCAAGCCACGATTGGCGATGCCGCGGGCATTTCCACTTGGTTGGACCTTGGCACCGCCTGCGCCTTGTTGCCCAGGCGATGAGCCCTCGAGTGCGGGCCCGGCTTCATCGGTGATGCTCGAGCTCTCCCAGCTCAGCACGTGACCAGTCCCGCGCCTCCTCCTCCGCGCCCCGCTGTTGCGCCCTCTGACGGCTTCTGGTTGGCCCGCAGTCCCGCCACTAACTGTTTACCCCTCCAGCAGCCTTCAAAATGAGATCAACGCTCCTGCGACCCCTCTTCCCCCGCCATACCCTTCTCTGCTCCCACGCAACGAGATCTTTTCCGCTCTTTCAACACGCACCCGCCTCCATCCCATTCCGAGCCGCCCGCCTCTTCTCAGCTTCCGCAATCATGTCCAGCAAAGTGTGAGTTGTTGCAATTCCCCTGCTCGTCTTCCGTCCGACAAGCTCTCCGTCGCTAACTCCAGTTAATAGCTTCTTCGAGGTCGAGTGGGAGGGCCCTTCCATTGTGAACGGCAAGCCTACCGGCCCCGTGCAAGGTGAGCCCTGAAGACCACTCCCGTCGACATGTCGGCTTGTACATCCATGTCTGCCATTGGTGTCGTTGACCTCCAACGTACACTACAATCATACCCTTCTCGATTGTCCCCATCGAGTGCTTGGATGATGATGCCGCCCGCCACCCTCCTTGCGCAAAAAGCCCCGCCCCCGCCCCCGCCCTTTCCAAGCCTGCCGTACTGACGAGCCGTGCAAACAGTCCAGAAACGCCGCATCAACTTCAACCTATATGACGACGTTGTTCCCAAGACTGCTGCCAACTTCAAGGCCCTCTGCACTGGCGAGAAGGGCTTCGGCTACAAGGGCTCCTCCTTCCACCGCATCATCCCGGAGTTTATGCTTCAGGGTGGCGACTTCACCCGCGGTAACGTATGTACCGTCAACTTGACGTAGCTGGTACCACTGCTCACCCGTCTCTAGGGCACCGGTGGCAAGTCCATCTACGGCGAGAAATTTGCCGACGAGAACTTCAAGCTGAACCACGAGCGCCCCGGCCTGCTGTCCATGGCCAACGCCGGTCCCAACACGTAAGCGCTTCTGCGGGTGGGACGTGTTCACATCTCAACCACTAACCTGTCATCAAATAGCAACGGCTCGCAGTTCTTCGTCACCACCGTCGTCACGTCGTGGCTTAACGGGCGCCACGTCGTCTTCGGCGAGGTTGCTGACGACGAATCGATGGACGTCGTCAGGGCTCTTGAGGCCACTGGCTCCAGCAGCGGCTCAATCAAGTTCAACAAGAAGGCGACGATTGTCGACTGTGGTACCCAGTAAGCTACGCGGCGTCTGTATTTCGGGTTTGAACGGGGAAAATTTGGACTCCCACTCCGCGAGGACTATGTCCACAGTTTGGTTCGAGACGTACTAGATAGCTAGGCAGTTCACTCTCCAACAACCAGTGTCTCCATGATGCCTTGTGATGACCCGTGTGACTAGATGTAGAGAAAGCTGTCTAGCGTAGGGACTACCAACATGTTCCCAATGTGATACGAGACGAGCCCCAGACAGGCTTGCCAATGACCCCTGCACACCATGCAACTGTCCACATCTATCAAAATTCATGTCCGTGCGCTGCCAAACTCCTGGACCGATGCAAAAGACTATGGTATCACAAGATTAAACCCCTGCGGCTTTGACGTGGCAATTCAACTGCCCTGGCCGATTCTCACCGGCCGCCCGGCCGTCCTCGCAGCCCCTTCCCCTAAAGAGACTACCAGAGCAGAGACACAACTCACTCAAGCTTCCAGCCACCGTCTAAAGTACTCGCAGTTGCTCGGGCCAACCGGGCCGCCCTCCTCGCAGAGGTCAAAGACGGGGCAGCCACCGCAGGGCGCCTCGGTCAGGGGGCTGATGTATTGCTCGGGTCCGCCGCCCCGGCCCGTGGGGTCGTCGCGGCCGGCCCAGCTCTCGGTGGACTGCTTGGCGATGCGGGCGACGCGGTAGCTGAGCCTGCCGGCCACCTTGACGGGCTCGACGAGGTTATCCCAGACGAGCACGTCGACGAGCTTCTTGACGTCGTCTTCGGACAGGATGGTGTTGTTGGTGATGCCGCTCGACGACAGGAGGCGGGCAATGTCGCGCACGGTCGGGTACCCCGTGTACCCGGCCGGCAGCGGGAGGAGCGCGGCCTCCCGCCTGGGAGCCGGGGTGGCCGAGGCGGAGGCGCGGGCGGCCTTGGGGGGCGCCGGTTTGTTCATCTCGTCGGCGCTGCGCTTCGTGCCCTTGTCGAGGGAGCCCTTGACGACGCCCTTTTTGGGGGCCTGTGTCCTGGCAGCACCCCCGGCGGCGCCGGCTCCCCCGTGCGTACTCAGGTACCCGCTCTGCCTCTTGATAAAGTCAAAGACGACGCGCTGCAGCTCCTCGATGAAGGCCTCGTCGAGGTTCTGGTCCGTGTACCAGGGCCCGCCGGTGGCGCGGTCGCTGGGCCGGATCGAGGCCTTGATGTACATCTTCTTGTTTGGGTGCTCGACGTTTTTGAAGGGGGCGATGAGGCCTTTAGCCTGGAGCTGCTTGAGGGCGTTTTTGAGGACCGAGTCGTGCATGTTGAGTCGCTTCTGGAGCGTCTGGCTCCAGATGCCGTCGCCGCCCGAGTCGTCGATCAGCGAGTACACCATGCCCTGTTCGTCGGTCGCGCATTGCTTGTATCTGGGGACGCGTTAGCCCTGGGCCTTTTGTTTCCTGGCTCGCCCACCCGTCACGGTTCTATTCCCGACGCCGTGTCTGCCGACCGGATCTGGGAGAGTAGAGGTGAAAAGAGCAAGGGCAATAGACGCCGGAGCCTTCAACGATCGGACCAAACTTACTTGTGAGCCTCCTGCGCATCGCGCCACTTCCACAGCACCTGGCCCGAGGCCTCGCGCATCGTGATGAAGAGCTTATCATCGCTGAGCGACTGCACCACGCGCGCCAGCAGCAGCAAGTCGCGGTTCGGAATGACATCGAGTCGCATCAAGTCGTCTTGCGAGAATAGGTCGTTGCCCGGCCACGCCTCTTTGCACCGCTCGTACAGCGCCTCCTTCCACACCGCCAGCTTGGCCGCCTCCGATTCGCCCTCTGCCGCGGGCGCGGGTCCCCCCGCTGGCGTAGCCATGATGGCTGACACCTGATCTCCCTCCAGGATTCTCTCACACAAACGCCCTAGGCAGGATGTGGTAGCTGCAGGTGTTCGGAAAGGGTTCCGGCTCTAGCGACGGGTTTGTCGATAAACACTCGAACGACGACGGTGCGTGGAGCTGGCCTATTTCTCAGAATATATTCTCAAATGATGTGCTTTAAGGCTTGAGGGTCATCAAATGCATCGAGCCAGAATTGAAAGTGAGGTCCGACTCTTCTTCAAAAATATGTCTTCTTGCGTAGAGGTCGGTGACGAGGCTATCCTGTACTGCCAAATCGTAAGTCGGTGAGCTTTGGGCCCCACTACGGCCTAAATAAATTTACTGATAAGATAGAGGGGCAAGTCTCGCGCTTCGGATGAAATTCGGCCTGGGCACCCAAGCATCATCCAACAATAGCACAATTGGTGAAGTGAATGATTTCAACTCTGCAAAAACAAGAATCGGGCGATGTTTGTAGAACAACGCGCCGTGCCGAGGCAGTCGGACACAGGGGGTGAGGCCAGGAAACGCCCCTCGTCAGCCAAGCCTCCCCGCGATCCCATGCCTCCTCGGATATCAAGTCGCTATCCAGTACGCCTAGAACGCCTCCACTGGCCAATTCTTTCCGTGTGTAGTAGAACAAACAAGATGCTTGGTCTGGCAGCCTCCACAAGAAGCCCGCGCGCTGACAATAGACAAACGACGCGGTCGTGTCTAGTTGCAGGCCAATGCTGGTCAGCGAGCTGGACTCGGCTCCTTCTCGTCCTTGGTCTTGTCCTTCTCGTCAACCTCCATAGCCTCAGTGACCGGAGCTTCGTCCGCTTTGGCTTCAGGGGCCTCAGCCGGTTTCTCAGGCTCGGCTTCGGCAGGCTTCGGCTCAGGCGCCGGCGTTTTCTCAGCAGCCGGCTCGGGAGGCTCCTGCCCGGCCGGCTCTTCCGCCACGGGCTTCTCGGCAGGTCTGGGCTCTGATGCAGTCTCGGGCTCGACTTCTTCCTTCTTGATGGGGGCTTCCTCGACAGGGGCAGAGTCGGTCATGCCCACATCGCCATCCTCGTCAACCTGTTGCTTCTCTGGCTGTGGAAGCTCCTCGTCCCTGGCAAACTCTTTGTCGGCTTCTTGCATCGCGCCAATATCCTCAATGGTATCGTCGTTCACATCATGCGTGTCTTCGTCGGCCTGCTCCTTGCCGTTGTCGTTGCTCTTGCCGTCGCGAGGCGTCGCGTTATCGCTCTCTACATCGGTTTCTCCCTTACGGAAATCGGTAAAGGTTCGCTTGTTGGCTTTTAGACGCGTTGCTCCATTTGCGCGGCTCATGTCTTCGTCGTCGCTGGCCTCGAACTCGGCGTCGTTTTGTACATGTTTGTCCCAGCGATGTTCAGTCATCCGAGTATCCTTATTCTCGTCTTCGTCAAGATCGTCCAGTTCGGCCTCTTCCTCGTCGGTCATGCCACCAAATGGTTTCCGCGGCACGTCTTGCATCTGAACCGAGGGGGCTGGCCCCGTCTGGCGGAGGTTGTCGACAACGGCGGCAGTGATCTTCTCGAGATACTCCCTGCTGTTTGAGTTTTCCATGTTGGACGACCGGACGTTGAGCTCAAAGTCGGGCGCATAATACTAGACTCTGTCAGCACGGCAGTCAAACTTGTCGGGGAGTGTCGCGGAACTCACTTCGTAATACTCGTTGTAAGGGAGAGACCGTTCCATGTCCTGGCCGACGAGGACACCGGTCTCGAACGCCCAGGTGCGGGCGACATTTCTCATGGTGTAGCCGCCGCCGCCGAGGACCAAGGTAGGGAGGCCGAAGCTTTTGACATAGTTGACGCAGTTGGCATGGCCATCCATGCTGAGGTTGAAGCAACCTAGGCGGTCGCCAGACAGACTGTCTCCTCCGCATTGTAGCACTACAGCCTCCGGCTGGTAGTACTTCATGACGTTCTCGATGACGGGCTCAAAGATGGACTTGTAGGAATCGTCCGTAATGCCGTCCCTGAGGGGAAAGTTGACGGAGTAGTGCTTGCCCTGGCCGATGCCAACGTCCCTAAGTTCGCCGGTCCCAGGAAAGTACTCGCCGTACTTGTGAAACGAGACCGTCATGACGCGGTCGGTGGTGTAGAAGGCCTCTTCAACGCCGTCACCGTGATGAACGTCGATGTCGATATAGAGGACACGCTTCATGAATCGAAGAAGCTCGAGGATGCCCAGAACGATGTCTACCGGGGTGGTTAGCAGGCCAATTTCGCGGCAGGACCAACGAAAGGCTCACCGTTCACGTAGCAGAAACCACTTGCTTCACATTTCTTGGCGTGATGAAGTCCGCCGGCCCAGTTGACGGCAATGTCGCACTTCTGTCGATTTAGGCGGGCGGCGCCCTCCATGCTGCCGCCAGCGCTGATGCCGCAAAATTCAAAGAGGCCGTCAAAGACGGGACAGTCGTCGCCGACGTTGTACTTGCCCTGCTCCCGCATATAGCCGTCCATGTTGTCGGGCGTCACTTTTTGGAGAAAGTCGATGTAGTCGTCTGTGTGGAATTGGGTCATTTCTCCACGGGTCGCTGGCTTGGCGCGCTGTCGGCCAGTTAGTTGCGCCCGAGGGCGCGCGAGGCCGGTGCGCATCGTGAGGGAATAGACGCACGTAGATTTCCATTTTCTGGTAGAGGTTGTACTGCATGATCAAGCTGTGCGCCAGGCGGATGCGGTGAGGCTTCATGGGATGGCCGGTGACATAGGCGTAGTTGCCAATATCGGAATCGTAAAAGTAGGCCACCTTCTTGGGCGACGTGCCATTGAGGGCCACGGAGCCCAGCTGGGCCATGTTGGAGTCGCCCATGGCTGCTGAACCTGGGCTGTAGGCTGAATCAAGCTGGGCTGGTGGGCGAGGCGGAGGTCGAACTGCGACGTCGATAGCTGAGGACCGATGATTCCCTTTTGAAGGAGAGATTGAGGCTCAAAGGAGCGGTCGCATCGTGGAGTCGACAGAGGGGCGGAAGAGTTTCTAAGAGCGCGGGCGGCGAGGCAGCACGAAAGGCGGCGCGACACGGCTTCACAAAGAAAGATGGCGGACTAAAGTTGGAGCGGCAAGGCTGCGGCCAAACCGTCAGCCACAAAGGATCCGATTGGCGCGCTGCTTCAGACCAGCCACAGCACTGGCCTGAAGCGGCGGAAGGCAGAGAGCACACACGTGACATTTACTTACCTCCCTTGCGGTACGGGATACGTACAAGGTACAAGCCAGGCTCCCGGACTGGCGTCAACCATCGAAAGAAGCTCCTCAGTTGCTTCCGGCCGAACCAATCCACGACTTGAGCACCCATAGCACCGCCAACAACAGCAAGCTGACACAGGAAATCTCTCTCCTGTACAGCCGTCTTCAAGCATAAAGCAGACCGCTCACAGGCCAGCACGATGGAGCGGTTCAGGAGCTTGTTGGGCGGCAGCGGGATGAGCCTGGGAGGAGCTGCTCATGGCACGGTAAGCTTCGCGTCGCCCTCGCACTACCTTTGAGCTTCGCCTCTGACGTCTCGTAGGACAACACCAACCTCATCGATAACTCCGAGACGGTTTACATCTCCTCGCTGGCCCTCCTGAAGATGCTGCGTCATGGCCGAGCCGGCGTTCCCATGGAAGTCATGGGCCTGATGCTGGGCGAGTTTGTCGACGACTTTACCGTCAAGGTCATGGATGTCTTCGCCATGCCTCAAAGCGGAACCGGCGTCAGCGTCGAGGCTGTCGACCCTGTCTTCCAGACCAAGATGATGGACATGCTGCGGCAAACGGGAAGGTAGGTACTCGTTGACCAGTCTCAATCAGAGTCCGCGGCTGACGGTGCGTGTTCTTGCAGGCCAGAATCCGTCGTGGGCTGGTATCATTCGCATCCGGGCTTCGGCTGCTGGCTGTCTTCGGTCGATATAAACACCCAGCAGTCTTTTGAGCAGCTCAACCCTCGCGCCGTGGCCGTCGTGGTCGATCCCATCCAGTCCGTCAAGGGCAAGGTCGTCATCGACGCCTTCCGACTCATCAACCCTCAGCTCTTGATGATGGGTCAAGAGCCCCGTCAGAGCACGAGCAACCTGGGCCACCTGAACAAGCCGTCGATCCAAGCTCTGATCCACGGCCTCAACCGCCACTACTACTCGATCGGCATCAACTACCGCAAAACTGCGCTCGAGGAGAATATGCTCATGAACCTCCACAAGCACGTTTGGACCGAAGCGCTGCAGATGGACGACTTCCGATCCGAGGGCGATAAGAACAAGGAGCGGCTGCAGCGACTGGTCAGCCTTGCCGATGGGTACGAAAAGCGTGTCAAGGAAGAGACGGAGCTCACAAAGGAACAACTCAAAACCCGCTACGTGGGCAAGTTGGACCCCAAGAAGCACCTCGAGGACGTGGGCCAGGAACTCATCGAGGACAACATCGTTTCCGTCTCGAGGCAAATGATCGACAAGGAGGCCACAATGCCCAAGAAAGAGGGCCCATCAGGCGCCGGCGGGACCTCCCATGGCGATCAAATGGACACGGAATAGAAGTCGTTTGAAAGTCGCTTAGCACGCGGTTTCCCTGGGTATTGGGGCTTTGCACTGTAAGGTTACTAGGCGTTAGAATCGGTCGGGATGAGACGACTTGCGAACTCGGTCTTGTACAGCGCGATCCTTGTACCCTGGTTGGCTGCGTCGACGATGCGCGCCCGTTGCCCGTTGCCCCTTGTTCCGGTTCCAGTCTGTTGAAGCCCCTCCTTGTTGAGCGCGGACCGTCCACGAGCCATTCAAAGGGCGTTTTCCTGCAGAAAGCTGGCACGCTGGGAAGAAAGGCCTTGGGCAGTCTCGTTTGTCTGAATATCACAACTGAACAGTGGACCGGATACCGGCTTGAAGGGCAAGCAGGCTGTTCAGACGACTGCCCCTTAAATATGCACCGACCAGGTCGCATTTCTCCATCGTTTTCTTCTTCAACACCACAGCCGCACTGAATTCATCCTTGATTCGCTGTCCCCGACTTTACTTGGTGCCGTTCACGCCTCTAGAGAATCCATACTTCCCCCCCCCGTGTTATACACAACCGGTCGACGTCGGACCGGGGTGTCGACATTCAGCCTCTTCCTTTTCCCCCCAATAACCCGAGGAGCCAACGTTGCACTGACTCAGAAGCCCGATGCAGTTCCGCAAGTGGTTCCGGGCGACGTTCAAGCTGCCCTGCGTGCCGACGCAGCATGCCGCCAAGGGGCCAGCCCGGGATGCTGGACGGCACGAGGGCGCACAGGCTGTGTGGCGACCGGCCACGCCGCCGCTGGCTCCGCGGATTGCGATGAACTTTGGGGACGACGATGGCGGATTGGACATTTGGTCCGGTCTGATCAACGGGGCGTGCCGCGATGGCTCTCCGCCAAGGCGTCGCGGGGGTTGTGGCGCTGGCCCGGTCTCGTCAGGGGCGGGAGCAGCGTCGACTCGTGTCCCGGCAGTGCAGACAAATTCTCCAGACGAGACATTGCCCGCTTGCTCGAGGATCTTGCCGCCGAGGACTGGGCCGTGTGCTGACACGGAGTCTCGTCGGGGATCCGGCATGTCGTCCCCGGCTCAGCAAGAATCCCTTGCGAGACGCCGGTCTTCGAGGCGTGTTCGTTTTGCGCCCAGCGACGCTGGTCCATATGGACCCGGTGGGAGACCTGGGCCTTCTGTTGGAGCGCTCGCGACGCCGGCTTGGCGAAGACTCCAGCCCAACAGGCCCCTGGCGCGAGCATCGGGCAGTGGCGGCATCAGGCTGCCGCCGACCATCTACGAAGTTCCCTCGGCACAGCCGTCGTCGTTGGCTTGCCATGGCAACATTTCCAGACCCTTTATCGAGACGAGTCCCGTGGCATGGCCAACACGACAAGCGGCCGCTCCCAAGCCAGCACCGCGCCCACAAAGCCGCACGGCGGCCAGAGCACAGTGGCAGCAGCAGCAGCAGCATGCCCACGACGGCGGGCACTCGAGCACTCCCCGTCCAGCCGACAAGTGCGAAGAGCCCCCCCTGGGCGAGATGAGCCGCGAGAGCGTCTTCGCCATCGTCAACGCCGTCGGCAAGCTGATCCCGCACCTCCCCTTTGCCGTCTGCGGCCACGCCGCCATGGTCTACTACGGCCACCCAGCCCACCGGCCCAGCCACGTCAGCATCGTGTGCCCAGAGCGCGCCGCCGCCATCCTCGTCGGCTGGGCGCGCGCGAGCGGGCTGAGGCTGTCGACGCACTTTCCGCAGGCCTTTTACGTGGCCACGACGGCTCGCCGCGACGATGACGCCGAGACCACCGCGGGAGTCGGGTGCGTCCGCGTCCTGTCCTGCCGCGACTTCGACAGGCTGGGCCGCATCAGGAGGGGCCCGTCGTCGACGCCTGTCCTGACTTTGCCGTGCATCGCGGACCGCATGGCTGGCCGGTTATACGCCGCTCCAGGGGCGGGCGATGCCGCGCAGCGTGCTGCCGACATCGTCTGGTTGCTGGGAAGGATCGTCGAGGACGGTGGCGAAGAACAGCTCCTCACGCTCGACAAGGCCCCCGTGTTTGGCCACGCGGCCTTTCTCGCGCCCTTTGCCCGCCAGCACCCGGAAGCCGTCGCTCTGATGCGCGAGGCGGGGCTCAAGGTCGGCTTGCTGCCGGGCATCCAGACGCGCGAGCATGCTCCACCCGCGGCCCGTGAGCCCGAGACCAGCAGCCTCCCTACACCGCGGGATAGAGCGGAGCAGCACACCGGCAAGTCCAATACCTCCGGACCGGTTCGGGAGCCACTAAGGCTCCAACACACCGCAAGGCAGCCTCGCCTCCAGACCGCCACACCCTCTCAACACATCCAGCAGCAGCAGCAGCAGGAGCAACAGCCCAGCGGCGGTGCTCCCGCCAAGCCAGCCACATCCAAGATCCATCGCTGCGCAGCCAGGCCACAGCAGCAGCCACCCATCCCGCCGCGTCTCTCCAGCGTCACAGCATCCAGCCGGGGGGATGCTCGCCATGTGCGGCGCAAGACGCAGACTCGTTCTTAATAGCGGTCGCATGCGCAGCCTCTGCGCCGGAGGCGTCGATGAACTCAAGGTTCGAGGCTGGATAGGTGCAGCCGGCAGGGGTCGGTCCATGGCTGTTGCGCAGTCATAGGAGAAAAGGAGAGGCGGTAGGCATGACATGGTGTAGCTGGAGATGAGAGGGGTATGGTTTATGTTGGATATCCGATATACGTCAACAGCAGCGTTGTCATAGCTAGCACGCGTGACAGGTGGGCGATTCAGCGGTCAAATTCACCTCAGTGCCAGCTCATTTCTGGGCTACAATATCGGAAGGCCTACCGCAAAGTCATCTTTGTCCGCGTCCACAACAAGCAATAGACGATTCCCTCGTGATACGAGGAGGCGACGAGCAGCAGGCAGTAAAGGCATCTCATTTATCTTCATTGCTGTCGAGCGCTGGTGTGAATAGTTCAAATGCTCACAAACTCCACGCGAATACATATGATTATCCTCTGAAAACGGTTCCGACATGAAATAGAACCAAGTGTCTCCCATCCTGACTCCTCTTCGCGGCAAGAGCAGGTATCGGGGAGTATAGGTGGAGACATGTAAATTTCCCCTAACCTGTTCCTCCCCCCCCGTGTTTGCTACCCGGTACTCCAAACGCCTCATCATGATGGCTCAACAGCCTCACGGCCGGGGCTGCGTCAACCCAATTTCCTCTCGGACACCCGCAGCATGAACATGACCCCTTGGCAAAATTTTGCGGTGTTATCGGGGAGCGCGCCATCCCTAATATGGGGTTTCGCAGCGACAAAAGCGTCTCATTCACCCTTTTGCCCCCGTTGCGACATGAGTGTCGCGGCTGCAAACCCGTCAGGGAAATCATCGTGGCGGCGCCTTTGAGGTCCGATTCTTGAGGCTCACCGGTCTCCTATGCCCCCATGGCAGGAATCTTCTTGCCCCGCTTGCCCAGCAATGTCGCATTGTCGAGGTTCAGCTCGAACGGCCCCTTCTGCCGGTTCCGGTCCCTAACCTGCTGCCGCGCCGCGGCCGTCACCGCGGGAGAGTGTTGCCCGTAGCCCTTGTCGCCAACACGCTGTGCCTCTCGAGGCACCGCGGTAACTGCCTGATCACGGATGTTGGTCTTGCGCATGCTCTGTTCCAAGGACTGGGTGACGGTATTCTGCTTTGCCCCGGCGCCTTGATCAATCTGCATCCGATCCTCGTCCTCTTCCTCTTCGTCAAGGCCAGCGAGAGGCTTACCGGCCCCAGCCCTGGTGCCCATCTGCTGTCGCATCTTGCCTTCTTCTTCTTGGCGATGGACAGCGTAGCTGACGTCAAAGACCTCGCGGAGGTTGACGGCACCCGGTGAACGGAAGTCGTAACGCTTGCCGGGCTCCTGGAACCTGGCCATATCCTTGGCTCGGAGCATATCCGGTTTCCTCTTCTCCTCGCGAGGGGTGGGCCCACTGGCCCGAATCCAGGGGTGGGCGAGGAACTCTTTGATGGTGTATCGCTTCTCAGGATCGACGGTCAAGAGATGCGTAATAAGGTCCTTGGCCGATTCCGAGATATCGTCCCACCAAGGCGATAGAAAGGTGTACTGCCCCTTGGCGACCTTTTCGGTAAGCACCTCGATGCTCTCGTCATAGAAGGGCGGAAAGCCGCAGAGTAGAGTATACAGGACGCAGCCCAGAGCCCACATGTCGACAGACTTGGAGTAACGCTCGTCCTTGACGATCTCGGGAGCGGTGTAGCCGACAGTACCACAAGGTGTCATGGTTGAGCTCTCCCAGACAATTTTGGAGAGGCCAAAGTCGGCAATCTTGATCTCTCCGATGCCGCCGGCGCCTTGGCCTTGAATGAAGTCGCCCTCATCGACTTTGTCCTCGTCACCGGGTTGCTTCGGCTTCGGGTGTTTTGAAGGGACAAATGGTATGGGGTTGAAGAGGATATTCTCAGGTTTGATGTCGCTAAGCTGGGTGTCAGCTGTGTTCAACCGATCCGAAGAGGGGTGACGTCAGGCACCAAGGGGGAGAGGGGTAATGAGGCAATTCCTTGTGCCAGCCATCGTGACATCAGCTACGCCCAGAATAGCACTTACCGATGAACTACACCCTTTTCCTCGTGCAGGTATTCTAGGGCCTTGGCTACGCGGACAATAACGTGCCGTGACAGCTCCTCGCTGAAGTAGGTCAGGCGCACAATCTGATGGAACAGCTCGCCGCCCGGCGCGAGCTCGAGCACAATGTAGTAGTACTGCTTCGACTCGGAAAACTCGATGAGCTTGACGATGTTAGGGTGGTCGAGTTGCCGCATAATCTGAACCTCTTTGAGGATGTTGGACCTCTGCGACGCCAGTCAGCATGGCCGTCATACGCGAGGCCAGCAGCGACTACGCCCGCCATTGCACAATGCGACAGAAAGAGCAGCAACAAGTCAACGCCCACGGGAGTGAGTAGACGCAAAAAAAAGTTCTCTCGCACCTCTGCAGCTTTGGGAATTCCCTTGAAGTCCGGATGTAGATGCTGGTTTCCCTATTAAAGGGGGTGAGCCCCCCGAGGTTGAAAGGAACGACACGGCAAAGCCTGTGAAGCAGGGTGGCACAGAAAGGGCCGCGCTCAGAGGGATGGGAAGCAGTCAAGGTCGACGGGATGGGATGGGACAGGAAGGAACATGCAAAAGGACAGCAACAAGCAAGCATGTTGGACAATGAGAGATGAAGAAAAAGGACCGGGCAGACGAATCCGAGCCCAGAAACACTCACCTGCATGTTGTTCATTTCGTACTTGCGGACGACTTTGATGGCGACCTGGCCGTGGTCGCCTTGCAAGTCACGGGCGCGATAGACGTTGCTGAACGCGCCGTCGCCCATCTTCTCGAGCAGCTCCCACCTCTCCAAGCCCAGGTAGCGGGGAAACTTTGTCCTGCTGGCGTTCTCCTCGGCGACGAGCTGCTTAAGCTCGGCCTCGTCAACGCGCTTGGACTTGGAGGCGCCCTTGGCCTGGAGGTTCTGGGCGGGCTCGATGTGGTGGGCGGCGGCGTGACCAGCCTGGGCAACGCGATGCATGCCTTCGCCCGGGGCCTCCGAGTAGGCATCGGGAATCTCCTTGCGCGGCGGCGGTTGGGCAAAGACGGGCTCCGAGGCGAGCATGGTCTTGTCTGGAACGGGCTGTGGTGCTTGAGGAGGCGACGAGCCGGTCTTGCGCGGGGGCTCTTCGTTCAGTGTTGTTGCTCGCGCTTGCTTCCCTGGAGAAGAGGGCGAGTCAGAGGCTGGACAGAAGGACACGTGCAGACACGTACCATGGCGGATAAAGTTTTTGAGCTGTTGTATGGTTGACATGTTGCGGGGGGTTACGGCGAAGAACGACGATTGCGCATCAACTGCGTAGCGTGTGGGAGGGAGACAGGTAGGCTCCTCAATGGTCGATCGATATCAGTCGGTCGATGGCAGCACCTTCCAGATCAAACTTCCGAGGAAAGAAGGAAAGAAAAAAAAAGAAGAATAGACGCCGAGAATCAGAGAGGGAGGAGGGGGGCCAATACTTGGGTGCGGTCGTACAGCAAAAGGACGAGAGCCAAGGTGGATGAGAGAAGTTGAGGGGTTTAAATCGGGGCTACGCTAGGCCCAGCCGTGGCACAAAAACGTCACAAATGAGGAGCGATGGGCGGGAGGCAAAGTCCAGGGGGGCGGGTGAACGGGAGACAGGGTAGGTGGGTAGCAAGACGTTTGGTTCGGCGGCGCGTCGAGGCGTAAGGCGAGACTCTGGCGTGGAGATAGATGGTGACTCGGTGGACGGGCACAGACGAAGAGGCAGAACAGAGGCGATGCGTACGATGGAGATTTAAAAATTGAGGCTATGCGTCAGAGCAGAGGCGTGAGCGGGCAGGTGATTGACTGATTGGTCATTCGAGCAGGTACTCTGGGGGTTGGCTTCCGCCTTAGCTAAGCTTCGATGGGACTTGGAGGTACCTCGGCAGCTTGGGTGTCCAGGGGCACTGCGGAGGGGAAGAAGCACGGCCTGCGGCGGCGGCCGTCGTCTTGGGGCGAGTGATGGCTGGCTGCCCGCGTGCACATCGCCGTCATTGTTACCCCAGGCTACGGGCCTTGTGGTGGAAGCGAGTCCATGATAGGCCCATCACGTTTGCAAAGGCTTTGATCCAGGAGCCTCTCGAGGCGCACAGGCAGGCAGTACTCCAAGGTACCGGCGTCACCGACAGCTTGTACATACCTTCCTTACCTAAGGCAAGGAGGCACTTAGGGGAATACCTCGGATGACGTGAGTTCTCTGCAGGCTAAGACGATGGGGCTCCTCTTCCCCGTACCGATGACCACACCTTGTCGTCTGCTGCCGAGTACCTGCGGAGTACTATTCACCGGCCGACACAAAACCAGAATCTGAGTCGATGGCGGCGGGCGATGTCTGGCAGCGTCGGTCCGTCGATGGGCGAGTGCGAGTACGTAGTACCTTGCGTTAGTAGCAGGTACAGTACCTAGGTAGGTAGCTACCTAAGGTAGGTAGGTACTGTAATTATCTTGGCTGTACTGTAGGAAGTGGCCAGCGATACCCCGGGAATGACGCTACACGTTACGTCATGGCGTGTGTCCCCAGGGCATGGGCAATGGTGCCAAGCAGAGTTTGTGCTTAAGAAAGGCACTCTGTCCACCCACTTCACACCTGCAACTTTGAGTGGGTTTCGTCGCGCGGTACATGGAGCTTATTCTGAGCACCTCTTTCACTCTGTCATTCTACAGTACCGTACATGGTCAAGGACCCAAGAGCATCATCTCGAGGGCAGCATCTCGAGGGCGAGAGACACTTGGCCCGCCACTCCAGAGCAACTGCGCTGACGACAAGTCTTAATTAGTCAGAGACCGCCCAGAGGCCATTTCTAGACAGGCGGGCTTCTCCGAGCAGAGAGACAGAACGGTTGGCTTGATCGCCTGAACCGGTCTCGTCGCGACCACGAGCGCAGCCAATCATGCCGCTCCCTGAGGCTGGTGTTAAAAAGTGGCCGTCATGATTCACGTCGAGGCGAGACGCGGAGAATCCCCCGCATCCAATCCTGGCTCTCGTTTTGAAACACTGGCGCTTGCTCGTTTCATTTGTTTGAGCAGCACAAGGGCTGCGGCTTCTCGGGCCACATCATCAGCAGTTTACTATGGCTGCTGGTAGGCACAGCATCAAGGCTATCCAACGTGCTTACGAGGACCGGCGCCGCCGAGCCGCCCCAAGCGCGCCCGCTCGAACAATAAACAAGGCCCAGAGTTGACTGGTCCCATTTGTCAGCTCAGCTCATCGTCACGGGTCAAGACTGTTGTTGTACTATAGGCATGGAGGGAGGCAAAGCACGTGCTTGTTTCTCACTTGCATCTCGGAAGCGGGACCAATATTCTAAATAGGTAGTAAATACATATGTACATAATATGGTAATTACACACTGCCTGGAAGCATTCGAGGCCTTACCCCTGTCCGCCCCCCTGTTGCCGAACAGTCGAGACCGGGAGACTTGTCATGGCTCTGAACCCGCGAGGGTGTCATCTGCGTGATTTCCATGATCTGACGGTATCGTTAATATCGGCCTGGGAACTCGGCCATCACCGCCCCTCGCCGCCTCGTTGCATTCTCCAACCCAGGCCAAGGGGGTGCCAAGACGGATTGATTCTTGACCGCAGTTCGTGCCTACAGTATCTACAGTACAACAAAGCACATCCATGGCCGCATCCATCCTTGCTGAGGCGCTGCAGCTTCCCCCGTGGTTCCTTGGAAGCCTCCGTCCAGCATTCGTCCAGCATCCGTCCAGCATCCGGCCAAACGGTCCTCTCTGCGAATGACGTGTGTCCCGGCTTCGTGCGTGATGCCTGCTTTTGTTAGTCCATCACTTCCGTCGTGATGTCATCTCGGGCCCACGCTGATGCTCTGTTGCGTTGACCAAGAACCAAGGTTTTCCCCCCTCACGTCCACTACTGGACATTATGTTGAGGCTCCGATCGTGTACTGGAGAACATGGAGAATCAATGGTTGCAAGATGTCTCGTTGGTCATTTGCCACTCCCGCCCCCTTTCCACATCACGCGTGCCTTTCCAGCCACTTGAACTCTGCACTGCACAGACTGCATGACGACCCATCGCCTCATCCACATCCATCTCAGCGTCTGTTGCCACCCGCACGTGCGCCGCGGCTCCATCCTCCCCGCGAGGTGTCTCGGCTATTACCTAGCTCACCACCCTTTCACGGACCAAGCTGGGGAGAGGTGCTTTGCGGAGGAATCGCTCCGTGCCCTTTCTGTGCACTGCCCAAGGCAAGATGGTGATCTACGTGCATTGTCTGTCGCCACGACGATGACTTGATTGATGATGAGAGTTGGAGCCGACCGCGTCTCCCGACCGCCCCTATTCACCATTACAGTAATTACTTCTCTCTTGTCCTCACAGCTTGTAGAGCCTCCCTTGCGCGCCTTGCCTCGCCGTCTCGGCCGCCAGCCTCCTGTTCTTGCGTCCGTAAAATAGCCGGAGCCCTAGCGATAGGACGACGACGAGCAACATGAAGCCCGCGTTGGTCCAGTGTCCCGTCGGGTACCCCCTGCCCGCCTCGCTCGACTTGTATATCCAGACGCCGGGGATCTGGCCCAAGCCGCCGCCGATGCTCACGTTGATGGCAATGGCCAGGCCCGTCGACGCGGTGCTGAACATGTTGGACGACAGCCAGCCGAGCAGCGGCGGGATGCAGGCAAAGGCCCCCGATGTGGCCACGACCAGCCCGCCGTAGCGCGATGCGTATGCCGTCGGCGGCAGGGCGGCGGAGACGACGAAGCCCGTGGCCCCGACCAGTGCGGCGCCGGCCGTGTGGGTGCCCCGGGCGTTGAAGTGGTCGGCCGAGTATGCCACGGCGATTTGGCACACTGCCTCGCGCAGCTGGACGTCAGCATCTCGCTCCTCTTTTATAAGCCCCCGTATCCTCTTCCTCTCTGTGCCCGATGCAGACGTGGATGATATACATGAACCCCCTTCACAGAGGCTGGACATCCAAGATCCAACAGCTTTCAACGACGGCACTCACCATACGCAGCCGCCCAGGGGGGCACCGTCATGAGCTGCGCCATGAGATCCCGATACCCCAGCCCTGCGACAATGGACGGCGCAAACAGGCTCAGGCTGGCAAAGCTGGGGCTGATGGCAAAGTAGAGGGCGTAATGCGCGTACAGGCGCCAGTCGGTCAGCGTCGCTTTGGCATCGGTCCAGCTCATGGTCGGGTGGTGGCCCTTGCTACCCTCGTGCAGCAGACGACGGGCGACCAACGTCTTTTCGGGCCCGGACAGCCAGTTTGCGTCCTCGGGGTAGTCTGGGAGGAAGAGGAGGACGAAGAGGGCCGAAAGGCAGGACGGGATGCCTTCGAGAATGAACAGCCAGCGCCAGCCGGCGAGGCCTGATGCGCCGTTCATGTGTCCGATGCCGTATGCGATGGCGCCGCCAAACTGTTCAAGTCGTGAGAAACAGGCCTTGTCTCTCGTTTGTCCACGCTCTGTGCCCCTCGCACGTCACGCTCTCCTCGACATGGTTTGAAGTAAAAGTGTCTTCTTACAGCGCCGGCCAACGTCGCGGATGCCAGGACGAATGCAACTCTTTATCAGGGCATCCCCTCCCCTTGTTTAGCAACGCAAATCAAGCGAACGCATAACAAAAGGGGCTGTTGAGGCTCACCGAACACTGCGCTCGTCGTGCTTATACCAAAAGGTCAGGTAATAGACCAGACCCGGGAACAGGCCGGCCTCAAACATGCCGAGCAAGAAGCGCACGGCAGTGACGGCGGCGAAGCTGCGAGTGGCGCCGAGCGAGACGGTCATGGCGCCCCAGCAAAACATGAGAAAGGCGAGCCAGCGGCTGGGGCGGAGCTTCTTGAGCAGCATGTTGCTGGGCACCTCGAAGGCGGCGTAGGCGACGAGGAAGACCATGAGGGCGACGACGAATTGGCGGTCCGTCATGCCGAGGGAGCGCTGCATGTCGTCGCGCGTCGTCGAGTTGAGGATCTTGGCGTTGCCCATGTTGGCCCGGTCGAGGAAGCAGAGGAAGTAGATGGCGGCCGATAGGGGGATGATGCGGGCGTCTTGCTTGCGGAGCAGCCGCTTTTCGTCGTCGGCGGTGAAGGCCGGGCGGGACTGCTCGAGTGCGGACTCCTTGACTCGAAGTTTAGTTTGGCGTGTACAAGCAATGGCATGGCATAGCATGGAAAGAGAGCAGCGTACATTGCCGAGGGCGGTTGGAGACCAGACGCTGGATCCCCCGGCCTTGTCGTCTGTAGACATGGTCAAACGGGGGCAGATTGATCAATTGCTTCAAGAGACGGGCTAAATTTGGGGGAAATCAGAATGAAATGAAATCGAGCTGCGATGTCGGCGATGACTGAGATTGAAGCTCGAGGTGAGACTCTGCCGAGAGCAGGGCGGGGGAGGGGTTGGTAAAGACGGCATCTTCACCCGCTCCCCTGGCCGGCTTTTCTCTGTTCTTCTTACGTCTGTTGAATACAAAAAGAACTACGTATGTACGGGACGGATGGAGCCTGTTGCAGCAGTACGATACGCAGGGATGAGGCAATTACATGCACGGGGGTCAATCGTATGGATTAGAGTTGTGAAGGTTCATGTCACCAACTTGAAGGACAGGCATGCCATTCACTCTGTGGCCCTGCTTGTACATGTCTTGGTGATCCTGTCTTATCAATGTCTATCTGCATCTCTGAATTCTACGTATTCTGTTTCACTTTCCAAGGAAGATATGTAGTCTACTCTATTTTACTCGCGGGGTCGAGGGCCATTGGTATGGCTCCTTCCGGCGCCAGTGGCCCTGAATTGAGGCCTGACGATATACTTACCCGAGCCCGCTCAACAGGGCGTGCTCGACCGCGTCCCCTCGGCTACCGCGCCTCATCGTCGACGAGGTCCTCTTCCGGCTCGGCGGGCCAGAAGAACCAGGCGACGACCATGCAGAACTTGAGGGCAGCGGCAAGCCACAGAGCGCCGCCGATGCCCAGGGAGCTGTGCGACAGGAGACCGCCGGCGACGGCCCCGGCAAGAAGCAACAAGGGCGCGGCGGCGCGGCGGTTGCGCTCGACGTTGGCGAGGGCAAAGAGTTGCTGGTCGGAGAAGAGGTCGCAGTAGATGCTGGTGAGGACGACGCTGGTCAGGGCGTTGTAACGCAGGGCCCTGCTGGTGACGGCCTGGGCGCAGCTCTGGAAGGCGACGAGGGCGAGGGGCAGCAGGACGGTCCAGTCGACGGAATCCTCGCGGGCGGGGGGTGCGACGGCGACGATGAGGGCGGCGGCGACGGTCAGGGCCGTCTGGGCGGCGAAGGAGGCGCAGAGGACCCAGCGACGCTTGGGGGAGAAGAAGCGGTGGAAGCGGGCGAAGAGAAAGGAGCCGACGCAGAAGGAGAGCAGGGAGACGCCGGAGCGGTAGAGACGGGGAGTTGTGGGCGGGAAGACGAGGGAGGCGAGGCCGAGGCCGACGTAGACGGTGTTTCCTGCGAGCGGGAGTCAGTCGACGCTGGACTGCATTGTCGACGAAGGGGAACGAACCAGTTTGCATGGAGACAAAGGCGCCCCAGACCTGCGTCGAGGCGCTATCCAGCAGGCCGGTGACGACGTAGCAGAGGAGCAGGACGAGGTCGGCCCAGGAGCACGAGACGTCGGCCGTCATGCGTCGACGGCATCGGGCCGCCAGAGACGACGGAGGCTTGCCGCGGCCGAGCAGAGGCTGGCGCAGGGCGTCGTCCCGGGCACGGGAACCGTTGAGCGAGTTGCTGGTCATGGCGTTAAGCGTCTCCCGAGCGCCAGAAGATGCAGAGGTGAGGCTATTGCGGCATTTGCACACAAGCTGTCCGTTTGCCTGCAGCCACCGGGAGGATGGACCGAGCCTCGGACCAGGTACACGGGCAGGCTCCGAGGGTGCACGGGAGAGGCGACTGCAGGGACCAGCCGATTCGGCGTCGAGAGTGATTTTTGTCGAGGCTTTCTTTCTTTTTTTTTGCCTGCAGGACGGAAAGAATCGCGAGACTGGGCCGGGCGACCGGGCAGTGGATGTCAACTTGCCAGGGATGGCTGCCGGGATTCTCCGTACCTGCCTATTGCAGACGAGGTGCCGCCGAAAACGGAGCGAGCGTTGAAGACAGCCGAGAGATTGAGCCGCGAAAGTATTAATTAATTGACCAGTTCGTGAAATAAGGCGTGCAGGAAATGAGATGGATCTTGAAGAGCGGGAACAGTAAACCTCGAGGACAAGGCACTCGCATCACCCCATGCTGCGCGTACTGTAAATAGCTTGTAACACGGCATCATCTCGAGCCATCCTGGGACGGTCCGCGTAACAAAAAGCCCGCCGCTTCATCCGCCTCCACTCCACCTCTTTTCTCGTCCTCGTCTCCCATTCCTTCCACCTCCTCCATCACCTCCGATTCTCCTGGTTCCGCGATAAAACCTCCCCTCGCCCCCCCGAGCTTGGACGGAATCGGCCTGCCGTCGCGCCGCCTAGCTCTGCCGAGCTCCCCTCCTACGCTTACCCGCGCGAACTGATCTCTCTCGGCAATGAAGTCCATCGGCGCCCAATGGCTGCTGCTCCTCGCCGGAGTCAGCCTGTCCTCGGCCCGGCCGCCTCGCCCGCAACAGCTGCTCACCAGCCCCGAGCCCAAGGACGGCGGCACGCCCTACACGCCGGGCCATCGCGACCCTTACGACGGCAAGATAGATCCCATCCGCGAGGACCTCGATCCTCGGCCCTGGCGCAACGGCAAGGGGGCCTCCGTCCTGGGCCCCTACAATCGCGACCGCTCCCGCCAGAGCCCGGACATGGTGCGGCCGCCCAGCACCGACCACGGCTCCCTTTCCAACATGCGCTGGAGCTTTACCGACTCGCACGTCCGCATTGAGGTACGGCATTGATCCCGAAAGAAAGATGCTGCGAAACAAATCGTCTCGCGCCCCTTCAATCTCGCATACTGATGCAGCCCCCTACAGGAAGGCGGCTGGACCCGGCAGACGACGGTTCGCGAGCTCCCCACCAGCGTCGAACTGGCCGGCGTCAACATGCGCCTCGACTCGGGCGTCATCCGCGAGCTGCACTGGCACAAGGAGGCCGAGTGGGCCTACGTCCTCGACGGCGAGGTCCGCGTTACCGCCATCGATTACGACGGCGGCAGCTTCATCGACGACCTCAAAAAGGGCGACCTGTGGTACTTTCCAAGCGGCGTCCCTCACTCCCTGCAGGGGCTGGGCGAGAACGGCACCGAATTCCTCCTCATCTTTGACGACGGCCGCTTCTCCGAGGAGTCGACCTTTATCCTGTCCGACTGGCTGGGTGAGTCGAGCTTGTTGCGTTTGCCCATGATCCGAGGTTGTCTGGAACGCTGGAGAGGGAGAACGGATAATTCTCCTCCACATGATATTCGGGAGACGAAGTGCCGTCTTGGTCTGAAACCTACGAGAGATGGAATGAGCTGGCTGACCCTGGACTTACAGCCCATACTCCCAAGTCGGTCATTGGCGAAAACTTTCACCTCCCTCCCAGCATCTTCAAGCATCTCCCCGCCGGCGAAAAGTACATCTTCCAGGGCTCCCGCCCCGGCTCCATCGAGGAGGAGCGGCCTCGGGGCAAGCACGTCAAAAAGTCGGAGTACCAGTTCACGCACCGCATGCTCGACCAGGAGCCCAAGCACGCGAGCGGCGGCCAGGTGCGCATCGCCGACACGACAAACTTCCCCATCTCCAAGACGGTGGCGGCCGCCCACGCCATCATCGAGCCGGGCGCCCTGCGCGAGATGCACTGGCACCCCAACGCCGACGAGTGGTCCTTTTTCATCCGCGGCCGGGCCCGCATCACCGTCTTCGCCGCCGAGGGCAACGCCCGGACCTTTGACTACATGCCCGGCGACGTCGGCATCGTGCCCAAGAACATGGGCCACTTTGTCGAGAACATTGGCGATGAGCCCCTTGAGATGCTCGAGATCTTTCGCGCGGACCGCTTCCGCGACTTTTCCCTGTTTCAGTGGATGGGCGAGACGCCGCAGAGGCTGGTCGTGGACCATTTGTTTGCTGGCGACGAAGACGCTGGCCGTCAGTTTCTGGATAAGATCAAGGACGCCGAGAAGGACGAGATCAAGCGGCCCTGATGAGATTCGGGGGAAGGCGGACGAGCTTGTCATCCATCTCTTGTACGTAGCATGTAGCACTGCGGCATACGGCTTGAATTCTAACACGAAATCAAATGGTGCGATGCGAGTCTTGATGTTGGCCATGCTTGCTCGGCCTCGACTTCGCGCCTTGGCTCGTATCCGTACAAACCCCCGAGTCCCAGCATCCGCCACTGTCCTCATAGCCTCGGAACTGGGCCCGCGCCCAGTGTCGGCTGCAATGCGCACACAACCTCCTCGGACGCCCTGCTGCCCGCAGCCAGAGCCCCTTCCGGATGTCCCCTCGACACAAAGCTAGCAGCGGAGCCTGCGAAGAAGATGCTTCCCTCTGGCCGCCAGTGGTCCCGCTCCAAATCGCGCAGGTGAGCCGCAGGCACAGCCAGGCAGGCCAATGTGTCCGTCTCCGGACCCAGTTCCATGACTCCGGCGGGGAAGGGAACTTTTTCGCCAAAAATGGCTTCGAGGTTGCGAAGCACGTCTTGCCTCCTGTCGTCTTCCGGCTTGAGCCACAGCTCTTGTCCGGACTCACCGGCCACGAGACACGTCAGGGCGGAGAGCGTATCGGCGTCGTCGGATGAGCTGTCGAGGACCATGCACATGGGGCCGTCCAGAGCTTGCGCGCGGCCAGAGAACCCACGCTCGCGCCACCAGGGCTGGTCGAAGAGGAGGATCATGCTGCGGGAGAAGCCGGCGTGCGCAGGGTCCCGGAGCCATTGCTTGTCCGCGCCCAGGTCGGGGGCAAAGTCGATGGTTCGGCATTGCGAGGCTGCTCCGGCGAGGATGACCTTGGCGCATTGGAATACCTCGCCGGAGCGCGTGGTGAGCACGCATCTGTTGCCGGGCGTCTGATCAATTCTGTCGACGTGTTGGGACAGAAGGACGGACCCCGGCTGCAAACGAGCGACGAGCTCCTCGCACAGCCTGGAAACGCCTCCTGACACGCGCAGGTTCTGGCTGCCGCCGGCGAGGTCGGACAGAGTCTGGAGCAGGCCGCCACCGCACTTGCAGTGGACGAGGAAGTAGAGTGCGCTGACGCGGTGGCAGCCAAGGCCGAAGAGAGTGAGCGTCCACGAGTTGGCGAGATGTTGCACCGCCGCCGTGCCGCCCTGGGACGCGACCAGCTCGCGCACCGTCATGGTGCCGTAGTTGGGCATCAGCTCCGCCGGCCGGTTCACGTCGACGCGCTGGCAGAGCGCCTCGACGTTGGTTCGGACTCGGATAAGGGCTCGGCGGTCGTCGGCGGTGAACCCCTGAGATTTCGTCAGCACATGTTATCTTGTCCGTCGACGATGCGAGCTGCCGATGATGGGAACGGGTCAGGAGAAGAGAGCCACAACATGTGAAACTTACCTCGGGGATGCCGTCTGCTCCGCACGCGCCGAGGCCCTGGGCCGTATCCTCCTCGCCCTGCCGGGCCTGTGGCGACTCAACCCCGAGGCCGAGCCGGCGCGCCAGCTCCGCCATCCGCACATGCCTCGCTCCATCGAAGCCATGGCGACCGGGTCCTTGAGCAAAGCGGCCGCCCACGCAATCCGTGGCTTCGAGAAGCAGACACGAAGAACCAGAGCTCTGGATATGGTGCGCCGCCTGCAAGCCGCTCAGGCCGGCGCCGACGACGATGACCGCGGCTGATCGCCTCTGCCGGGACGGGAGGGCGGGAGCCATGACTTGCACGGCGGCCATGGCTTGTATCCGTTTCTCTGCTCAGACACAAGTAAATGCGCGCAATGAGGACGATGAGAAGCTGCTGATAAGCATGGCCAGTTGAGCAGAATGGTCGAGACAAACTGAAGTTCAAAATTTGCCTCGCGACAGGATGGCCCAGTGGGACCGTCGCGCCTTCGGCCAATATGATTACACTGCATATGGAGCAGCTTGGGGTCTCTCCCTGGTACTATAGGGCCTTTTTTATCGATACAGCAGTTTCAGAGGGGGTCTTTTTGCGGAGTGCAGATATCCAAATCTGGGCAATACGCTGCTTTAGGGGGGGCCTTTGTGAGACGGGCGAATGAGGACGGCCGAGAGGGTGGGCTTCCGGGTCCATCGCCGGCCCCGCAGTCTTCGGCGTTCGGCCGGCGGGCGATCTGACGGAGGTGGAGGCGGTGGCAGACGGGAGTAAGCAGCCGAGGCTTTTCAGGGAACAGTCAATTGAGGGATGTAACATTTTGACAGTATTCGAGCCATCAGGCGGCCGGTGTCAAAGTTTCCAAACTCCTAGCATATATGGCTATGGCAACATTGAAATGAACATCAAGAGCCAGGAACTCGTTTCAAATCAAGAACCGTGTCAGAGGATGCCGGCAATCGCATACCGCAGCAGTTATAAGCCAGTAGATGACGCGTTCAATATCTACTGTATTCTCTCGGAACCATCAGTGACGGGAGCGGGGGAGCAAAAGAAGAAAGGAGAAGGGTGACAGGACAAAGGCCAAGAAGACTATGCTCCACAAAGAGTAATGTTGGGAATACTTGGAAGTATGTGTAAGGAAATGTTGGCATCGAGACCTAGTTTCGAGAGACAAGAGGGGGCCGCAAGCGAACAGAGGGAGAGAACCCGTAAACCAAACGAGTTGAGCAAGAAGCAAAATGGCGTAGAAAACCAGCGGAAAGCACCACGCCATCAACAAACTGCAGACAAGGTCCAAGGACTCCAAGCAAGACGCAGATGACAGCCATAACGGAAGAGTAATACATGTGTGAGAGGTCATTGCGAGCAGCCTGGCCCTCGGAGCCACCACGCAGGCCAGCGCACGCGAGTGGACGATGCCCGCACCCCCTTGCAGATGAAGCAGAGACCCTGCTTGTCAGGGAGGTTGTCCAGAGCACTGCCATGACTGGCGTAAGGATAGCGAGAGATGGGCTCAGCCCGGCTTGAGGAATCGTGAGCTCAAAGTAATGGAGTCTCCGGAAGGCGCAGTAAATACAAAAGCAGCGTCGACAAGTACTCGGCGAAAATCCTTTGACACGAGAGTCAAGTCATTAATCATTATATCCAATATATCATAAACTTAGCAATTGAGTTCAGACGACGCGCATGACTCGGCGAGGGTCTCTGCGACCGAGGGAATCAACGCTATATCGAGAGCATGTGCAGCCGATGGCGTGGGGTCTTTTGAGATGATATCTCAGCAAACTTGGAACAGTCCACTCTGCGTCCCTGAGCAGGTTTGTAAACAAGGGCGAAGTGAGATCCAAGATGCTGCTGGCCAGACATCCTTGTATAAATGCCATTCACGACTCAACGGCATAGCGGCTGCGTTTAATTAAAAGGGTGACATGACGCCTCCATAAGAAGACCCGTTTCCCTGGCCTTGGGAATGGAAATAACCGACTTCCACACCAGAATATCCCCTGGCAACTTCGTTGTCAAACCATTCAATGAAACCTTTGCCGCTGAGTTTGATTCGGCTCTAGTGGTACTTGCCTCGGGTTGTGCACCAGTTTGGATAGAACCAAGTCCGTCCTCAAAGCCCAGTCCAGTCGAGTCCAGTATAATTAAGCCCACGCTTCGACGCAAGCTGATCACCTCCCACTACGCAGGAGACTAGAATACAGATCGATTTGGACCTATCTTGGTCTACAATTCCGTGCTCGATGTTCGCGTTACTGCGTCTCAGAGCCCTGGCAAGCTATTTCAGACCAACTCCTTGTCTAATTCCGGACGGCAGCGTCATCAGTCCAAGATCTGCATGCGCTTTACGCCTTATCAAATTCCACAAGATGGATGTGTCTCAGCCACTTCGGTAGTAGCCGACTTGCCTTGAAAATCTTCCCAAACAGATGAGATAAAATACATTGCTATGCGCTGCCGCGGGATGTTTGAAACGGTAGGGCCGCGTGTATGTAAGTGGAGCAGTCGGCCGATGGAAAATTTGCCTCGACCACTGGAGGTCTTTAGCCAGCTTCGATGAAATATCCTGGAACCTGCCAAGATAGATTGGCGTTTCAAACAGGGTTAAGAGCTTCTCAATACGGAGCGGCGTTATACTCCATCAGTGTGGTCAATAAGCCCCATGGACCATCATTGACCTGTCTGAGTCTCGTTAATGTCGCACAGGGACGGCAGGCTAGTTCGGAATAGACCACTCTTCCGAGGACGATGCTAAAGAGAAACACAGAGCGCTGGAGGGCAGTCCTAGTTTCTCTGAGGAAAAAGCCGAACCCGAGTGGTCTTCTCAAACTAGAAAAACCGCTTGATGAGGCAAAAGTGGAACGCTCAAACAGATGCCTCCATTGGTGCGGATTATAATAGCTGATTTTCTTGTCTGTCCTATCTGATAGTTCTTCACATGGCACCCGTACATGATAGCGTATGTTGTGATTCTATACGTAGTCATACCCACCTAACCTGTAGCTCATCATTTCGGGGTCAAGGTCTGGCTGCAGAACAGTTGTTCGTATAGAGAAGTCAAAAAGAGCATGTGTGCGATGGACTAATGGGCATCATGCATGCCCCAACCCAGGAGTCCGCTTCAGAGTAGGCATGACAGGGAGTTTAAGCAAGTCTTGAGACGGATTCATTGGTGCTATGAGTCGTTGACTATTCAACGCGTAACGGCTTGGATGCCAATGGCAGGAATTCTCCCAGCCTGCATTGTTATTGATATTATCAAAAGTCCTCTGCTACGTGTGGATAAGTCGAGTTTGTATTTGACAACATACGCTTCCACTGACCAAATCGGCTTCGTTTTGGCCTCATATCAGCGGCCATGTACAGTTGGCCGGACTTGGGGCAAAGATTGATGGCGAGGCACCTTCTTTGACTCTTTGCCAATTAGTCCTGTACACATCGAAGCCTCCATACCGCCGAGTTAGGGATACCAAGGTCCAACTAATCAGACAATCAGTCCGCTGATCGTGGCTGTTTTCATCGCCGCCTACATACCCGGTGTCCAATCCTTGGCTGCCAGTACTTGTGGTCAAATGCGTTGTCTTACCTCGAAAACATGGAATGCAGAGCCGACTTCCATGGCTTTACGGTTTGAGCTCTTGTCAGTTGTAGTTTGCCCTCTTCTCGCAACAGCGTTTATGTTCAAACACACCCCATTTCTTTCCCGGTTATCAGGTGCATGTGCAATTTGACGGAAATGTGCTCATTATCATCATCCATGCCCATAGGAGCGGGACGCCTCAACTGCCAACGGGCGTTGCGGACTTCAGCTTCAAGAGCAAATTCGGCGATTTCTGTTCCATCTCAGGCGGCTTATAATTACACCCATGAAGGGTCTACCGCTCTACCAGCCACAAGGCGTGGATACATCAATGGTATGACTGCTTACTTGTGCCCAACGCCCTGCTCGCGCTCGTAGTACAAGTATTACTTACTTATCACCGAGAGGGTCAGGATTCTTCAAAATCGGCATTGCTTTTCCTGCAAGGCCACATTATATCTACTTCAATGCCCGTCGCTCTTCATCCGTGGACTGGGTTGGGTCCTACCGCGAGACCAATAGCCGTCTCCATTTGCATCCTCCACCATTCAACGTCTTCTCGGTTGCCCATGAAAGTAATGTATCCATTTGGGGAAGTATTGTTAGCGGCGAAAACGTTATTTTCGGATGTCAGACTCGTTCGCACGGTCGGTGCTCCACGCTCTGCAATAGATCCCTGCCACTCATCGCTCAATAGAAACGAGGCAAATAGTTTTGCGCTCTCCGGCCGAGTCGTTGACTTGAATATAGCGGCCTGTTGAGCCCACGTCATAAACTGGTCCGGTGCTCGAGGCTGTTGGACTTTGAGGAAAGAGGTAGATGGTGTAAAGCCCCCCAGCCCAGAAAATGTGAGAATTCTCGTTCCGGTTGTAGAATTATGGTCCCTGATGATGGTGGCTGTTGCTTCGGTGGCCCCTCTCACCCATTTGATGTCCTGCATTAGCAGCGCATCCAGCCACTCAAGCCCATATCTCTGGATAATCAATTTAAAGAGATATAGCACACCGTCATCGTCGTTGGGGTATGTAAGAACCATTTTGCCTTTCCAACAAGGCTTGAGTACGTCGGCATAAGATGTTGGTACTGGATTATTCTGTAGCCTGTCCTCATCATAGTAGAAAGGGCCGAACTGATCTGGTAGTTTAAAAAGTTAGGGTGCCTTCTACCGACAAGTCGGGAACAGAGTCGAGCTCACTGTAGCCAACAGGAAAGAATGCTCCATCAATGTCCTTGATTGCCAGGTTTATATCATCAAAGTCCAACGGCTTATAATGCAACAGGCGGCCTTGGTTGTTCCATCTAGGAAAGTCGTGGACCGTTTGTAGCAGCGCGACATCAATGAAAGGTTTTCCATCAATATAGCTTCTATCAATGCGAGAGTCGGCATACTTGGACAGCTCAGCAGTAATGTTTATTGCAACATCAGGAAACCTTTGGCGAAACGCATGAATCAAGGGATTTGCAGCTGCCTGGGCTTTTTGGGTGTCAGCGTATAATAAGAGCAGTGAGACGGGTTGATCATACAGCTTCCTCCAAAATACACATTCAAAGTGCCTGTCTCTTCTCGCGCAAATCGGTATATCTCTTCCAGTGACCGCGTCTCTATTTCGGTCCCATGCGCGCAGGAGACGACCGCGCATACGCTCCAAACGAGGAGAAACGACAGCATCAGGGCTGATAGATTGAATACCAATTCCTCGATGTCTGAAGAGGATTTTTTTGGTGTTCTCAGTGCTATCGGCGGTGGCAACTATATATTACGTACCAGGTGTAGGGCGCAGCACCCGGCGATTGCAGCGACGCGAACTATTGCAGATAGTCGTTGGCCTCCGCATTCGTCTGTTTCACAGACTTGTCTCAATGGATTTATATGTTACTCGTGTCGGCCCCTACCTTACTAGGATTCGATTTGCGAGGGAGAAATAGTAAGTCTCAAGCAGGGCCTTGGGAACGCAGTGGAAGGGAGGTAAGGGGGCCACACATGGGTGAAATCAGTGATGTATGTTCTATTCTATCTAGTAGGACATTGAGGCAGTATTTATATGGATAGATATCTCTCGTGGGCTCAGATAAATGGCATAATACGGGGAAATGAGGTTTATAGACCTCAGTCATGACATTTACGGTGGAAGGGGAGGCGGCGCAGTCTACACTTATGGAATCAACCTTCGTATAGATTAGCTCAGTCCTGCCCTAGCCATTGTAGCTACCCGTGCCCGCCCATAAACGCTTATACAAAGTATACAAAATGGCTCTTATAGGCTTTATCTGCCTCTGCCACGGCCGGACTAAGCTTGATCTGTAGACGCTATAACCTTAGAAATGGGTCAACCCGGGGGGTCCCCACTGCCCCAGACGCCAAGACTGGGCCGGATTTATCTGTAAAATGATTTGGAATCATTCCACCTTCCTTCCTCTCTTACTTGTTGCTCGCTATATATTCTCGAGCATCTACCGCGAAGAGGAAGTTCTCTTGGGTGCGGAATGTGGCTCTTTCGCCGGCGAGACTGCTTCACGGACTGAATATACAGCTGCAGTGCTGCACTCCGACGTGCCGAGGCTGGCTGCATTTCTTGCCTAGGAGAACGAAGGCAGGTACCAGCTACCAGTCTACCAGGTTGACTCCTTGAACAGGCCGATATCGGTTATGATAGTTTACTTGGACTTCAGGCCCTTCGTCAGCAGTGGAAGATTCCAAAATCAACTCCTGCGGTAGCATCAAGACCACTCCAGGCTATTGTTGATCCGTCCTCTTGGCGCGGGTGGTGCACTGACAGCCTGGCTCGACTATCTTGATGTCGGGATTGGGCCGGTTGTTTTGGTAACGCCCGTTCTGAATAACCAAGCTGGCCGGCGAAAGCGGGCTCCTCCGCCGATGCTACTCCCTTACCGTCTCAACGCGGTCCCAAGGTGCCACGGAGTCTCGGGCGCCTCGGGCTCCACAGTTGTGAGGAGTATAAGTACGAGGAACCAGAGAGTGGAGAGCGGAGGAAATATGTATTGAATTATTGATCTCGGAACCGATCATACAGGTAGGGGTTCGGAGGGGGTGGTCTACCCGTCTAACAGTGATGCTTCACTGTTACGAGGGCCCGACACCTCTTCTCACAGCAACGTCCTCCTCCATAACTTCTCTTCCTCCTCGAGCCAGATCCTCGTACTCTCTGGCTTATCCATCATGTGGCCCTCGCCCTCGACGACGATGAGCTTGACATCAGCCCGCCGATCTTTGAGGGCCTCTCCCACCAGCGTGGCCTGCTCCACCGGCACCACCGTGTCGGCTTGACCGTGCAGCAGGACCAGCGGGGACGTGATATCATCGACATGGTGGAGGGCGCTGCGCTCGTGATAGATGCGCACCCTGCCCTCGTCGTCGGTGCCCCCCCGGGGCAGCACCAGCGCCGGCGTGTAGTCGGCCTCGAGCTTGTGCGTTGTGGCGTCAAAACGCTCGAGGTCGCCGACGCCCGAGACACAAAAGCCCGCCGCGAACTCGTCCGAGTGCCGGACAAGAACCTGCAGCGTGTTGTATCCGCCGGCGCTGATGCCGGTGATGCCTACCGCGCCGGCCCGAACGCGGCCCGCGGCGACAAAGCGGGCGGCGCACTCGGCGGCGTCGTCGGCGTCGAGAATGCCCCAGCGCCCGAAGAGGGCGTTTCTATAGTCCCGGCCGTACCCCGTTGAGCCTGAGTAGTTGAGCTCGACCACGGCGTATCCGCGAGAGGTAAAGTACTGAGTCCGTAGGTTAAGGCCGGAGCCAGCGCGCCCGGTTGGTCCGCCGTGAGCGACGACGATGAGCGGTGGGAGCTCGCCCTGGGGAGCCGAAAAGTCGGGATTCCGTGGCATCCACAGGAAGCCGAAGATGTCACGCGTCGGCGACTCCTTGGACCGGATGTGGACCGGCTCGGGCTCTGACAGGAGGGGCTTGGGCAGTTTTAGGTCTGTGGCTTCGCGGATCACCCGGTTGCGTTCGGGCCGGGTGAGGTGGAATCGATGGACAGCATGGGGCGACGTCGTCCCGCTGCCGATGACAAGGAATGACGAGTTGTCGAGCCGGGCCATTGCATCGCCGCTAATATGACTGAGGACTTGGGCGTCGGCTAGCTGGCGCCATTCATTGGTTTCGAGGTCCACGGCAATGAGCCGGCTGATACCGTTTAGAACTGCCGATACCACGAGCCAGTCTTCAGACAAGGGCAGAATGGTCTGACTACAGCGAAATTAGCTGTACGACGGAGGTAAAGGGGGCGTGTTTGATGTCTACCTTCCCTCAGACAGACCAATCACTCCAATCTCTGCTTTTTCCAGACCCAATAGCTTGATGGGGACCGGAGTGTCGCTCCCAGCAGCGACCCTGACAAGCTGACGGTAGGGTCCGTCCTCTCGGGCGAAGAAGAGGGAACCGTCAGGGCCCCAGTGCGGCTCGGCCACGCCCTCACGACCAGCGCCGGAAATGCACCTCACGTTGCAGATAGAACCATCATCAGAAAGAGCCCAGTGGGCGCGGTACAGCTTGGCGGCGTCAAACATCATGTCCGGGCGATTCCACTCGAGCCAGCTGAGACTGGCGCCGTCGGGGCTGAAGCGCGGCACAAAGTAAAAGTCGGCTCCGGACACAACGGTCTTGACCTCGCCTGTGTCTGTGTTAATGGCCACAATGCTGTTGCGCACCTCCTCAGGTGTGTCGCCGTATGCATGGTCTTCCTGGATGGCAAGCACCCAGGACGAGGACGGAACAGGGCTGGCGCTGAAGCTGGCATACCGCTGCTCGAAACCCTTGGTGAGGAAGGTGACGCTGCGGGCGTCCGGATCGAGTACGTAGACGGCGTCGTCTTGGTGGGAGAAGACGATGGCATCGTCGGGCAGGACGTTGTAGAGCGATGCACCGTACTCGTATACCCGGTTAGAGACGCTGTAAGGGGCTGGCAGGACTTCTACGATGCCGCCGTCGGCGGTAACTTCGACGATGGTGCTCCTCCCATCCTCGGTCGTTTCCCGGAAGAAGGCCCGGCCAGAATGAGGCTTACGGAGGGAGTTAGCGATGGCAGTCGCCACGACTAAGATAAGCGGCGAGGCGACGAAAGGAATACGATGTGATGCAAAGGGGGGCAAGACACGAGGGCTTACAGTAACGCGCGGGGCCGCCAACGCGCGCGTCTTGGAGGCAATGTCGTCCACACCAATGGGAGACGGCCAGTCCCCGTGGCGAGCAATGGTCTTGACGGTCATGGCGCGTGAGAGCCTGAGAGGCAAGTATGCAGATCTTGCAGTGGAGTAGGTGGTTTTCCCTAAGAGTGCTCCTCTCTGACCAGGGTCCAAATTTCAAAGGCGCGAGTCTATGATGTCGCCGCTTACTCCGTACAGGCCGTGGGGTGTCCAGACTCGAGAATGTTGAGCTCCGGGCCCCTTTTCCGGGGGTGGGGAGGGCCTTGAGGAGGTCAACGACGACAGATGCAGGGAAACTCGAGATATTCGTGTATAGCGAATTAGCGATGATGGGCCGCGGAAGAGAGCGAAGATGCAAGAGACATCAGGCCTGTCTGTGGAGTCGCAGGGCTGGCATCGTCATGGCCATGGTATTGCGAGAAGTTGGGAGCTTCCCCGCAGTCGTCACAAGCCAGGTGTTTAAAAGGAACAATCATGATAAAAACGAATGATGCACTGCAACACGAATAGATGACGTCTTGAGTCAAGGCCTTTGACTCCTGCGCCTACCGAAAAGTGGGCCACTGCGGCTGGTCAAGGCACTGCGCATAGTCCCCGCACACTCCCTCGAGACTCGAGAGCCCACATAGGGAAGTAAAGGTTACGTATTAATAATGAGTATTGCTAATTATATATATACGTATTGCTATCCGTACATTCGCCCTATTTTTAAGCTACGTGCCAACGCCAGCCCGCCCCGCCTATTTCTACCGCGCGCGCCTGGTAAGTACCCGTACCGCCCACATGCCCGCACCCGCGCCTGCGCCCGCCCGCACACACACACAGAGGCAATAAAGGCCATATAACGCATGCCTCTTAATTCGATTAAATAACGCATTTCCGGGCCTTGAACTCGAAGTTGCAATAATCGGCCCGTTAATTGATCCGGCTCCTCCTTGGCCCTTACGGCTGTGTGGGCGGCGGCGGCGGCGCCCACTCAACGATCCCTCCCACGCCTGACGAAGCCGGCTGCCCTGACGAAGCGAGCGGCGCGCCCCTCCTGCCGCGTCCTCCTCTTGATCCCCTTCCCCTTGTATTTCCTCGAGCTGACGATCCTTATTGTAACGCTGTGAGAGAGCGCGGGCTATAGCTAAGTTTATCGATCTCGTCCCGCCCCCGGCGCCTTCGAACGCTCGCGTTAAGCCGCCTTAAGCTAGCCTAACTTAAATTAGGAAGCTATAACGCCCGTATAGCCGTAATAGGCGGCTATACCTATAGTACCGGCTATAATTCCGTCTATAATGCCCTCGCTATAAGGGAGCTTAGTATAGGTAGCTTATTATTATAAGGCTAGCCGCGTATAACGGTAATAATATTAAGATTATAGATTTATAGTAATAGCTCCTTAGGGTCTTAATAGTTATAATTAGTATTAAAATTATATAAAAAGGGTTTTTTTTTACTAATAGCTTCTTAAGCTATTATTATAATAGAATATTATACTTCTTAAGTATTAAACTAGCTTAAAAGCGTTAAAGGATTATATATATATAAAGGAGCTTAAATTAGTATTTAAATTACCTATAATAAGGTTAAAATAGCTATAGTTAGCGCGGAACTATAGCTATCGCGATCTATACTAAAGTAGTAAAGATATAGTCTAGGTCCTAGTCGATATCTTCTAGTATCTAGAGCGCTAGCTAGTATAGTCCTAGCTAGGATATAGTCTTAGCTTTAACTAGCTTAGCTTTTACTTCTTTCTACCTTAAAGCCGGTTTAGGCGCCTAGGCCTAAGTATCGACCTATAGTATAATAGTCTAAGGGATATAGTCTAACCTAGTTAGGTTTAGGTTAGGCCTAGTATACTATATCCTAGTCTTTAGTATTACTAAAGCTAGGTCGATAGTACTATCCCTTTAGCTATAGAAAAATCTTATATACTCCCCTCTTAAGGTAGTAAGTTTAAGTTATAGTCTTATCGCCTCCTATATAAGTTATATTATACTATCTAAGGTTTTATTATATCCGTCCTAGAGTAGGTAATAGATATTAAAGTCCCTTACTATTACTATAGGGTACTTTAGTTCGATCGCGCTTAGGTCCTATAACGCTCTAGCCCTTGCGGCCCTTAGTAGTAAGTAGACCGTTTATAGTCTAGTACTATCCCCGAAAATTACCTCGCTTTAGTTTAGTCTAGACCGGGGCGACTAAGTCCCTAGCCTAAGCCTTTTATATATATATAGCGTATACCTCCCCTCCTTATAAACTAGGCTATAGGGCGCCGCTCTAAGGAGCGGGGCCCTGCCTCTTAGTATACTTTTACTTCTTATAGTACTATTAAGTTAAAGCTAGCGTAGTAGTAAAGCGCTAGCTAAGCTAGCTTATATCTCTTTTATATATTCTAGAATAATACTTTTAGTTATATATAGGTAGGGTTAGGGTAAAAGGGGTTATTTATATAAGGAGGGAGGCGCTTTATCTCTTAGCGCTTCTTTATCTATTATACTTACGAATATCGTTTATACTTAGTTTAGCCTTCCTAGCCTTACTAGCCGGGGGGTATCTTAAGCTCGACCTCTTATCTTAAGCTCGACCTCTTATCTTAGCGCGATCTACCTAGTCCCCGCTTTTAGACCGCGGTCGAATTAAGAACGCCCTAGGCTTTAATAGTAGGTAATACCTATTACTTAGTATAAGTCTAGGTATTCGCGAACTATTAAAGTTATCGTAGGTAGTTTTCCCTTACCTTTTCCTAGGCTTTATTCGCTATAAGGTAAGTTTAAGTTTATAATAAGTAGTCCCCTTAGTATAAGATATAGTTATAAGGGATTTCGCTCTTCTTAGCCTTATATTTATCCTTACCTTTATTATATACTATACTCCTATATTAGCTATAGAGTTATATCGATATATACCGCTTAGGAATATAGCTATACCTATAGTAATTATAGTACCTTTATAGTTAGACCGACTTATTATAGGGTTTATATTAAAAGATTTATACTTTAAAAACTAAGCTTAGGTCGTAGAGCTTATTAGCCTCTTTTAAGCTACCGACCTTAATAAGTATAGTTATTACCGTTAATATCTTAGATTAAGGGCGTAGCGCCTAGGCTTAAAGGACCTTAACTTTATTCGCCTCTATAATCTTATAAAGTAATCGCTCCCTATCTACTATCGCTACCCTTAAAAGGATATTCTTAGCGACTACTATATATATATAGCGGGCGATCGTAGCCTTTAGTCTAAATATAGCCTTAACCTAGCCTTAGTCCTTTTAGTAGGCTCTCGCTAAGGTATTAAATATAACCGCGATATCTCCGCTTTAAAGGCGCCTTACCGCTATAGCGCTTATAGCTTTTAAGGCCGTATTTACCGCCTTTACTATATCCTTTAGTTCGCGGCTTAGGATTTTAAGCGGTGCCTTAATAGGGACTATAATAATCTTACGTTTATAGCGCGGTAAGACCTATTTTACTATAGCTTTATATTAAGTTAGTCCTTTAGTCTTAGCTATAACTATAGCCTAGGTTTACTTTAGGCCCCCTAAGCTTAAAGCGATACTTAAGTAGAGTTCTTCCTTAACTAACTTTTTAATTATTTCTTAGATTATTGTCTTAAAGCTCTCGTCTATATAGAGCACCGCTAATAACGCGCTACTAGCGTAGCTCTTTACCTTAAAGAGCCGTTTAACTACTACCTATACCTTACTAAACTATACGCTTAGGATAAAGCCTATAAGTTTATTATATACTACTTTTTCTATAGGGTCGTTTAGCGCTTAAGTAGGTATTATATTACTACTTTTCTCGTAAAGAGAGATATAAGACGTATATATAAAATATATAAAGGTAAAATTAAAAGTAAGGGGTCGGATAAGTAGGGCAGAGATATTTAATTCTTATAGGGGCAGCAATTATAGTAGGGGAGTAATTATTATATTGCCTTAATTATACGCCCCTTTTTATACCCGTCTAGCATCTTAATTAATAAAGAAGATCCTACTTAAAGAAGCTACTAATATCCTCTTAACTACTAAGCTTTTTATAAGGTTTTCCCCTCCTTTCTAGCTATTACCGGTATATCCGTCTTATTTTTCGCTACCTTTATAGGAAGCTATCGCTACTTCTACTTCCCCTCTTACCCTTACCCTCCTTTTTATACCCCCTTTTAGCTCCTTCCTAAAAACCTATTTTTTAGCTTCCTAGGTCCCTCGTACTAAGGGATTAGTCTATATATTATTATATTCTATAGTTAATAGGGTCGGAATTTATAGTCGTAGAGATATTAGTAGCCGGCTAATAAAAATCGCTTCTTTTAACGCTTTTAAAAGAGCTAGTAGCTCTACCTCTATACTTAAAGTCGTAATAGTAGCTTACTTTAAAGCTCTTTAAGTAATAGTTCCTCTAAAAAGGGATATAATATACCCCTATAAGCTCTTTCTATCTAAGGAATTATCTATAAAGGATAAATCGCTTAAATAAAAGAAGATTTTAGTAGCTAATTTCTTCCTTCCTTACCCTCCTAAGCGTAGACTATATAATCTTATTAAATAGAGATAAAGGATAGCTTAGCCTACTACTTCTTAGTACCTAGGGCTAGGATTCTAGTTATACTTAGCTAGCCGGGAGACCGTAAAAGAGATATCCGGTCTAGTAGAAATAGCTAAAAAAAGCAAGGAGCCTACCTTTTATTAATATCGGTGTTTCTCTTACTCCCTAGCTTAAAAGGACGGATTAGGTAAAAGCTCTTCGTCTAATATAAGTATAGAAGGAAGCTTCTTATCGAGGGAATTAAGGAGGAATTTATAAGCGACCTTATCGATATAGGGGTCCTAAGTAAGCTAAATAGTCCGTTAGGATTTATTCTAAAGGATTTATATCCCTAGGAACCACTTTAGCTCCCTTAGCCTAGTTATCTTATACCTTTATTATAGGCCTTATATAGCCTCTTTAGTAGTTACTTCTTTCTCTTTTAGGTAGGCCTAGATAATATTATTAACGTAGAAGAAGACCGTAACTTTACCCTTTTATATTATATATAGTTCCTAAGGGACTTTCTTAAAGCCTAGGGCTTTAAGAGAA